ACACGAGAGCCTTCTATTTCCAAGTCAAGAGCTAAAAAATTACCTGTTAAATCCCTCCTTTCTCTAAAAACTTTTGTCTCAAAATTGTTATTCAGAAGAACAGCAACGCCCCTTACATTTGACCTAAAGGAGTTAAAAAAAACAATCATACCCCCATTCATTTCTAATTAATTCCTCATTTTCACGTGAAAAATGTGTATCTTGTAAACAATAAATACTATACCGCTTTTCCCTAAGATATGCAAAAACATCCTTACGCTTAAAACTGTCTGCTAATCCTTGACAATTGGCCGAGATTACTGTCACACCTGTGTCCGCCATAGCGACGGTAGATAATTATCCGTTATCAAACAGCCTTCCATCCAGAGAAGTCGAGAGAACAAGAAAGAATAGTGTTGTAAGAAAAAGGGAGAAAGGATTAGGAAGATGAGAAAGGATAAAATCATAGCAAATATGGTTAAGGTCTCTGACTGCTACTAGCCTGCGTACTATTATCTTATAACAAAAACAATTTAAAAGAAAGTACTTGTAAGCACGGAGAGATAGCGAGAAATCGTGTGTACATCAGCCAACTCTACAGCCTTCCAAACACAGGAAGTGGAAATCTAATAGTAAAAGACGGAGACCGGAGATGGAGTACATAATAAACTAACCGGTAGCATCAATCCGGAACTGATATAAAATCATAAAAAATATATATGTATTTTGTTTCAGCGCAAATATAAAGAGAGAGAGAGAGAGAAGGGAAAAAGGGCATTACATGGCCCTACCTCTATAATATCAAGAATATGCATTACCAAATATATATTATATTTATACTTCAGTATCTACATGTATATATATATATTTTTTTAATGAAATTAAAAATGTTGCGTCAACTTACCAGTTAATTAGCGGTATCCTGCTTGCTGCTCTCCTCAGTTATACAATCCACACAAACACATACACACATTAATGAGACTATAACACACATTACGATCGGCGGCACATATAATAATGTGCCATTAATGTCTGTTACCGACCGTTACCAAAAACACAAGAATTCACACAAAGTTACTGTCATCTCTTAAGAAGGCATCCTCAAGTGGAGTGTCGTAATAAAGTCTACGTTTAGTCCCATTTTGTAGCACCGCAAACAGCTTACCATCAACACTGTACGTATTCTGAACACAACTTAGCTGGTAAGCATCCTTCAGAATTTTAAGATTGGTTTTCGTCAGGTCCTCAAAAATCACATAACCAGTGTTTTTCAGTTTCCTGCGTTGATGAAGAACATCATGTTTTGTCCGTCTCTTGGTAAATTTCACTATAACGTTCCTGGGTTTATTCCTCCTGAACTTTCCCAGTCTGTGTGCGATGTTGACATCGTCCTTACTTATGCGGACCGCCAGCTTATCGTTCAATAGTCCGACCACTTTTTCCACACATTCCTCCACAGATTCCCTCTCAGAAGTGTCCTCTAGCCCGATAATCCGGATGGAGTCCTTTCGTCCATGTTGTACAAGATCATTGATCTTACCATCTAAATTCCCCTGTAGCTCGCAACAACGATTTTCAAGTTTCTCGACAGTTCTCCTTAAGTCCTCGTTTTCACTCTCCAGATCTAGAATTTTTCCTTCTAGTCGGTCAGTCAACACCTTGACTTCTTCAGTGAAATCCCTCCTCAACATAGTTAGCTTACTGTCCAGATATTCACGTGTCAATATCGAAGAGAGCGAACTGGTGATCTCATCGAGTCTCTCGTCCGTGGATTTCTTATCTTTTCCATCTTGATCGGACTCACTCTGCCTTGTAGACCTTGTATGTTGTTTCCCTCTTCCTGAACCAGACATGGTTTAGACTAAGAATGTCCAGAAAGTTCCAACTCCCAGTGTTACTGATATACGTATGTAAGTCCTACATGTAAGTGTACGTGGTTAGTAGTAGTCACCGTGGGGAGCTCAGTCCATTGTTGAAATCAAAACCGCCCAAAAACACATTTTTCTGGAATAATGTTCTAAAATCCTTAGATATATCGACAATGAATAATTCCACAATTTACATAGTCAGAAACGAGGCTTTGTAAAATAGAATAACTTGGTGAATTTGATGATTTCTGCAGAGCACAAAAAAAAAAAAAAAAAAAAAACCTCCAACTCTAACCCACGTGACCTTCGAACGTAAAGAATTGCTGCCAGGTCATTTTTACGAATGCTCGGTTTTATTAAACGTTTATGTTAGAGTTTTACCCCAGTTAATGTTTTAAGATCTTTATACATTAGCCTTGTAAGGTGTCAGAATACTGTTGTCAGACCACCTTACCAAACTTCTTTAATTCACCAAATCGAACCTGTTCAGCGAAAGGTTTTTTGAGATTTTTATGTTTTAAGGCACATGTTGACTTCAATTGATTGTTTTACGCTGAACTTGTAAGTATTTGAATCTCCCCAGCTTGGAACATAGACGATTATTTTTAGACGGTATCTTTTTTTAAATGTGTAAATAGTGTTTTTTTGATTGTCCATAATTAGTCGAGCAAATGTGTTTTTAGTACCTGGTCGTAATCTACGATCTACTCGTTCAATTCAACTTTACTGCCAGAGAAGTCATTTAAATGTTAGAAAATATAGTGTTTTAAAGAACTCAAGTCAAATTTTAATTCTCTTGGTCGTGTTTCAGACTGTGATATGTTTTATTTGTCTCTCATCGCATTTAAAGCACGACTCATGAATGCCTTTTACCGTTAGTTCAATATTTTGTACATTTAATAGTTCTGTTTCATGTGACTGTGATATTAATTCTTGTGTTGTGTTTGTTAAAAAAGTTCATATTTCTACTATGATTTACGTACCGTTCAGAATCAAACACTTTTCAATATATCGGTAGACTGAGAAAATGCAGTTGCTGAATTAAAATAGAAGTCCGAAAAAGGTTGTATGGGTATCAAAGACAACCTTATACATGAAAATCTACAATGACGCGCCGAAATATGCATGGTTTATACCGATCATTGAAATGGTAGATCTATTTCATTTCAAAAGGTCGCCCAATAAATGTGTGAATTATCGGGTATAATTGGCCCACATTCTCGCCAGAGACAGGTAAAATACGTCTCGAATGTGAATTATGTCATGATACAAACGTCATGATGGTCAATTGATAAAGGGACGTAACGCGTACAACTTCGATTCTTTTTCAAAATATAATTGTCGTAAGTATAATTTGTAATCATAAGCAGTTATAATTGATTTTTAGACATCCTGTGCTGTTACCAATTCCGTTTTCCATTTCTTCGTTTTAATATTTCGGGACCGTTTTCGGGTTTTTGTTTAGTCTACAATAAGTCTGTTTGTCTACAGAAGGTGCCGGTTGGCGCTCTACATTTTTTGTGCCTTATACACCCAACGGGGTAAGTTTAAATAGTATAAACGTGTCAGTAATGTTGATTATATTCTCAGCACACACTCTGCCTAATTATCTATTCGTAGCTCACTTATTTTTTTAGTAGAAATGTAATTTGTTTATATACGGAAGTCTTACTTTCGTTTTCAAGAAAGTTATTTATAGTAAAGTAATATTGATTGTCTCCTTTTGTAGAGATAACTCGTAATTATAACTTGTTACCTTTCATGATTAATATAAGTAAGATCATATCGTGTAACTCGTAGGATCAAATTGTGTAGCTCTAGGATCATATGGTGTATTTCGTAGGATACTCATCTCCTGTAGTATCATGTATCAATGACGTCATGAACTGTAACACTTATGCCTAATCGCATAATCTCGTGGTGTGTGTACAGTACACGAATGGTGTATCTAACTGCAAAATTCTTAAACCAGAAAATAAACACTTATAGTTCAAGATTTGTTTTTTGTCGTGTGGGAAAGAATAAGGCAGTATACATCCCGTTATATTTCGGTAGTATAAGGTGTATAAGGAGGTAGTATTGGGTGATAATGGTTAATATTGGGAAACAATCTAGCAAATTAATTTTCGATAGGAAATACAATTTACAAAGTTAAGATATTTAAGGATTGTTTCTTATTTTCTGTAGCTGCATCGATTTGTATTTACATTGGGGCAAGTACATGTTGCTTAACGCGCACCAACCAATATGTACTTACCCCAATATAAATATTAACGCGCACCAAGCAACATGTACTTGCCCCAATGTAAATAAAATTCGACGCAGCTACAGAAAATAAGAAACAATCCTTATATTTACACTTGGTCACTTTAAAATTAAAAAAAAAAATCACCTGATACACATTGTTCGAACAGCCGCCCGCTTTATAGAACAGCCAAGTAAATCCAAAAACACTAGGTGGCGCTGCCGTTGACATTACAGTAAACAAAATAGTTCTCAAAGGTGAGAGTACAATCCACATGTTTTATAATATTTATTTAAATATTTAGACATCTTCTTTTAGTTTTAAGAATCAATAGTTCATCATTTACACAATATTCCTCTATCATAGTACACAAATTCATTATTTAACACCGCGCAGGTATATATCTATAAATACGTGATGAGGCCGCCCGATCAGCTGACCGAAAGAGCGGCCTCAGTCATGGTGTCGGTGTGTTGCAGACGACAAAATTCCTATCTCGCGCGCTTAATTCCAACAAGATCGATTTAGGTTTACTGATTGATTTTATTTTTTTATTAATGCCATATATTTTAAAGTTATTTTTGTAAGTGATATTTTTCTTTACTTTTCCGAAGGACATAAACTATAATCTCGTTTTGTAGAGTTTGCAACTTGGTCAAGTAGTTCTTACATTTTATTTGATATCTATGCGCAAGCCTAATCACCGTACGTAAATATCGAAAATTATTGACATTGGGTTGGGTTTACTTCATCTAGAGAGAATGCAACGCAAGTGTAAATATTTGATAATGTGTAATTATTACATAAGCCATGTTTGGTATGGTTGGGCGAGAACATGCTAAAAATCAATAGACCGAAATCATGTTACAGGTTTTCATCATTCAAGCCGCTGCTGTATCGAGAGGGAAATGGCTGTTAAAGAATTTTCAGTTTTACAAAAAGTACTGATATGTTCGATGGTAACGACAGTCGTTTGGATAAACTTTATATGCTTTATTGACACCAAGCAATGGTTAGTATTTACAATTATTTGTTTTAGATACCAACAAGAAAGAGTGAAGTATTTTATTTTGTGGTTCTGTGAGCTAACGTTTTGACCTGTGTCCATTTTTCGATGTACTCTCTGTTTATTAGTATACCAGATTATGGATAATCCACTTAAAATGTAAAGGACATTGGTCGGAAAGTTCAATGATAGTAACTGTTCGTTTATTACCTCTTCCAAACTTAAACTTCACTGTGCATCGGTCTGTTTCTTTTATCATTGCTGAAAGAAACGACTTTGACATGTTGTTTCCAATTGTACACTATCTTCTACATTACATCTTCCCGGTCCTGACAACTATAGTAGCTTTGACTTGAGCTTACTGCAATTAAACGTCAGAAGCATAAGAAATTAACTTACCTTTCTCGTTTCCATCATTAGTGACTTTAATGTTTTGTGCTTCACAGAGACACATCTTGATAACAATTTTGAAAATAAGTCCTTGTCTATTCCTGGTTATTCTTTATTGATGCGTAAAGATAGAAATGCTCACGGTTGAGGTGTTCTTGTTTACTTTCCTGATACAACTAAAGCTTGCAGCAAACGTGAGTTCGAACCAGCTACTCTTGAATGTATTTGGGCGGAAGTGATGTGTCATAATAGACGAATCATTGTTGGATTATTTTACAGATCCCCAAACTCAAATACATGTAATACATTTTATCAACATTTGGAATGGTCTGATGAAATTTATCATATCCTTTTAAATATTATCACAGAGCCAACTCGTGTTACTGCTGATACAGTAACACTTCTTGATCCAATCTCTATTACACCTAGTATTTAATACTGGGGTTTTCAATGTAGATAACATAATTAGTGACCATAAAGCAACTTTAAAAACATTAATTCCTTATCGTATAACTGCAAAACATCATATGTGAGACATGACTGGATCTATAACAAGGCAGATCATTCAGGTTTTAACGATTTGCTAGCGACAATAGATAGGGAAGGCCTCGTTGGTAATTCACCTTCTATTGATCGTGCAGTTGTGCATTTTAAAATCAACAGTACCCCACACTTTGACAAACCTTGGTTTGATACGGTTTTACGTAGAAACTGTCGTATACGTGACAGATTTAAACAAAAAATATTACGCTCTAAACGCATTGAACATTAGTCAGCATACAAGGGTTTGAGAAACATAGTAAACAATGCGAAAAAGAAACCTAAGGCTGATTTGTTTGATAATCTCGAATCACGTGTTTACACATCGAAAAGTCCTGAATACCTATTTCACTTCTATTGCATCTGCTTACAATTCTAATGTCACCTTATCAAGTTTCCTTAGTTAATGCCCAAACTCACTTTCCAGGTTTGTCATACACGAAAAAGAAGTTTCTGATATTTTATTATTTTGATATCGGAAAAAACTGTTGGTCCAGACAAGATTAGCCATCGTGTGCTGGAAGCAACAGCCAGAATCATTTCTGAGCTTCTTACTATATTAAACCTCGGATAAGTCGAAGTCGATGGGACCAAGTAAAATATTCGACTTTTGGTTCTACTCAACCGTGTTTTTGTCTATCGGCTGTAATCGAGACATCGTATATTTAAACTGACCATATTTTTGCCGATCGTGTCTGATAGCAAGGTATTAATGAAAAGAACAAAACAACATCTCTATTTTATAATAACAATTATTTTTTATTAAAATACAAATAAATCGTAGGTCAATGACAGTTACTGTAATCATCATTGTCACAAACACGTGGATAATGCATACAAGATTGAACAAAACACGCACGTTACACTGGGTACTTCGTGAAAACAATACCTAAAAATATACATGTACACATATTGTACTCACATTTATAGTATTTGGAAATAAAACAACTCACGGGCAAAAAAGTAAACATGAATTGTTTTATTTCAATGGCATAGTTCTTGGTTAAAGGAGATAATTACCTGTGCACCTGTATAAACAAAAGGATTAGGTGGATCGATACCGTGAAATTACATAGTGCAGGTAGGCCTGTTGACACCTTTACGGCTGACCGATCACACTCGTTACCGACCAGGAAAATTTACCTGAGACAACGTGGAATCTGAATGTTCGTCACAAACATGAATTTTTTTGTATGATTTAGAGGGGATGGACCACAAAATATATTCGACACAACCACAGTATTCGATTCATCCGTGTTTAATTTACTAAGATGAAGAGGAGAAAAAATCGGGACCGAACGAAACGTTCGACTCATCCGATGTATTCGACTCATGCGTGTTCTACACAAGTGAGTTTTACTGTATGTTGTTTAACCGATCTCTAAGCGGTGCTGAGTGGAAAAACTTATATTTTACCATCAATGAAAAAGGAGGGAGATGCTTATATTCCTTCTAACTATAGACCAATTTCTTTATTGAGCTGCTAGAACTTGTCTCTGATCCATTTATCTGCTACTGGTAATAAAATATGTTTAAATCAAGCCATTTTGTCAATATTTTCTCAATCAATAAATTAGCTTGTAGGTGTAACAACAGTACCACACATCGTATCTGTGGCCGTTCAACACCTAAATGTAAATAACTGATCTGGCACGTTGCAGATGCGCTCAGTTGAAACAATACATAACCAGGCATAAGGCTACAGCTAGAAAAGGGACACAAATCACTTTTATGCAAACGGTGCGGAAAACTCGGTAAAGGCGTGTTGTTCAACCAGGGTAATACCTCTGTTCACACGTGACATTGCCATATTCCTTCTAAATATAGATCATTTTCTTTATCGAGTTGTCTGAAATTATGGATTTCTTGCAGGTCACTCCACAGACTTCCAGTTAATAGAACTGTATCATAATATTGTCTCGCTGTTGACAATAATTGATACTCTTGTGTTGTTGTTTTTTGTGACTTGTCAAAAGCTTTTGGCAAAGTTTGGCATAAAGATCTTTTGTTCAAACTTCGTCAGTATGGAATTGACGGAAAGCTACTATCCTGGCTGAGCAAACCTTGAATAGGGATTTGCACCGTCTTCAAATCTGGCCTGTCAATGGTTTATACAGTTCAATCCTGCAAAGACTGAATAAGATATCTTCTCATCTAAACATATCCCAGTTAAGCCAAACGACTTAGTTCAACGACTCACATCGTCATTTAGTAGTAACTCTTAGTTATAAGTGCAAATAGGGAGACCACATTTGATCAAAATTTCTTCTCAAAAAGTAAAGTTTAAAACAGATAAGCCTACACTCAATACTATATGTGTGTCATTTATACGACCTGTGCTTAAAAATATCTCGTGTGTTTGTAATGGATGTTCGGAACATTTTTCAGACTCCCCAGAAAAAAAAAGCAGTTAAAAGCAGCTAGAATCGTCTATGGGCTACCATCCATTGCTTCTCGTGACTGACTCATCATAGACTAAAACAGGTTGGACCCATTCAAACAGAATCGTGTTAGATTTTGTATTTTTATCTTTTAATAATTTTGCTCCTTCTTTGGTTTAATTTCCCGCATTTTCTTGTCTTTTTTTTGCTTGGCTAGTATGTCGTTTGTTTCTTCTGAAGTTCTGGTTTCATTTATCTGAGAATCATTAAGTCCATTGGGTCGAATCTATTAGAGTAAAAGGTGATTACCTCGTATACCCTGTCATCTATATCTGGCTCCTCTTGGACCTCATATATGCCAGTGGTCTCTGTGTAGGGCGATAACAAGTCAGCACACATCTTGCTGTATTACATTTTACATATGTATCCAGCAGTATTCTCATTTTTGAATCGGAATTCTTAAAGTTATCCTAGGAGTTTATGTTTTTTATTGTAAACTAATATAATGACATAATTAGTTTAACGTTAAAACAGACTCGATTGCTTGTTTGTTTTTTCTGTATAACGAACAATTTGTTATCAAGTGTAGTTAATCTCGTTCCTGTACTTAATTTAAAGTTAAATGAATTCAAATGGGGAAATGCACGATGGAAAAATTCATCGTTGCTGTATGATGAAGTATCTGTCCATGTATTGAAGAAGTTAGCAGGGATGTCCTTTTTCAGTTCTATTGACTATCTAAGGCTCTGTACCTGACGACTCGTGTTAACTGGTCAGTTTATGTCAAAGAGGTAGCATTCTTAATTAAATAAGGCAGGTGACTTTGCAAAATGGACAAAATAGCTGAAAGAGCAGTGATTCAATGTTTGCATAGGAAAGGTCTAAGATATCTACACTGATATGATATCACGACTAAGGAATGATGCACCTTCATATGCTACAGTGATATTTTCCTACAACGAAGCCAACAGCTTTCCACCAAGCGATATAATAAGTGTGATGATTTCAGTTTTCTTATCGCGAATTTCCATTTCTTTGTAGCCACAAACCTGCATCTCAAACCTTTGGTGTTTACATGTTGCAGTTGATTCCATAATAAAGGGACTGTTCCCATTGTCATGATTTCGTGCAAGAAGTCGTCAACTAACTGACAAACTCGTAAAACAGAGTTTCAAAAGATACAGGTTAATGAAAATAATGGGGAAGTTTCAAAGTCGTCATATTGATCTCATTAAGAAATATTCTTTTTCTTTTTGCGACGTGAAGATGGGCGTGTTTTATGTTCATTGTTCTCATTTGAGAACTTAACACTACTTACTTGGATTAAACAATGTTTAATTGGCAGGTGTCCTTGTTGTATTGAATATGAGTTTGGATTACACTTATGCTATGTTGGTGTTTTCTTGTTCTTTTGTTCACAAATCTATATTTGGCATTGCAATTTCATTTGCGGGTGGTTCTGTTTCCTCCAAAATTTGAAACTCCTCGCAAAAGAGCTGTTACAACTATAAAAGCTATTATATTTCTCACCGCAGTAGTGATGAAGTTTTTATCGAATTGGTATTTTATTTTTAGGTTCAAGCAAGACAGGTTTCCGAGCCAAAAGGCAACGTACAAATTTGATCAACAACGAAATATGTCCAAAGAAGGTGATAAATCTGATGAACGTCGGACTGTGCCTGTTCAGGCGCTAAAGAGAATTGATGAATATATGAATTTCACAGATCTTAAGGACCACCTGTCTTTAGTAAACATTTCAACATCATTGGTAACCATAAGGAAAAAAACATCTGTAGTCAGAGTTGGAGATAACGTCATGATCGATATCATTCTGTTCAACGGCAGAGGTGAAAGGACAAAAAACGGAGGTGATATGCTGAGGGTGTGGCTTCGAGAACCTGATCTAAATGCATCCGTGTCTGGTTATGTGATTGACCATGGCAACGGGTCTTATACTGGCGTTGTTAAAGCAATGTGGCCTGGAAATCCAGAACTGATGTTTTCTGTTGCAAATACAAAGGAACATATTGGAATTTTCTTGAATGTTGTACGTAGATATGGTTTGTCAAAATTCCTCCAAGCGTTTTTTAAGAAAGGAAACCTAACAGAATCAACCTTGTGCAGCATTTTACCAAATATTCCAAACACTGCAGCTCTCTGCAATTTCACAAACCAAAATTTCAACTTTTCATTTTTCTGCGGTAAACCCAAAGAACTTGGCTGTGAGGACTGGAAAGAGTATTCAAGAAGCGCAATAAACTCTTGCAACGAAAAGCAAAAATCTCTTTTTATGTGAGTACATTTCACTAATGACTGAAGCACTATATCGCCTATAATAACACAACCCATATCAAGTCAAGGGAGCAATAGATTCTTATCCATATTGTAACGATAGTGGTGTGTAACCGTGCAGACTTTGAGTGTTGATCGTGATTACGTCCCTTTACTTGTAACTCTCTGATAAGGAGGTAATACAAATCAGTTCGTATGTTAAACGTACACATGGCGTTGTTGAGTCTATTGACTATGACCACAATTAAATACTTCCGGGTTCAGTACCCACGAATGAAGTCCCTAAAAAATGTATGTATATTAGGGAAAAAATGATATGCCTCTTTGAATTGAATGTTTGCCTATAAAATTGATGTAGATGTGCTATAGAGATGATAATCTAACTGTCAGTGTGTAAATCATTCATATTGAACATGTATTTTGTGCTGCAGGATCCGGTGTAAAAAGTCTTGTTTTCACCTTTACCCCTGACCCGGATGTATGTAATTGAAGTTGGTGACACACATGGAGGTATATCTCCAGAAATGCCCAACATGATGGGTTGAAACTTTTACATTTTGCTTCTCAGATGTTGATCTTGGCCAGGTGAAATGGAAATTTGCAGATGAAACTTTGGGACTTAGTTATGAATTTTAATGTTACAATGAAACATATAGTGAAATTAATTGTGGTCTTAGTCCTTAATTGTCTATGGCCAGTGGCCTAAACGATAAGCTGTATCACTTAGAAGTGATAACACCACACATATCCTTGTGTGTTTTCATACTGTATATCTGTTTATTGTTTTGCTCTGGTTTAATCGATTTTGAGTTTGAATTTAGTCATAAAGGAATGGCCTCTATCGTACATCTGCTGTCGTATTAAATATCCTTGCGGATGGTGAAAATTAAATTATGGATACTAGACTCTTTATTGCAACCTGATCTACAGGACTGCCCAATATAAACTCAACTCATCTGCTCGTTTATATATGCTTTGAGTTAAAGACAGAAAGACTAGTTTGGGCTCTCTTATACTAAACCTATACAGGTATACTCTATGAGCAGAGGTGATTCCGTAATTGAATCCCGGAACCAATCGAGGTTAGCCCGATTGATATACACTTTGACAATAGTGATATTAACTATAAAAGTCGTTAGGGTTTTAATCTCCTCCCAAATAACATGATGAAGACAACTTAAACTGTTTATGCATAATGTTTTGGATGCTAGAAAAAAAGGCGTCATAAGAACACATTTTTATATACATTACCTACGAATGTACATTAAGTATGCAATAAATTGCACCTATATCTGACATGATGCGTCCACTGATTACCTGGTGTCATATTCCAGTGAACTTACGGTTTTTTCACTTTTTCATTCTGATACCAGTACAAAAATCCTATTCTAAATATTTTATTTTTAGATATATTAAATCATACCTCTTTTCCATTCTTTTAAAATATTTGAAGCTTCATTTATCTTAATACGAAATAGCATATACTTTTACTCTTACTCTTACAAACAAGAGTAAATATATTATTCTTAAAATATACATCTGACATAATAAATAAATACAGATTGAAAACAAGACTATTTTTATAAGGAATGGTATAGGAAAGGTATAATAAATTATTTTATCAAAGAAATGGGTTGTGAAGGTTTTGTTATAGTTATTACAAGTTACAGAAATTCAACATACATACTAATTTTCTTATTTATCAAGGGGTCGTTAATACCATAACAAGAATCTTTGCATTAAGATATCTCAAATGTTAATTTAAGTTATCCATATATTCCAATTAATTCTGAAATATTTACCAAGAATATAAAGGGAATAAAAGACTTTTATGACGTACTTTATCAAAACAATTTCATATCTACTGAAACACAAAAATGGAAGAAATCTTGACAAAGACAAAAAAATCTCTGTTAGATGTGTTATTGTTTCCATTAGCTTTTAACGAATCATTTTTCTGGTTTATAAAAAACCCCAGTAGGAATAACCTTTATCTTGAACTATATATACAAGGGCAGATGTCTGCATACTACTTGGTCCCTTTCTTCCCTAAATAACCTAATCAAAGATATGTATACCACTCAAAAATATATAGCTGTTGGCAAAGGTGAAAATGGTCTTCTGAAAAATGGAATGGAAAAGATTATTAGAAAGATTAAAAGTTACATAGCTAGCTTTGCCTTCGTCTGCTGACAAGATGTATTATTTTTTTTTTAATAATTTTATATTTTATGTACTTATGAAAGCTACCATTATAGAATTTTTTAAAATCTGTTGCATTTTGAGGAAAATGTTATTTTTCTGTAAAATTACGTAACAATCATAAACTTCAATGTAAATGTGATATAACTTTAGAAGAAAAAATATGAGATACATGTGTGTATATATATACAACATTTTCAATGTTTTACTTTCAAGTTCACATTACCAACGGCAATTTACATTGTATGTGCTTCTAAAAATATCCACCTTTAAATCTGATAACAATATACAATCTTATGTACTTTGTTTTTGATTTCAGGAATTACAAATATTTCAAGAAAAGAGTAGGAAAACTTCATATATCAGCAGGTAAAATTTAATGCGTGTATTCAGCTCTCTTGAAATTCTTACTTTGAATAATAACTGTTGTTTCAGTTGATATATACGTGTTTATATATCTTTTTCAACTGCATATATATCAGATGGCAGCATGGCGAGTATAATTTTTGATGTCTCAAAATTAAGTCTAATGTACAATATTTTGATAAAAGTTACATTTCAGTACTAGATACTTGAATTGCCAATCGCTTTAGTGAAATCTTTATGAAGAAGAAATTCAGAAGGTAGCAAACATTTCTGACATTGAATTACAAGCCAATTCACATTCGCAAATACATTACACAACCGAGAAATATATTTGAATATTTTCCACAAAATATCTTCACACGAACGTTGCGAACTCAGACTTATGTAATGTAATAAAAGTATTGAAAGTACTGAAATGCGAAGATCCTGAAGAAAGAAAGGACGGAAAAGGTAAATCCTGAAAGCTCCATGTGCGACACCTTGTGGGCAAGACGAAAAGACAGGTTTGATTCTTCGATGTACATCAGACGAATCTCGCATAACGGTATATTGTAATGGTTTTGAAGTTGGGTGTCGATCCTTCGTAATCTTCAAAAGGAAAAGGAGTGTATCAGTCTGTCATTTTTTCTCTTGGAACCAATCAAATTCCCTCTATTGTGCCTTTAAATTTACCATGACATGTTCCACGGGCGCAGAAAGCGAATGTGATTGTAACCCTTGGAGTATCGAGGATGGTTTCTTGCTTGTCGCATTTACAAGACTTCATAAGGAATAAGGATGTAAAAAAAAACCCAAATAACCAAAAGACACAAAGTGTCTAAACTTCCACCAATCCAAATTAAGCAAAGGTCTTATAGGTCTTCACAGTCATCTGGTACTCGGTTATCTTAACAAAACATGTCAATGTACACTTTTGATATTCACAGAAAAAAAAATCGTTTGTAGGTTTTAACAATGAAAAATGATCGTGGTGTGCCTAGTCTGCAGTGCTATTCACAGATGAGTCCATATTTCACTTTGCTGGCGGTGACATTCGTGACGGCCGGGAGAACGTTACAGTACATGTTTGTGTAATTCGACTTAGGAAGCACTGTGATCTGGGGTGGCATTACAATGCACAGGTTGACCCCTTATGGTTATAGTAGAAAGCACCTTGACCGGTGTGTGCTAACGTGATGAAATTATATCACGTTCTGTCATATATCAATTATAGCCAGCGTTACATTACTTTACAGCAAGACAACACACGATCTCATAATGCTCGTGTTGTTGGAGCTTATCTTCAGTAGCAGAACGTTACCGTCCTATATAAGCCTGCTATATCACCAAATTTGTCTCCATTGGAGAATGTTTGGAATAAAATGGAGCAGTGACTGCGTTAGGAGCCAATCACGTCACGCATTACGTCGCACACTGTCAGGCATATGGCAGAACATTCACCAAATATTTCTCTTTGACAAGTTGTATATGTTGTATATGTGTGGCCAGCATCGATGTAAATGCAGTATTGAACCTGCGAAACTGGAATTGCAACTCATTCCTTTCTGTGGTTATCCACTGTGTCATTATGAGGATGATACATTGTAAAGTTTACAAAATGTAAATTTCTTTGCGAATGAATTTATATGTCGAATAATTGAAAACATTTCTTTTTGTCACTCAGTATACAATGTGGGCAAATATATACATATATTGTGTACATGTACATGATTTTAAACAAGGCATGTCAACACAAGCGTTTTAGCATGTAATCCATCGTTTGAACTCTGAACAGGAACTTCCAGGATTTTCTAGCACTGAATCGTCTTTTAATTTTCATTTTCTCATTGAGCCAGACGCGAGTCCAGGATTTCAGTTAGAGGGAACGCATATTTTTAAACTGAAAAATCTCTGTCCTTCCTTTTTCAGTATTGTGTCCAACTCCAATTCTTCCCTCTCCTTGGACTGTTTGTGTCGTATCGCGATATGTAAGGTCGTAAATTCCCATGTATGATGGAGAGTGAAAGATGACTGGCCTTTGTCAGAGGCCAGGTGCGCAGCCAAGTGGGTATGGTGCTGCTAAGAGTACAGATAAGGAGTTATGAGAGGTTGTTCAAAAGCTAGAAAGAAAGGATGATTCGGAAAATGATTTGCTTAAAATAAATTATATGTGTACAGCAGCGTATTTGCGTAAAGGCAGCTACGTGCTTGGAGGCCCGTCGCCAGCCAAGGATAATATTTAAGACTCTAATTGCTAATTCTTGTTTGTGAAGATCGTTCTCATTCATATATAGATTTTCCTCCTGTCTGTTGGTTAGTTCAGTTTGTGGACTTTTATCGATAAGTAGAAAAATTACCATGTTGTATGTGGACTAAAAAGGCTTCTTGTCGCCATTTCTTGCAAAATGAATGGATTATTATCGCTAACGTCTATGTGTCGGCTTCCCTTAGGCACTAGTGTTAGATGTTCAGTTTTGGGTACAATCAAGAAGAAAGGTCTACAAACGAATACATGTATCTTGGATTTCGATAAATTATCTAACTCTCCGACTCTACCTATTAAGAACTTAATATGGGCAGAGATATCGGCTATATTGCCTTGCTATTTACAACCAGAGCTGTTTGGAAACAGCATAGATTACTTATTGATAACATATTTTGCGTGAACACCTATTGATGTTCAAAGTTGCACACCTATGAAATCTGTAATCTTATAAAGTATATTATAATAAGTGTCCAGGCACCCACTTTGAATCCTTAACAATGTAAATGATATAGTTTGATATTTAGCTTACATTCCATACCTATGTTACATCTTTATACAGGTGAACTTACAGAAAAAAAATGCACAAAGTCTAAGTAACCATTTTTGTGTCCTATAATATGATAACCTATGGCTCGCCATATCGATAACAATTCATACTCGCACTTTGACTACTTAGTTATCAACATCCGCTTAAAACTTGTTCAAACTCTGGAAGCTATTCCCATTTCCTCAAATAGGAAAGGTAAAAACGTTTAATTTCACCTGTTTAATTCTACTCATCCTACTAAAGCAAATAAAAATCAACCAAATTAAGTTTGTTTACAGGATCCAGAAGAATGGTACTGATGCGGAAACATCACTGGTTGTGTTTATTTTATTTGTATGTTAATCAAGATGTGAAAAAAATTCTAATCATAAAAAGGTATAACAGACTTAGCAGCTTGGTAATAACAACAGAAATGACGAAATTACTGTGTGTGTTCGAGAGAGAATGGCGCTTGCCAAGTGGAGCATATAAGCTCGTTCAAATGATTAAACACTTGACGTTCATATGGATGGACAACTAGTTTAGTAAGTGTAAATGAGTGTTTTTGGATGACATAAAATATATTTGAAATGTCTAAAAGGACGCATTTCCAATACTATGTACGATATATCACTTCACTTCAAGAAATGCATTCTGATGGAAATGGAAGTTCCTATCAACTAAATATCAATAAGAAATACGAAGTAAGTACTTTCACAAAATAGGTATATTCAGAAATTTAAGCTAGAAAACTGTATTCTCGGTACCTAGTGTCATATTCATCTTTCTTTTTCATTCCAATTTCAATTTTCAACTTCAGGAACTACGGGAGAACCAAACATCTCCTGTCATGACGTCAGCAGTGCTTTGACCTGGCAGACAACAAACCCTACGGGCTACTTCTTCAACAATGAGTGGCGGTCGTTGTTATGCAAACCCTCACTCTCTTGGAGATACAAGTCATATGCGAGTTGTCTAAAGAATCGGCCAGTACTGCTTACAGGCGACTCCACCACAAGAAACTGGTATTCACCTTTAGCCAAATTGTTAAAGTTACACGTATTCGTCGGACGCCATGAAGTAAAGGATGAAGCCTGGCAGAAATTCGCCGAAGCAGTAGATAAGAACAATTTATTATCCATATATTGGACACCACACGAGATCCCGTTCTTCAGTTATAAGCAAAACAAAAACAACTTCCGGACTGTAGCCTCAAGAATTGACGATTTGCCAGGAAACCAAAGAGCAATTATAATATTACATTGGTTTGGTCACATGACAATGACGACTCCGAACCATTTTAGAGAGCATGTAGCTAGTGCCAAACACGCCGTTCAACGTCTTTTGAGACGCTCTCCACATTCTAGCATCCTCATAAAAGGCCCCCACTCATTTACGCACAAGTATTATTTTCTAGAACCATTCGATTATTTGAATAGAATATATAAACAGATATTGTATGAAGAGTTTATAGATTTACAAGAGAAGGTGTATTTTATCGATCAATGGGATGCAACAGTAGGAAATGAAAATGTAGACATTCACCCCAAACCATTCTTAAACCCAATTATGGCTAATTTCGCATTTTCCTTTATTTGCTAAATTTAATCAATATAAAAAATAATTATAATGAAAGAATCTATGGTGATACAGGTTGATCATTTGTCGAATTTTCAATATCTTCTTTCTCATTCCGATATACTTGATGTCTCTTTTTTCGGAAAATTTTTCAATTTAGCTATTCATCCAACAAATACATTCCATTGACATTATTCAATGATCTAAGATCTAAGAAGCAAATGCAATTTAGATGGCGTCATCATTAACTCCTACTGTTTTCACATCCTTTTAAAGCATCTTGTTGTCATTAAGAAATGAATGTTAATATCGTTGCTTTTCTTTTCAAATTATTACTTTGTAATGACAGAAAAGGTTACGAGAATGTTATGGTGTTTACAGATAATAAAGTATATATATCAATGCTGAAACAGCTTCGCTAATACTAGTAAAGTGAAACTTTTTCGAAATGCTTTAGTTATCTCGCCATGAAGTCCATATTTACCTTGAGTGTAGCAAATAATGGTAATCTCATTTGAGGACACAACAGTTTCTTACATAATAACATTAACATCGTGGTATTACCAGAAACCTATACTTATATGGGTCTCTTAATCAGTTAATGCCACACATCAAAACAGTCCCTTCAACTCAGTTTGGGTTCGTCATTGACAATACAGTAAAAGTCAATTGTGTCGAACACGCTTGAATTAAATACATCGGATGAGTCGAATGTTTTGTTCGGTCCCATTTGTTTTCTCTTCTTTAACTTCGTAAATTAAACACTGGCGATTCGAGCACTGTTGAATCGAATACTGCGTTTGTGTCGAATATATTTTGTGGTCCATCCCTTCTTAATACTATCAATTTTTTTTGTTGTATCGAACATCCAGGCATCACCTTGTCTCAGGTAAAAACTTCCTGGCTTCGTTCCGAACGACTGAATGTGATCGGTCAGCCGTATCCGTGTTAATGAGCTCTATTTGTTTCTTGTTTTTTTCATAACATTATTAACAAGAACGTTTGGTATATGATGTACATTCATGAGAGTTTACATATGTACATTTATATATATATATATACGTCGTTAATAAAAACGGCCAATTTCAATTCATTTTGAGTCTTTGTGGTTTATTTACAGGTCTAACTAGCTTGCCATGGTAGCTGTTCATAGTGGATCATTTATAAATACTTATTAAATCATTGGTTTAATGTCATTTTTTAATGTTCCACATTTATTTTATTTCTTTATTTTGTTGACTAAGTTTATAGATGGAACTATATAATGGTTGTGGTTATGTTATGTATGAGCGGATGCTGACCGTTTGGAAGGAGGTGTTAGGTCTAGGGATGCAGTAATTTGATGTTATTTTTAGCACGCTATATAAATAAAGGGCACTGACCACCACTGGTCAGAGACCTTTCGGACATCATGGAGGAACAAGGGCAGTAGCATCTTTTATTTAAATGATTTGCTGTCAAAAGTTTATTGACATTTAAATTCCTTTTCCCACCTCCTCCCCTGCGGTCCTCTCGTCATCTTATTTAATTGTTGTACTTAATTTGTCTATTGGTTACATATTAGCTGCCTTGCCTTGTAGTTGTTGCATGCTGTTTGACTTTGTTATGGCCTACTTTTTAATTTTCCCATAGTGGTTAAAGGAATAATTCTTATTTGCTTATCTTATGACTTTTCCTACATGCGTTTAAGTCAGTAATTATTACATGTTGTATATCTCTTTAGATATGTCTTCAATAGAGGGGTTATTTTCCCCTATTCAAGGCTAGTTGCTTGCCTGTTTTTTTCCATATCATTGTTTTACTTAACAAACGCGTTTTGATGTACATTTATCGAGGGGCGTTTTCTGACCCCCATCTTAGACTTGTTTAATGTTTTTTCATGACATTGTTAACAAGATCATTTGGTATATGATGTACATTCATGAGAGTGAATATACGTCGTTAATAAAAACGGCCAATTTCAATTCATATTGAGTCTTTGTGGTTTAATGAGATATGAAAATGAACTCTTCTGAGGGTGGCTTAAGATAGCATCTCTATTTGCTAGCATTTCAATGCATGTCCTATACCTCCGTTGAGTTGACAAGTTTCCATTGCCGATGAGTAAAATTGAAACTGCGTAAAAAAAGGCAATCCCCATCAGCTGATGTCTTAGCTGGTTTGCCTGACGGTTCAGTCGTAAATTTGCTTGCTATCGTGCTGGCTACGGTGTCGAGTGTTAATCTGGTAGGGATGTTCGGTTTACGTATTAATTTCATTCACCCTGGAAAACAGTTTATAATAGGACGACTTAATAACAGTGCAAACATTTTACGGTGACATTAGACAGAGGTCAGCTTGGTACAATCGATATACAATCATGTGTGACGGACAATGCCCTCAGTCAGGTAGGATGAAATAGCGGTCTATTTTTTCTGAAAAAAAAATTCTTTTGTATTTTCTCCGTCCGGATTATTGACTCACAAAAGACCATATTTCTGGGTTTGGTTCCCGGAAATTGTGCCCAGATGCGAATCCGGATTTCCGGATTAGAAGCTCAAAATAACGTTACGGAAATCCGTTCCCGTCGATTCTCGTCCGGGCTGCGAGATTTCCGGACCAACGGAGCACGGATTTTTCCGGATTCCGAGTGAATTTTTCAAAGTTTGTATCATCTACATTTTCACAGGCAGAGTGATACCACTTGTCACAAGATTCGTTTAGAAAACTTTGCATGTTATGTGTATCTTCTTGGCAAGAGCCACATAGCCATTTTTTACTGCGGCCAATGGTGGATTGAATAATGGCTGTTAACATATGCAATTTATATCTACTTGTATACTAACAAATGAATTTGATTGGTAAATTTCGTCTTATTCCTTGTCATATTTGATTGGATACTTGCTAGGAAAACACATTTTGCCTAATTTTAAAAACCACCTAGGATCGTTGTGTTCACAAAGATTACCATCCGACCGTTAACTGCTAGACAAATTAAAACAAAATGGGTAGTAATTAATCGGGGCGTGTATACAGGTACAGTACCTATCGGTTTGGTTTAAACTAACAATGGTCGGCAACAAGAACAGTAAAACAATATAATTGGGTGAGTAATTATCGGCACGTGTACAGGTGTGACAACTATCAGGGTGGATTAAAATAACACATGTCAGCCATGACGAAAGGAAAAGAAAACAATTGGGGGTAATTACTCAGTAAGTGTGTACAGGTGTGAAATTTTAAGTAAGATATGGTCTCCAAATTGATTTCGTAGTTTGAAATTGATCACAAATAATCAATATCCATTAAAAATATTGTCGATACTGTTCCTTTTCTACCCGTGACAATTGGTTTTGTCACAATACAACGGTAACGGACATTTCACGTGACAAATTTCTTGATTTTTTTTCCGTTTCTTTCTAAAAAAAAAAATCTCGAAACCTATTGCTTTGGTGATAAAAAAAAATTTGGGAATAAGTTTGATTGGGTTACAATGTATGTTTAAATAAAAATGTAAAAAATACTAGCATTATCTTGCTGTAAGATTTTGCAATATGTATTTTCCCCGTTGTTTCTTATTACTGAGAATGGTAAAGGATTAAATGAAGACAAACGCAACACATCATTCTTTAAAACTGTTATTATTAATTTTTTTAGATATCAGAATTTTATTGATGATATACAATTTTTTTAAATTATCAAAATCTGTTTTAATCATCAACATGTTAATGCGATACTATCACCACAGTACCAGCGCAACATTACACTATATACAGGTATGGCCGTTTCAACTAGGACCGGTATTAAAGTGAGGCCGTTTTCACCATATACCAAATAAATCATGAAATATCGTAATTGCGGCATAATTAAGAATCTCGTGGGGAATGGAGTATCTATGGTAATGAACATTAAATTGTCAAGAAAAATCGGTCGATTTGGATGAGCCAGAGACTTATATATATATATATATATATATATGTGTGTGTGTGTGTGTGTGTGTGTGTGTGATATATAGGTCTCTGGATAAGTGTAGGATTTCACTTTTCAATGGAGACAATCGCAACTGGGAAACGTTATTGACCTGAAAAATGATAACCAGTAGATTAAAATGTTAATATTGGTGGTAATAGTGTAAGATTTTGGTATGTTTGGGTAAGATAATGGTATAATTGGGTATATTTAGGTACAATTTTGCTTTATTTGGGTGTATTTGGGTAAGATAATAGTATATTTGGGTAAGATTTGTGTATATTTGGGAAAGATTTAGGTATATTTGGGTAAGGTTTGGGTATATTTGGGTAAGATTTAGGTATATTTGGGTGTATTTGGGTAAATCGTCGCGCCGGTTTATTTACAAGTCTAACTAGTTTGTCATGGTAGCTGTTCATAGTGGAATCATGTATAAATACAGAATTAGGCCACCAAACTTAAAACAAAATGCACTGTAGTCTGTCAACCGTAAATATACTCTTTTGTTTATTTTTTTATGCGCATGACTGCCGGAAAGCAAAAGTAAACACAATCAATAATTACCGCGACGATGCAGATTAATAAATATTTATGGTTTTAAATATATTTACTGGATATACATGTAAATATACGAAATGCAAGTTTTCTTTCGTTCTAGTCTACAGTATACGTTCTTACGTTACTAAGGTGCTATGCTTCAGTGACATTTGCCAGGGCTTTCTATTTTCGTCACCTGCTATCGATGTTATGTCATGATAGATTATTCATGAGCACGTATTGATTGAGTTTTATCTTAAGTGTAATGAATACGTAAACATTTGTGAATTGCATCAAGCGGGTGTTACCTGTATTGTTACGTGTACTGATTACGTCATATTATGTGGGCTCACTCAGGTGTATATATACCGTTGACTGTACCTGGTTTCAATCGGGGAGAGCGGTCCAGCGAAGAATATTCAGGTGAGAGCAATGACAGGTAAGCACCCGGTGACGTGAGGGGACCAGTGGACCGGAACGGCAGAGGCTGACGTCGGTGGGCGCACGGGTTGTCGCCGGGAACGCCGTAGCGGCGTTTGGGAATGCCGGAGCCTCTGCGTTGCTATCCTCACGGCATCGAGTGACTAACTACATAGATATCTTTGGGTGCCCACATAATAGGACGCACTGCCCTCATCCTGTTGCTACTGGTCTTTTATCTGTTTTGCGAATAAACTGTGGAAACTGTCAATGATAGCGTTGGCTTATTTGTCAGAACATTTACTCCTGGAGGTTCGAACGCCTTTGTACGCCAGAACCCGGAAGGACAACGGTGGACCACAGACAGTAAACCATTACATTAAGATATTGTTAAGTATATAAATGTGAGTACAATATTTTTATTATTTTATTATCAATTTTGAGTTATGTGTATGAGAGTGGTTGCGTATTGACACGTGTGCTGCAATTCACATTAAACTTTTGGAAACATTCCAAACCACAGGCGAAAAATTGCAGTGTCACAGAACTTTTTAATTCTGTACCTCATTATGTGAGGCCATTGCAGCAGGTGTGTTATCATTTTCAGCAGCAACTCCTATGGAACAAGAAGGAAATAATCAGGCAACTTTATGAGTCTAGCGCTCGTGGGATTTGCTCCAATATGTCGTCGGTCCAATCTGTTGTCCAAAGTGAAGATGACTTCCCCCACAATGCTTCATAGGGTGGTAGGAGAGATGCAAATATTGGCGTTTCACAGTCTTTCATACCAACAACAGCGTCTGAAAATATCCCACTTGTCCAATAAAAATTAATGCAATGGATTTATAGAATAATGCATGCCTTGCAGAGATCTCAATCCGAAACATTAATAAGTTTACAAAGAATGAACTATTGTTTTTTTATTAGCTAGCGTGGGTTTCATGAAATAACACGCATTGTTTTACAAACAACGAAGGTTTAGATCACCCTATCTTACCCTCAAAGAATGAACTATTGTTTTTTTATTAGCTAGCGTGGGTTTCATGAAATAACACGCATTGTCTTCTTAATGTTTGGTGATGAGGCGTTATTGAAGGTCCAAAATTTTATACAGGTAAACTTACACAGGTAAACCGTGAAGCTATTTGAAACGTTTTGAAACAAGAGGCCCAGAGGGCCTGTATCGCTCACCTTGATCTTTATGACCAACTGTCCAATATCTGTGCATACGTTCCACAGTAGATGCTTAAAGCAATATGACAAAGTTCTCCATATGGGTTCTATCCCTTAGTAGTCCAAAATAAGTCATTTGTATATAAGCCTTTAATGGCCAAATATGATGGGTTTTTGGTTAATCAGCAGAAGTTGATTAACTATTTTACCAAATCTAACCCCAATGACCTTAAATATCATTATGGATCAAGTTTTTTTCCCCACACACTATGTGGGCACCATTAAGGGAACCTTTTGGACAAATATTATGATCCTAAGCCTTTAGCTTAATCAGAAGTTGTTCAAACGTTTAACACATTTGACTGTTGTGACCTTGAATGTGGGTCAAGGTCATTTCTGTTCTCAAATATTACCGGGCATCATCGAGAACCTATTTTGGAATAATATCACTATCCTAGATGTTTTGGATCATCAGTAAATGTAATTTAAAGGTTTGACACATTTGAACCCTGTGACCTTGACTATGGGGCAAGGTCATTTCTTTTTGCAAACTTTGTTGGGCTTTATCAAGGGAACCTTCCAGCCAAATATAATCATTCTAGGCCTTCTAGTATTTTGGAAGATGTTGTTTAAAGGTTTTAACACATTTGACCTCTGTGACCTTGAATATGGGTCAAGGTAATTTCTTTTTGCAAACTTTGTTGGGCTTCATCAAAGGAACCTTCCAGCCAAATATGATGATTCTAGGCCTTCCGGTATTTTGGAAGAAGTCGTTTAAAGTTTTAACACATTTGACCTCTGTGACCTTGAATAAGTGTAAAGGTCATTTCTTTTTGCAAACTTTGTTGGGCTTCATCAGAGGAACCTTCCAGCCAAATATGATAACTCTACGCCTTTCGGTATTTCAGAAGAAGTTGTTTATATGAGAAGTTGACGAACGCAGGACAGACGGACGATGGATGGACAGAAGGACGAAGGACACCGCGCTATGGCATAAGCTCACTTGGCCCTTTGTACATTATATTATAGTGGTATGTAGTGCTAAATTTACCTGTATTTTAAATAAAACTCTTAATAGATTAATTGCTGGTTTGTTTTCTTAGCCATTACAGACTTATACATACAATTTCCTGTTTGTCCCAAAAAATATTTTTACCTGATTTTTCAGTTTTGGGACAAACAGGATGACACCTTATTGAATTATCGATGTGATGTCATTGGAATGTTGCCCTGACGTCTTATCATTAACCTGACGGGGAAGCCCTTGTCTCCCATAGGATAACACGAAAGACTTACACCATCCGAAACAAATTTAGAATTAGACACAGTATAGACAAATCTGTTCAAAACAGAAGACGTTTTCATTACCTTGGAGGTATCCTTGGCTATGACATGGAAATCGGATTCCAGTAAAAGCGTTGATACACCTGTCTAAGACAAGACAAATGATGCTTCTGTGAAACTGACCACAGGGATTTGACATGAATTATCGACCCATAGTCCATATTTATGTATTATAGTGACATATATGGACCGTGGGTTTAGGATTCGTGTAAAATTCCTGTGGATGTAACATGCCATGTTACACAGCGATAAGGGTGAAAGAGTTCACACCTGGATTGCACGGTCTTTTGTTCATGTCACAGATGGTGTGATGAACAACAAATGAATTTACAGGCGTGGAGATGATTAGGATTCGTGATTAAGAAACAAATGCAACACTACAAATTTCAGCAGTCATGATTGGTAGTTTTAGCGAATTTTGAAAACAGAAGACACCTATTTGAATATTTTTCTTCTTATTGTAATTGTATAACATAGAACATGTATATTTTTCTGATATCGGTTAAAGTGTTAATGTACTTCAATGCGGTACGATTTGCCTTATTGTAAAAAGAGATCCCAGATGGTGTGATTTTTTCCTTCCTAAGCTTTTTCTTTCATTTTGTTTCCCCTGGACATTACTTTGTCAAAGTTTTGGCCAGGCTGAAAAATAACAACATTCATTTGTTTCTGTTTCAAATGAAAACCCAAATATTTTTCTCAGTGGTGCAAATGAAAGTAGGGAAATAGTTCAGGCTATTTGTTCAAGATGAGTTTTGTTGAATTTTGGAATAAACGGAAAAGTAAGATTTTGTCATGATAATCTTGGGATCACTTAATGCAGATTTAATATCATTGCCATTCTCTACAAATGTTTCAGACCAAATTAGTTAGAAAAAAATCTACTCAGGAATTAAGGAGCAGCCTTTTAATTTAATTGTCTAACTTCCTCTTTGGGGCCCCACACCTTAGTTTCTATAGAACCTCCCCGATGTTTCAGATCAAATTTGGTTGAAGTCTACCCATAAATTAAAAAGGAGAAGTACCATAAAGACAAATATTGCCTCACTTCCTCTTTAGAGTCCCTGAAGTCCCTTCGGGTGAAAATCAACATTCAGAATGGAAGAATTAAATGCCCATCCTGTATGTTTCAGACAAAATTTGAATGAAATCCATTCAAGCACAAGGAAGAGTAGCATTTTGAAGCAAAGTATTGACTAACTTCCCCTTTTCAGGCCCCATCCCCAGGTCCCTGGGGGTTTTGATACTTTCTGAATTTAAGAAAGAATTCCCCATCTGTTGTCATGTTATAGACCAAATTTGGTAGAATTGAAGTTCTTATAACACAACCATTGAAACACCACACTCTAATCTTCTACTGGTTGTGTTATAAGAACTTCTATTCTGTTGACATTACCAACCTGTAAAAAAATGTTCCAAAATATCATAAATAAAATCTGTTTTATTAACTAAAATTGAGGAAATATACTTTCACTTGGATAAGTTAGGTATTACAAAAAAGCAAGGCTAATTATTATAGAACACAAATATCTGTATTTAGCATTTCATTAAAAGGTACATAAATATCTTAACACACTTTTGTGACACTTTCGTACCTTAATTCTCAGTGTAATAGTCAACATTTCTTTTCTAAAGTAGAAAAAGAAACATACGCTTAGAGTCATTTACTAAGGTATTTGTTCCTCTATCCATCAGTTAATTGATTAATTAATTCATTCATTCATTCCCATTCATTCATTCATAATCCAAGTACAACAATTCATATATCTAATTATGACTGATTTAGTCATTTGAAACCCTCTGTACCTTAAACTTACATATTGTGTTTGTATTTTTTTCTTTGATAAGGCAACATTTCAACACCAGACAATATCAATAGACAATAGACACTCCAGACAAGAACCATTCTTGATATCACCTATAACAGATAACTTACTTCCAGTAACCAATTATTACAGGGACACAGGTTCCATGTGGAATTCGAAGTCGGCATGCTTTTCAATACCAATGTAAATTTTGTACTTTACTAACAACACCACAATAGATATAATTTGATGATATTTATGATGTGTGTACAAATTTGGCAGAATATGTCATACACATGTATGTATTAAAATAGTCATTCTTTCAAGGTGTGAATATTTTAGATTCAGGCACCTACATACACAATTAGAATTCACATTCAGAATAGGTAATTTATATAACAAGAGGCCTAACGGCATTGATGGTCACCGAAGATAAGTAATACTGAATATAAAGGATAGTTATCAAGCATCATGAAACAGAAATTGTGACACTGAACATATCATCAAAACTGTCATCCTATACTGATAATTCTTACGAAGTTATTTCCAGTGGAAAACAACCAAAGTTATGCTCAAAAATGACATTTTTTGCTATGAAAAAAAAAAATTCCTCCCCAGGAAGAAATGAAGCATAATTTGGTATCTTATAATTAAGTATTTTGGTAAATCTAATAAATTATATATTAATATCATTCCGTTCAATATGTCCTAAGGATATACACATATCACACATGTAGGTTCCTGTCTATTTCAAGATCCTATGGTCAATACCTATTTTGCCTTTGGTTATTATATGTCAAATTTACCTGGTTACCTGGATACTAAATATGTAATCCTTATTAAGTACTCCAATCTTATATCAGTATATCTAACATGTTGGCGTGGTGCATGTAATTTCTTATATAATGTAACATTTATTTTCCCTGTCCATCTCTATAAAAGCTGGTAAGAAACTGTATTAAACAGTCGATCTCTAGGACATACATCCGTATGTCCACACACCAATAAACTTCTTAAACAGACAATCCTGGGCTCAGTCATATTTACAATGAAGATCTACACACTAGGAAAGAAGAACTAGAACATTATAGAAATGTGTGACTAATTTTGGTAATTAAAGCACCTTCAGATGCTTCCATTCATGATGAGCATTTGATTCTACCATGTCTGGGAATTGAGAGGAAGATTTTTGAAATTTAAATCAATTTGATCCTTTTTGGCCTTGTCCATCAGCACCTGGAATTCAGTCTGGATCTCTATGGGCATACTATCATATCTGGGTCTTAAATGACGATTTTTGAAATCCAAATCAGTTTGACCCCTTTTGTGCCCGTCCCTCAGGCCCCTAGGGGGTGGGGACTGTATAATTCACAAGTTTGGTTCATCTTAGGCCAGGGAAGGTTTCTGCAAAATTTTCTTGAAATCAGATAAGGGGTTTTGAGAAGAAGTCGAAAATGTTAAGTTGTTTACAGATGCATGATACTGGATGAAGATGATTGCAACAGGCCACCATGAGACTTTAGGTGACCTAATAAAACACAGTCATATTGCCTTCTTATTCTATTTTAGTATAAACATTCTAGACTTGGAATTCACACATAAAATTACTGCCGCAAAATAAATTAGTTGTCTCAGCTGATAAATATTTTGCTACTGACAATCTACACATCATTTAAGTCTGATGAAAATATGATGCTGTCTGCATATGCAAAGTTATGGAAACACTATAGGTATAGAAAACACAATTCCCCAGGACATCTTCAACAAATATTGTAGAACAGTTGTCCAAGGGTTGTCTTGTTAAACACTTGTTATTGATCACATGACTGCAACAGAGTGACTCTGATCATTCACTATGATGACCTTATACCATGTATATAACGTGTGTAGCTTGGCTGCCACATTCTTTTATAACATGGCTTTACCTGATCATGTACTCTCAATTGCTCCACGAGCATCATCTCCTTTGAATACTATGAAGAAAATCCAAGGGGCAGTCCATACAACCAGAATATATGTACCGGTATATGTAGTTGCTCTAAATCAGGTGATCCTGTGTGGGTCCTGCATACACTTAATGGTATTGCTTCACTTATCAATCAGTGTTCCTTTCGGTTTCTTCTTGGCTTCCTCAGCCTGAAATATTACAACAATAATTTCAATGTCAAATTGCTATGAAATTTTACAATACTATCAAAAGCACAAACAACTTCTGTATTTGTTATTCTTATTGACACTAACAGTAAGATATCTAACTTAGAAGGCCAATATATTACATCTGAATCAAACACAGGGTGTCAGACCTTTTACAGAACAAGTAAAAAGCATGTGTTTATATTCCCACTAGACAGCAATTATTACTTCATATGGGTTAATTACTGGATAAAAGAAGTAAGCAGTAAACACACTTTGCATATATTCTGTTAACCAGGTGATAAATAACATATAGTATATCATCCACAGCACTCCAGCAGTTATGATCACTTTTGCTCTCTGCACCTCTGGAACATTTCGAGGCAAAGTTAGTTTTTGACTTTTTACTCCTGAAACCCACCCTAGACCAATCAGATAACTTTGCTTGTGCCTTCAATTTTGCAAGGAAATGTTCCAGGAATGCAGAGAGCTATAGAGAACATTACCAATGGAGTATTGAGGATAATGGTATATGTACCTCTTCCATCATCTTGCGCTTGGTCATTCCTTTTCTAATCAACTGTTTCTCAATCACCCTGGCATTGGCAGCATAGGAATCAGCTATTTCTTTCTGTGGACATCGGAATCAATATGTAAAGAGAAAGTAGAGTTAAACCTATCAGAAAATTACTTCTGATGTTACAATAAATCATGAAAGAGTTTTCTCCCTTTATTGCAATTACTAAAATAACCAATATTGTATGATTACTTTTTTTCAAGTTCAGCAATGTAAGTATAATAAAAGACATCTTCATGAATCAGTTTTAGCAACAGATAATTCAATACAATTGCTTATTTTAACTAGCAGAGTATACATTGACTCTCTGAAAAATTGAAAAAAAAAAAAAAAATCAAGGGAGCACAGAGGGATCTCAGTGCCCATCATCATCTGACATTTCTATGTTCTTTAAAAGTTGTATCTTTTCCATCCTTCTCTCTTCTTTCCTCTGTTTTTACTCTTCATCATATGAAATTTAAAAATTTCTTTGAACAAATAGCAAAAATAATATTCAACTGTCAAATCGAAGATGGTTGCCTATCAGCCATTTTGATTTTCTGATCAGTCCCAAAATCAGAACGGTACAACTAGGGATCATGAGAACATATAAGAAAGATCAATCCAGTTCTTCTAAAACTTCTTAGGGAAAAACTCAGAAATTTAGGCAATAACCTGTTGAGACCATGAAACACATGTACAAAGCTTAATTGCATCCCTTTTCTCAGGGGGAAAAAAAAGAAAGATTACCAGATAAAATCTGTAATTTTGACATTCATCATTAAAGCTCAATTGTGAGATGATTTTAGGTCGATGAAGTTGAAAGTCTATACTGTTGCCCAAACCTATTGAATGCAATTTGACTTCTGGTATCACAAACTGATGCCAGACAAAATGAAAGCAGCATTTTTAAAAGGCAGTAAACTCACAGCTTCAATCTCCTCTTCTTCTTCATCGACAGTGGACACAGTCACAGAACTAAACTTGCCCATGTTCTTTGTATGCTTGGTTAATGTCACCTACACAGGAACAAATGTACAATTCAATATAAATTTCTGCATCATAAATACATACATGGCACCTTAGGAAGAATACATAAACAAGAAAATTACTCCATGAAAGTCATGTCTACAGCACAATTAGTAAACATATGAAAGTGAAAAGAAAACAAAAAGTGTATTAAAGTGTAACAATTATTCTTAGCATTTTTGTAACTGATACAGGTTTGTGATAACTGTAAGCCCTTTCACCAGTCAATTTATTTAAATTTTATATAAGTAATAACTTAAACAACCATAGCAACAACTTTCAGCTTTTTCAGCAGCTAAAATACCCAATTAAGATATGTTTGTTTATGAGCGTTATTAGTCCTTACATCTCACAAAAAATTTTGGGGTACTTTATTTGTAAAACTTTGTATGTTGCACCTGTTAAGTTATGTATGTGGTATAGACACTGAAAAAGGACAGGAATCCCAACACATAAAATCCTTCAAGTCAATTAGTTTATATACTTTTATCTTGAATTATTGCTTGGAATCGTATTTTTTTATTATCAGTATTTTGTTTTGGATATCAGCATAACTCTCTGGTTTATGTTTTGACTGTTGACACATGTACACATGTATGGAACTGTGTACATGTGTTATGTGTATGTGCATAAATACCTCTGTCATAAAAGAATTTTATACCTCTGAAACTGACGAGCCGAAATTATAAAAAAAAATCTTGAATGCTTGTATTAGTTTTTGTATCAAGATATAAAGTGTTTACTTAAAGTAGAATATTTCACTTTCAATCAAGGCCAATCGCAAAAAAATAGGATTACCTACATGAAAAGTGTCTGCCTTCTATACTACTGTTTACATATTAGACATCGTCAGTTGAAGTAAATCTTTGATGTCACGTATACCATGTGACTGGTCACCACATTAAATTTCTCACTTTTGCATAATTAGTATTTTTGACTGCCTGAAAACAGGTATGAGGAAACATTTGAGAAGTGTCATCTGGATGGTAGCGTTATTTAGATTATGATGTAACAGAATTCAACAAAAACCAAAATTGTGGCCAAAACCCATTAACTTTTCTCAAGATCAGTTTTATCTTATCTACCTTCTTTGGTTCTGAGATTTGACTGTAGACATCTGTTTTCTTTGCATCCCTCTTCAGTGCTCCATCCACAATAAACATGACTTTGCTGTTACCTTGGTGATGGTAATATAACCAGAGGCCACATCTAAAAGTCAAATACGTCTTATAGTGTTATTGAAATTACCAACAATTTGTCTAAATATTCAACCACTTCAAAGCAAAAATGATTACAAGATAATGTAGCATTTCCCTTTTTAAGTAAGAAGAAACAAAAAAATGAAATTTGTATCTGAATAAGTTTTTTTTATCAATAATTTAAAATAATGAAACCATTCATAGCAAATTCTAAATGTCTGAGAGTTGTAGATCTCTTTGTCTTAGTGTTATAAGTGCATGTCCATACCTTTTACATTTCTGTCTGTACTGTTTCTCAATGCCTTCTGGTCTGAAGAAGAAGAATAACTACCTATATATACATGATATGGTATAAACCTATATATGAATTTATTGTCCAAATTATCAAAAAAACCCAAAATACTCTCATCTATCTATGGTGGACTGTTTTATAAATATGTTTCCAACAGAGGATTGAATATCAATGAATAATTTTTGATAATGTGTAATTAAATATATATTATGTGTAATATAGAGAAGACATTAAATGAGTCTTTATTTCATATTAAGTTTTATGCAACAAGCTTCAGTTTTCATTTTCATGAAATTTGGAGAGCAAAAATTAAAACTTTTAAAACTAGTTTCATAAGACAGATATTTTGTTGTGTTACGTTCGATTCATATAGTTATGTCATTGTCCATGTAACTGCATCACAATCAATTTCTAATTTTGGCAGTCAATGGAAATCACTCCAATGTATAATACAGTAGTAGAGACTAACATACTACATGGGAGAATTCACTGGATAACAGGGGGATGGATTATGTGATAAATCTGTACATGTATAAGCAAGATGGATTATCTGGTCACTTCTGTTTGATATGATTAAATGTCATAGATTATTTCTATAAATGAAAACATAATAGAAACACCATAGAATGCCACAAATCTTTTCTAATTACTTCTATACTCTAGGTTACATACATTACTTCATATTCACATAACACACGCTGCAACATCATTTTTTTTTATATGTAAATTTTCAGAATTTTAGCTTATTTAAGGATCCTGTCACACGTTAATGAATTGGAAAACTTATGCCGAGGTATGATAAAGTGATCGAAATTCTCTAATACAATGGGATATGCTAAACTATAAATGCTTTTGTGACAATTTTGGGAACATGCATATCATATTCACACAAGTGGAAAGTAAACATAATGTATTAATTACTTATCCAGGATAAACCCATCACTTATAGAAACAAACATAGATGTACCACGCAGAAGGTATCTGATGTGTGCTACACATCAACAGAACTAACTAAGAAGCCGGCACACAGCCGCCGAATAATGGCATATTGGTAGCATTTAGGAGAATTTATTTATAAAATGGATTCACACAAAGACCCTATTAGTAGTTCTTGTTATCCAGGAAATGGAAGATCCAGCAAGGCTGACACAGGAATACCTACTAGATGTCCTCCATTGTCATTACCAGTGAAATGCTGTTGCACACTATATATGAGTTAAGATTATCGTTGTTTATATGTTGAGTATGCTAGAAAAATGTTAAGCATGAGTTAGTAACAAGTTTTGGATATGGTAGACATTATCTTGATTTGATGTTTGCCAACATATTAACCAAATTTTGTGCATGTTGACATACACTGGCTTAACTGTCAATATGTGTCAGGCCTGTTATCCACACTTACATGTACTACAGTGGAATGTAACATTGTTTTGTTATACAAATACTGGAATGACATGTTTCAGTTTACTTTTCAATACAAGTACTACACAGGAATATCAAATTATTGGTACAGATAAGTGCTTTGGTGGACTGTAAGCTTTATGTCTTCATAAACCCATATGGTAGTTGGAATTGAAGTAAGTGTGTACTTCTACTGTGGGATACCTATGTCATCTTATTTCTGCATACTCTTACAGGTATAGGGGAATATCACAACTAATAATAATATCTAAATGGAAGACCGTCATAAATAGCATACAACAGTTAATTCCCATATTCTGTACCACAGCTGGTTTTGGCAGTTCTTGCAAGTAATAACTATGATGAATTATCATAACTATGTTCTATTTGAGTAATACTGTAACCACCTTTTGAGGTATATAATATCATCTGGATCACATGTCAATTTATGAGCATGTTTTTGGCTATCAATCACTCTGGCATTGTCTCTCCTTCTCCTAGGAAGCTTGTCCATAGGACAATCTGAAAGATAGAAACATCAATCATTAAGCAGAGTAATTTATTACAGAGTGTAAGCTGCCATCAGCATTGCTGTGCTTTCAACTTCTACATCACTCCTTAGTTTTTGTTCTCAAAAGAAACCACAAACCAAATTACCATGACCCAGGTTCTGTGACTTCAAAACAACAAAACAAGTCTCTAACTCTAAACAATAACATAAGTCTCTAACTCTAAAACCACAATTCAGATTCTCTTACTCCAAAACGCAACACTGGTTATCTAGCTCGCAAACAACAAAACATGTCTCTACCTCTAAAATCACAACACAGGTTCCCTAACTTCAAAACAACAAAACAGATCTCTAACTCTAAAACTACAACCCAAATCCTCTATCTCCTACAATGTTGGTTCTAGCTCAAAACCCAAAACAGAGGTTGAAATTATCTAGCTCCAAAAACACAATACCATAACTCATTTTCTCTTGGAACAAAACCTAAACACATGTTCTGTAACTTCAAAACCACAACTAAGGTTTTCTAGCTCCAATACAACAACCCAGGTTCTCTAGCCCCAAAAACCACAACCCAGATTCTCTAGTTCCAATTATGCCTCTTAGTTTCCAGTAACTTATAAATGAAAAAGCATTAAATTAAATTAAAAAAAAAAAAAAAGGAAAGAAAAAGAAAATCTCTTGCCCCTGCTGGCGCTCAAACTAGTGATCAACTGAACTGTAAGAGTGCACCTTAACACTTTTGGCAGCAGTGAAATATTTGCTCACTAATCTGGTAAAAGTGAGATTAGGCCCAGAACTTCTACACATGACATCTAACACCATGCTATTTACAATGTATAACAACTCAGAGATCATGAACATTATATATTATATTTAATTTGATAACTTTGTTACATGTTTGTCTTATAAACAACAATGCTTTGGGTAATTTCTCAATAACAATTTTGTTGTTATTATGCTGGTAACATTTTTTCTGACATTCTTTAAATGCTTTATAAAGTCTGTGGTAAACGCACAACTTCACAACAAACATTTAAACTCACATAAATCAAATACTTGGTTAATGAAAGGTTCAAATGCTTCACCAGTTTGGCATTATTTGATTACCAGATGTTAAATAGAAGTACAAGCATTAATGGTTGCTCTCTTTGTGACACTTTCAAATATCTACAACTTTATAATACATTTATATATCGAGTACAATGTACAGTAATTAATTTTGTATATCCTTTAAGCAATAGAGGTATTACACTCTCAATGTATATTAATATCTAGTGTTTATATAGGTAGCAATGATAAATAAAGATTACATATAAAATTTTCTTTTCATAAAAGTAAGTATTGATATACTTCATACTTTGAATTACCCTTTCCCTTGGCTCTTACATAAGGTATGTAAGGAGAGTATCTAAAATTCGTCAACAACCGAAACAAAATTGTCTTTTAAAAATATATTTCAAAATACTAAATACATTTTAAAACATTGAGGAACAGCTTACAGATTTTCTTCTCAACTGCCTGACTGCGGTTTTTAAAATGAATGCATTGACAGACGAGGCTAGTCGGACCGAAAATTTCTGTCACTAAAAGAATAATTTAATCATGGAGTTACGTATTATTGACACAAAAATATCATTTTAGTGGCAGACATTTTCGATCTAAAGGATAGTTCCTGTAGTTTATGAAAAAAGTGACCACTTGTAATGTTTTTCATATGGTGATATCGGAAACCTGGAATGCGGGTGAACGTTTTTGTACATTTAAACGTATGGGGTATCGTGAAGCGTGATAAACAGCATTTGTAGTGTTATAAGTAACGAGACAATTTCACTAACCCGTTTACTTTACCTAGGATGAGAGATATCTGTCCACAGAGACAGTAGTATACATATAGAGGTTTTTCGCCTTGATACTCTTCTTGATCTTTTGTATCAGTGCAAACAACACTACGTGAAACAACCTTTGGCATTTTTTAGTTTTCGCTAAGTTCACCGAGAAAGCAGATTGCGCTAAACGTCACTTCCGTAGTCCGCTTAACATTGCAAATAACACGCCTTGCTTGTTCAACGAAAAAATAGGTAATAATTGACGTGTTGTATACACAAAAATTGATATCATTTACAGATATCAATAGATGACAGTAACTGCAATATATCGAATTATCGTCGAATGGTAAATTAGTTATTATTGTTTTAAGCGACATTCTCCTGCACACATAACGATGACGTCATTTGTGAAGTTTCACACTTCCGGCGAAATCACCGAAAAATCATGGAGCAGACGCCATGCCTCTCACAGATGCCGATTCCGTCATCAACAGTAAAACGTAACAATTCTCCACGTGTCTCCAATGGGTCAACTGTTGTAAAATACGAGGACTTCAATTTTCAATTTATTCCGGAGGAGAGTAAATACGAGAAACTTACGAAAATTGGACAAGGTACTTTCGGGTACGCAATTTTAACAATATGGCATGCTGTACCTTGAATTATTATTCACAGACACATACACACATGTAGATATATTTCAGTTATGTTATATGACTTAGTCTGAATTAAAGGTGAATGATCATTACTGACTCTTTGAATATTATGGGAGCTGTTCACAAGAGAATGGGTTAATTTCGGCAAGTTTTGGTCAATATGAAAAATGGGATTGGCTACCCATGTGAAATTAAAGGGGAACTGGAAAAAAAACTGAGAGATCAGTTGTAGTCCAGAGCTCCGTCCCTAACCTGCCCTCCACAATTACTCCCGCTAACTAGCAGAGACTATTGCATGTACATGTAGCTCATGATCACCTGACCAGAGGGCAAGTGAGCTTACATGACTGCATTAGTGTGTTTTATGTTACCCTCTTTAAAGAACTTTTCAATAACCAAACGGCCAAGGATACGAAATAAGGGCAGTAAACTGATGTGAATGTAAGTTGAAGGGTGTATGCTGAGTTGTCCCAATGAATTAGCTTCACTCTCTAAAGGCACAATTATTAAATGGGTTATCTAGGAATTTCTAAACAAAAGGTTCATGATCATGGTGTTGGACCAGTATCATAAACTATAAAGAAGGATTATCTGGCTTATGCAAATTATTTGCATCAATTGACCCCTCTTTTAAGGTCAAGGATTACAATTCTTGGCTTATAGCATGCAGGGATGAAGGGCTGCCAAATTTGGTCAAATGAATGACATTGTGCCCCACTTTCAAGGTTGAGGTGGTTAAATGTGATAATATATGTAATATGTTTACACTTGGTAGATGAGCTACAATGTTTGTTCAAATGAATTACCTTGATGTTTGTACACTTTCAAGGGTACAGTGATAGATATTTTGAAATACACATATTTTAACATCCTCTCAATAAGAAAGGGACTGTATAATACACTACCATCAGTCTTGTAGCATGATGGAATGAAGTATTTGTTCAAATGAATGACAGGGCTCGCTCTCCAAATCAAAAGGGTCTGAGGTGTACAAATCTTCGAATAATAAAAAAACATGTTCCTAAGGTTTGTAATTATATATAGTGTAATGAATGGTTATGGTTTTTGGGATAATCATGTGGCTTAATAGAATAAACTATTAAAATAATGCTATCTCTTTGCATATGAGAGTTAAAGCTTGGGTATAAATATTAATTTGAGACTAATTAAGTGAACAAAATCACTGGTATGCAGTTTGAGATTTAAGTACAGCAATTTTGAATTACTAACATATTTCCATGGGATTTATTTACTGTTGATATATATATCTTAACACAAAACTCATCAAATTGAGTTTGATGAGAAAAATTATCATTTGGTATACATATCGTATTATTTTCAAAAGTCATTACAGCTCTGGCCAATTCAAGTAGAATAATAAAAAAAGGGTTTTGTTGATTTAGTATTATACATATAATTGTGAATGCTATTTGGAATAAAGTTATTTGAATTTCAGAGAGGTGTTCAAAGCTAGGGATAGAAAAACCAGACGACTTGTGGCCATGAAGAAAGTCTTGATGGAAAATGAGAAAGAAGGGGTAATCATTCTAGTATGATACAATATCAAAACTGGGAACTAGAAAATGTCTAAAACACAAATTATACTGCTTCCAAATATAAGAATAATTGTTTAATGAATTTGTAGAAGTTGTAAAATGTGACCTTTGACCTTTAATTTTACTGATGTTCTCCTTTTATTGTATGATGTGTAGAATTTGTAAATACATGTACTACTATGGAACTTGGAATGGGATGTGATGGGACAGGATAGACAGGCAAGGGTAATACTATGCCCCCACTCTGCCCCAATAACATGATTGGGGAATGTCAATTTGCATGGATATTTAGACATATTCAAGATTGAAATAACTTTGAAGTAAGAAGTTGTTGAAGATTTAACCCCCCTCCCCCTCCTCCCAATTACATAATTTGTGAAAGGAATGACAATTTCATGGTATTGGTATTGTAATAAGAAGTCACATAAATGACAGACCAAGTAAACCTACAATTATATCTCCAAGTCTCCATAGTGTTAATTTTTTAATTTATGATGAATCTGTTAGAAAAACACTCAATCAATTTACATTTAATGAAGATATGTACTTAACCTTTATAATGTATGGTATGCTAAATGATGTAAACTGAATTCATGCAGCTTTAATTTAAGATGTTCACCAAATACATTGCTGCTTTGTTGTTTTTCAATATTGCTTATTTTCATTTCAGTTTCCAATTACTGCACTGAGAGAAATAAAAATTCTACAGTTGCTCCGGCATGAAAATGTCCTGAATTTGGTAGAAATATGCAGAACAAGAGGTATTTTCACTTCCTTAACAATATTAATGTAATTTCATCCAATCTAATTAGTATTGTAGAAGAACGGAATTACAAGTCTCATTTCAATTAGATTCTAGCTTCTTCACACCATGCGTTTATTTATGTGATTGATGTTTAGTTTAATATACATTTTTGTGTGTCATTGCTGCACTTTTATCTCTTGATACACCCTAGTACTAGCTAATGTAATTATTTGTACATCTGCCCCACTTTCTACCATAGCTCTGTCACATCTATTTTTTAGGTCATCTGACCCGAAGGGTCCGATGACCTATAGTCATCATGCTTCGTCCGTCGTCGTGCGCCGTCCGCCGTGCGCCGTCCGTAAACTTTTCATTCAAACGACTTCTTCTCAAATACTAGAAGGTCTAGGGGGCTAATACTTGGCACAGAGGATACTGGCATGGAGCTCTACCAAGTTTGTTCAAATGAATGACCTTGACCCACTTTAAAGGTCACAGGGGTCAAATATGTTAAAATCTTTAAACAACTTCTTCTCATTAACCAAAAGGCTCAGAGTGTAGATATTGGGCCTGTGACATGCTGGGATAAAGTGCTACTAAGTTTGTTCAAGTGAATGACCTTGACCTACGTTCAAGGTCACAGGGGCCAAATATGTTGAAATCTTTAAACGACTTCTCCTCAATAACCAAAAGGCTCAGATTGCTGATATTGTGCCTGTGGCATGCTGGGATGAAGGGCTATCAAGTTTGTTCAAATGAATGACCTTGAACAACTTTCAATGTCACAGGGGTCAAATATGTTAAAATCTTTAAATAACTTCTTCTCAAATACTAGAAGGCCTAGGGGGCTAATACTTGGCCCATAGCATGCTGGCATGGAGCCCTACAAAGTTTGTTCAAATGAATGACCTTGTCCCACTTTCAAGGTCACAGGGGTCAAATATGTTAAAATATACAAAGGACTTCATCTCAATAAGCAAAAGTCTATGAGTGCCGATATTGGGTCTGTAGCATGCTGGGAGGAAAGGCTACCAAGTTTATTCAAATGAATGACCTCGACCCACTTTCAAGGTCACAGGGGTCAAATATGTCAAAATATACAAACGACTTCTTCTCAACAAGCAAAAGTCCATGAGTGCTGATATTGGGCCCGTAAGATGCTTGGAGGAGAGGCTACCAAGTTTGTTCAAATGAATGACCTCAACCTACTTTCTAGGTTTGGCTTGCTTTTTGTCAGATGACCGTTAAGGCCCATGGGCCTCTTGTTTTATCATTTTAGCAGTCATATTTATGCCTCACTTACATAAAGGAGTCTATAGGAATCACTCTTTTTTTGTGCATGAATTCATGATAACCTTGTGTGCAAGATATCTCATGTACCCATGAACAGATATGGTTCATATACGCACCATAGGGTCATAACATGAAAGTCAATACCTGATTCAGTTTTGATGGTCAGCAGTCAAAGTTAATTGTCAAAGGATACCCTTGACCACTTTGGAAATAAAATGCTTGTGTACAAGATATTTCACAAATCCATGAACATGATTAGTTCAGATTCATACCGGAGTATCACAATACCAAGGTTTACACACCTGATTTAGACTTTGGTGGTCATTTGTCAAGATAAAAGGTCAAACATCACCCATGACCATTTTGTAAATAAATGCTTGTGTACAAGATACAGACTATTACAAATAATGACATATGATTACAATGTTCCAGACGCTAGGCTAGGGTTGGGAGTATATATGTATATATATTTGAGCCTCTGCACATTTTATTATGAATTGAATTTTTTCGTACTTAGCACATATATACATATCTATCTTTTAGGAGTCATTGACAAGTTTAAATATGAAGGTCATAGACCAAAGGTCAAGGTTATTTGATTTGGTAAAAGTGAAATTTCCTGTTAAATATCCTAAGGATTGATGAAAAGAATATAATTTTGCTCATACTGCACATATCTTTGAGATAATGTAAACTGTTAATATTTTTTATGCTCCCTAAAATTTTTTCTTGCTTTGTCAGTCTAACCGTCTTTTTGCCTGTCCTTCCATCTCTGGAGCATAACTTTGCCCACATTTAAGCAAGGATTATAATACTTTGTGGATGTATCAGTCATAATAAGATGATATGCAGTGTACCAAAATGAGAGCCAGCAACCCCTTGATTACAGAGAAATAGCCATTTGCTTAAATGTTTTATGTAAAGCATAATTTTATATTGCTTGCAATTAAAGTAGGATAGTGAAACTTGGTACATACATGAATCATACTGAGACAATTTGCACTGTGCTTAACACTTTGGATGCAACCCCTTAATTACAGAGTTACCTTGTTTTTACATTACGATAGTCATACTAAGACAATGTGCAGTGTGCCATATTGAAGACCTGCAAACCCTTAATTACAGAATTTTCGCCCTAGGTTAGAATTTTGTGTCTCGAGTATAACCTCGGTCTCATTTAAAGTAGGGTATTGAAACTTTGTGTATATATTGTATACGAAGACTATGTGCAGTATACCAAATCAGGGCCCGCAACCTCTTATTTACAGAATTTTTGTCATTTTCTTTGAATTTTGTGTCCGATAAAGATGTTTTCAGAGAGCATTTATCAGTTTCACGGATACTCTTGTTACTTTTAAGGTGTTACAATTTTAGGCCCCATTTATCTTAAACCTGCAGAAAAAAGTTTTGACTTGATAACCTTCTTGTGACCTAGCTGGAAAAATACCACAAGAGCTTGGGATATTGTGAACTTTGGTCACTTCCTGCTATCTATAAGATGATCCTAAGTTTATGTTTGATCCTGTGGAAAGTGGATTTATGAGTTCTCACAATATTTATTTCATATAACTGTACTTTTTATTGATGTTTTAGCCACACCCTATAATAGAGGAATGAGTACATTCTACATGGTGTCTGATTTTGCTGAACACGACCTAGCAGGACTTCTGAGCAACACAAATGTGCGATTTAGTTTAGGAGAAATTAAAAAGATAATGCAACAGTTATTGAATGGTCTGTACTTCATACATGAAAACAAGATTTTACATAGGGATTTGAAAGCTGCAAACATACTAATTACTAAACATGGTGTGCTAAAGTTGGCAGATTTCGGCCTCGCTCGTGCTTGGAGTCAACCTCAGCGAAGTAACCAGAACAAATACACCAATAGGGTGGTGACCTTGTGGTACCGCCCTCCAGAGCTGTTACTCGGGGAAAGAAATTATGGGCCAATCATTGATCTTTGGGGGGCAGGATGCATAATGGCTGAGCTTTGGACACGCACACCAATTATGCAAGGAAAGACGGAACAGAATCAAATGTTCCTGATCTGTCAACTGTGTGGATCCATTACTACTGATGTGTGGCCTAATGTCGACAAATATGACCTCTTTACTCAGATGGAACTACCTACTGGTCAAAAACGCAGAGTTAAGGAAAGACTAAAAGCCTATGTTAAGGATCAATATGCTCTAGATCTCATTGACAAGCTCTTGGTGCTGGATCCTTCAAAGAGATATGATGCAGATACTGCCCTGAACCATGATTTCTTTTGGACAGAACCTGAACCAATAGACCTGGCTGAAACCTTGTCTAAACACACAACATCAATGTTTGAGTACTTAGCTCCACCCCGGAGAGGAGTTCAACAAGGACACCGGATTCACCCACACCAGGCACAGACACACCGCCCTGTACATAACAATGACCAGCATTTTGATCAAGTCTACTGATGATAGCTGTAATTGTTGTATACAAATTATGAAACAGAATCTGTAAGTCTTGTTCCTTAACATCTCAGCTTGACTTTTACTAGCTGTTGTCCAAAACATCTCAGGAATATGTACATGTTTTTTGCTTTCATATGTATTTCAGTTAGTTTTATATTCTCTTTTTCACAATCAAGCCATTATTTAGTCTTTGAACTGATGTCCTAGTTTGTTTTGATTAAAAAGGAATCTTGCTTTTTGCTGAATTCTTCACCAAAAACAGAAATGACCAACTCATTTACTTGACCCTTGGAAGTTGTGATACTTTCCATGATAACCAGATAGTCATGTGCATGTTGTTGTCAAATCAGTTTTCAAAATTCATAATATATGATATGAACTTTATTTATCTGACGAACATACTACATTTGGATTTTTTGTTGTCAAATTTTAGAATTGTTTTCTTAATGAGATGCACAATGATATTAGTGTGATTACCACATAACGTCTGCTTCTCTTCACTTTCAGTTAGCAATGATTCTGTCCAAATGTAATTTTTTACGATGTTTCAAGAGTTTTGATTGCCAGACCATTCTCATAAATATGAACATCTAGACTTTTGTATATTTGACTTAATTTGGGTGAAAAATATTTTCCATTTTAATAGGTGTCTATGAAAAACAGACCAGCACCATAAACAGTATCATATATAAATTTACATTAGTACATGATGATCAATATCAAGTGGTTTATTAAGTCATGTGATTATTACCAACATTGATATAACCAGTACTGCTGATGAAGTGATCTCCATTGCCACTCCTAACCATACTGTACTGCTGATAAAGTCATATCCATTGTTACTCCTAACCACACTGTACTGCTGATCAAGTCATATACATTGCCAATCCTAACCACACTGTACTGCTGATAAAGTCATATCCATTGTTACTCCTAACCACACTGTACTGCTGATAAAGTAATATTCATTGTTACTCCTAACCATACTGTACTGCTGATCAAGTCATATACATTGCCAATCCTAACCACACTGTACTGCTGATAAAGTCATATCCATTGTTACTCCTAACCACACTGTACTGCTGATAAAGTCATATACATTGCCAATCCTAACCACACTGTACTGCTGATAAAGTAATATTCATTGTTACTCCTAACCATACTGTACTGCTGATAAAGTAATATTCATTGTTACTCCTAACCACACTGTACTGCTGATAAAGTCATATCCATTGTTACTCCTAACCACACTGTACTGCTGATAAAGTGATCTCCCTTGCCACACCTAACCACACTGTACTGCTGATAAAGTCATATCCATTGTTACTCCTAACCACACTGTACTGCTGATAAAGTCATATACATTGCCAATCCTAACCACACTGTACTGCTGATAAAGTCATATCCATTGTTACTCCTAACCACACTGTACTGCTGATAAAGTAATATTCATTGTTACTCCTAACCATACTGTACTGCAGATAAAGTTATATCCATTGCCAATCCTAACCACACTGTACTGCTGATGAAGTGATTTCCATTGCCACACCTAACCACACTGTACTGCTGATAAAGTGATTTCCATTGTCACTCCTAACCACACTGTACTGCTGATCAAGTCATATCCATTGCCACACCTAACTACGCAGTACTGCTGATAAAGTGATCTCCATTGTCACTCCTAACTACACTGTACTGCTGATAAGGTGATCTTCATTGTTACTCCTAACCACACTGTACTGCTGATAAAGTGATCTCCCTTGCCACACCTAACCACACTGTACTGCTGATAAAGTGATCTCCCTTGCCACACCTAACTACACAGTACTGCTGATAAAGTGATCTTCATTGTCACTCCTAACTACACAGTACTGCTGATAAAGGGATCTCCCTTGCCACACCTAGTTACACAGTACTGCTGATAAAGTGATCTCCCTTGCCACACCTAACCACACTGTACTTCTGATAAAGTGATCGTCATTGTCACTCCACACTACACTATACTGCACAGGTACATTGTATATAAGCTGTGTCTTCATAATAGCCTGGCAGGCTGAAATGCGAACTACCAGCTGTAAACTAAGATAAGAAACCTTGCTAAAGGTGTAACTCTTCTCATTCATTTAAAACTGATTATACATATATTGTATTAGTTCCTTATATGAAATTATCATATAATACATGCAAACATTTCCTTTTGATTGCCAACATTATATTTAAAATGATGTCACTGTTATTTAAATGGCAAGAATTAATGTGTTCAATTATATATTGTTGCAGTAGAATTTTGGCATTGTTAAGTAAGTGCTATAATGAAATAAATTAAGGTTTTATACCAAAACAAACACAACATCAAGACATCAAAATATTATCTGGTTTCAAATCAGAGTTTTGCCTTGACTTGAAGACATTTTCCACCTTTCTCTCATTATTTCCTCCAGTGTGGTGGAATCAGACATATATATAGTATACATATATATACATGTCTATATAATACAAGTAAATGAATTGGAGAACTTAAAATGACATAGATAAGAATATTTATTTGCCAAGATAATTTGGTGACTTTGTGAACAATTGAGTCCTCCCGTTTTTGAGAAGTAATGTCTAGTGTTGGACAACATGAAAACTTCTGAAAATACAGAAGTGAATTTAACCTTATTTAGTTGAAAATATTCAGTTCTTTTTATATCATTCTTGGTGACACACTATTGGAATCTTAATTAATATCTCCTTATTTGATTGTTCTCCAGTTCCAAACACAAAGTTGATGAGAATGGTGAACAGTTTAAGAAAAGCTTGATTTTTTTAATATAAATGAAGTGCAGTATTTTGCACAGATAACATTCATATTTGCAGTAGCCTTTTTTATGTGAAAGTTGTTGGCATAAATGAAGACTTAAAGTTGAGCTCATATTGAGCAAAATTATGTAAGCAATTATTCTGTTATTGGTGTTAATTGGTTGATGTTTCTGTTGTGTGAAATACACTCTGCAAAGTACTTCAGCAAAAGACAAGCAATACCAGTGTATTTGTTGTACCACTTTTCATCAGTATCAATTTAGCCAAGTAGCCATGTAATTCTTTAACACACCTATGATAAGTTTATTTCACATTTATGAAAATTTCTGATGGTACATAATGGTTAAAAGTATTTAATCTGTCTCTAGTCATGTCCTTTATAGACATTCCTTGAGAAGGCGAGTAGCAAAAGTGGAGGATGCCACATGATGATTTAATTGAGAATACTTCTTTCCTGCCTGGTTATTGCTGCCAGCTTTAGTATTCAAAGGTTTATGCAATTGTATGTCTCTCTTGATCATCATGTCTCCTATGGATATTTAGTAAAATATTGAATCAAAGATAAGATTAAATGCCAAGGAGCTGATACTGTACACCAAGGTTTTCATTATACCATCCAGACTACAAGTTCAGTTCCCTTAAAAATGCTTCTTGGCTTCTGAAATTTGCAATAAGACTGGAAGCTCCGTTTGTTATATTCTTGTATTTTTTTTCCTAATTTTCCCATGGTCTTTTTAATTTCTTATGAAGCTAGTTATCTTGTAAATGGGAACATTTTTAGCTCACCATCTAATAGATGGTGGGTTATTCAAATCGCCCTGCGTCCGTGGTCCGTCGTCTAGGCGTCCGGGCGTCCGTCCGTCCGTAAACAATTCTTCTTACCGCTATTTCTGGAAAAGTACTGGATGGATCTTTCTCAAATTTCATATGCAGGTTCCCCTTGGTCCCTAGTTGTGCATTGTACCTTTTTTAGACTGATTCGAATTCAAGATGTCCGACAGGCAGCCATCTTGGATTTTGGAAGTAAAAGTTTGTTACTGCTATTTCTTGGAAATTACTGGATAGATCTTTCTCAAATTTCATATGCAGGTTCCCTTTGGTTCCAAGTTGTGCATTATACCTTTTTGGACTGATCCGAAATCAAGATGGCTGACAGGCAGCCATCTTGGATTTTGAGAGTAAAATCTTGTTACTGCTAAATCTGAGGAAGTACTGGATGGATCCTTCTGATATTTCATAGATATTGGTTTCCCTTGGTCCCTAGTTGTGCATTGTACCTTTTTTGGACTGATTTGAAATCAAGGTGGCCCACAGGCATCCATCTTGGATGTCGACAGTAATACAGCACAAGCATATTGTCCATTATCCACCTGTAACTGACTGCTATCTAATAATACTTTGGGATCTTTTTCAAATGATATTTGCTAATAGGTGCTTAATAAAAATATCCTGTGCCATCATTGAGTACATTCAATGAAGACCAGTTCATGAACATTTACAACACCTGTAACAAACAAAAAAAAAAATAAACAAATCTTCAAGAACTGAAAACAGATCCTCAAATGGTGGGCGCCAAGATCCCTCTGGGATCTCTTGTTCGTTATTGTTAAATGATATGATTTTGATGTGATAAATGATTGAGAAAAATTGAAAGTCATTTTGAAAAGTATTATAGTCATATGTACATAATGTTGAATTATTGTTAACTGTTCAGCGGTAGTTATTTTCATTTGTAGCCAAAGTGGCATTTTTATTGTTTTTTTTTTTGTTTTTTTCTTATTTCCCTTATTTAATTTATCTTCATTGTACTGTACATATTAATAAAATGAAGTGAAGTTGTATGTATTGTCATGATGTTACAGTCTTCATTATATAGAAATACAGCTAGTAGGAATAACATATACATTATTGAATAGAATATACTGCCACTTAGACTGTGTATACAGATCACAGAAGTCACATCACCACTCTCATATTCTTCATATTTCTGTTTGTTAACAAGAAGTTTTTTCTTCTTTGAGCTACATTATATACTTATATGCTCCAAGTATAATTTGGTGAATAGTTCTTCAGAACTTTCATGATGTTATTTTTACCAAAATTACATAGCTTTGTTTTACTTCTCTATCTATGTTTATATGATGTATTTACACATGCATGCTTTAAAAGACAGTTGAATTAAAACATTTATGTTTTTGAGGTGAAGATTTCCAATTGACAACTCCATAAGTCAGCATTGTACATCTCTCATAATTGGCGTAACAGTTTAACAGAGCAAGGTCTCACTGATGGCACAGCATTTACAGATGTTACAGGATTACATCATTGCTAATTAATATCAATGTGATATCTGCAGTGATCCTGACATTGTTAAAATAATCTGTACATTATGTTCACTTTACTGTAGCTGCTGATAGCGAGATGTGCAAACATTGATTGTTTTTCTATCGTGATGTTTCTGTCAATTGTGATGTTGTTGGACTGTATCTCTGACAGACACTGGCAGAGAGACAGACTGGCAGTCACATTACTTTATTTTGGTTAAACCAATGCATGCCTTCATGTTTTTCACCATGCTTTGGATAACCAATCTTAAAAAGATTTGTTGGGCATAAACCTGTAACCAGGTGGTGTGACTTTCATATAGTTAATCATTCCAAAAAAGAAATCATGCAAGCTCTTTGTATTTGTTGTAATTTTGACATCGTTGTTTTTTTTTATATTGACCTACATTTCAATACTAGTGCATTTAGTACTCTTGTCACAATTTGTCAAGCAAATGGTGCTATCGGTGATAAAGAGGATCTTTTTCGAGATATTCAAAATGAATCGTTGTGAAGAAGAAATACTACAAGTTACAAATATTGTATATGTTTAAGTTGTCTTTCAGTAATTGGAAGTTTTCAATAAATGTTGTTAAATGCATTCCGATAAAGTTTGTTAATTGCATCTTATTAGTCTATGTCTTATCAATTTCACTTATGTAAGCAAACTGAACCGCATGTTGGATTATGTCGTCTACATGAACTAATGAACAAATACAATTTCTTACTGTCTTTAACTCTTTCCTCTGTCCAAAGCACTATGTCTAACACATTATTAGGGATTGACAATGGTATCAAACCTGCATGAAGTGACCCTAAAATTGTCATGAACAAATTATTTTTTAGGTTTGGTCCAATATCCTATATAACTTACCTTAAACAAATAGGCTAAACTTTTCAAGTTTCATTCACGTCAACGAGAAAAATATTTGGAGTTCACTTTGTGTAGGAAAAGAAAAAAATGATATGTTGTTATTTTTAGCCTGGTCAAAACTTCAACATGGTAACCACAGTAGCCGTTAGTGTGCACATGATTTTCATTAACCAAACCTAAACATGAGTTTATGACACGTTCTTGGAATGTTCAAAATTTGAATTCATCAAATTTGTTTGACCACCATCAGCAAAGTCTGGTCCGTCCGTCCATCCCTCGATTTTCAGAGGACCATGGCCCTCTTGTTATTAAAAAAAAAAGTTGCTGCGGAAACAAATTAAAGGTATAAATACTGGTGTAATTTTTGTAAGAAAATGTAAACTAATATACCATGATAAGTACAACATGTCGTGTCAATTTAACTCGACATTGTGTAAATCTTGTACAATGCCGTTCAAATATTAAATCTACTCTCTGCTTTTCGAGTATTATTTGAAAAATATCTCAAGTAATTTTTCATATCGTTGTTAATGTTTACAATTTCGTGTGAACAATAAGAACTGTTTTATTTGTCGTTTGTAATATCCGGCAGACCACAGAATTTGCTGGAAATCATTTGGAAACTTCCTATAAACCTTTACTTTTCGATTTCTTTCACATACTGAAGGAAAGAATATATTATTCTATACACAGTGGAGCTATAAATTTAATAGAGTTAATTGAACGAACGGTTATGCAATGGCGTAACTTAATGATAAATTAAGTGTTCGATCCTTATTTGTCAATAACTGACATTATTAAGAATAATGTCATAAATTTACTCGATATTTTTAAAACTCAAATGAAATTTTAACAAGCGTAAAAGTCAGAAATGAACATTTAAATGTGTGAGTATCCTACGGAATGACACCATTCCTATGAAAAGGTAACATTGTAATGTAACTCTAAATCTGTATCATTTAGAAATAAAACATATCTCTGGTGAAGCATGGTGGTATTCTAGGAATAGATCTCCGGTGTCTTTTTCACCGTATAATTATTATCTTTTTAAACTTGATTGTTCTAATAACATTTTCTGATCACACTTCCACAGTGTGATGAATTCATAGCCATTGTGAAGTAGAGAATTGGCTAGATTATGTAGATATTGGTCCATGTTAAAAACCGTCACACTACTATGATATTTCACTCTGCACGGCCGTTAGTAAACATGATACACATAGAAATGCACACTGAATTTTAATCGGTTGCTTTATCATTACCAATTTGTCTTGTGAATGTGATTTTAATTCATTTTAAACCTGTATCGAAGTATTTTTAGTACTTCAAATTGCACAAGCAGTAAAATATCCTGAACACATGTGTTACAATACCCATGGCCCCCAGAATCCACCAAAATTTGAAGGATTAGCTTTAGGATCGGGATCCGGATAACTACAAGGCACGGCAGTTCTGTTGGCATCCGCCAGCATCCCAAGTAACTTCTTCGAAATATCGGGATACACATCAGATAAGTCATCCATTTCGTTAGGGTCCCTGCTGAGGTCAAATAACCAGAGATTTTTTGTCGGTTCTCCACCGCTACCACGTTTTGTTTCCAGGCCAGAACATTCCCCGGGAACCCAGCTACCATTACCTGGAACATTAGCATAATGTATGGTTAGATATCTAGATTTCTAGCTCGTGCTGGGGAAAAACAATATTATTTATGAAATATTCCTTGAGTTCCGCCAAGTCAGAACCGGAAGACTTGTAACAAATAGATAAGATGTTTCTAGTTAGCTCAACTGTCCCAAAGGGCTTCTAGGATGAAGCTGGATCAAGTTTGCAAAAAAGAATTAACTTGACTGATATTCAAGGTGAAAGGGGTCAGATTTGTTAAAACCTTTAAACGACTTCTTCTCATGAACTAAAAGGTCTAGAAGCGTGATATTTGGCAGGTATGTTTCTAGGATGAACTTGGATCACGTTTGCGAAAAGAAATGGCTTTGACTTATATCCAAGACAGGTGTCATATCTGAAAAAAAAACTCTTTACATGACTTCTTCTCATAAACTCGAAGTCCTCTAGGCATGGTTTTTGGCTGGTATGTTCCTTGAATGAAGCCCAACAAAGTTTGCGAAAAGAAATTACCTTATCTTTATTCAAGGTCACAAGGGTAAAATTTGTTTAAACATTTAAACGACTTCTTCTCATGAACTAAAAGTCCCAGAGGCATGATATTTGGCTGGTATGTTCTTTGAATGAAGCCAAACAAAGTTTGCGAAAAGAAATTACCTTTCAAATATTCAAGGTCACAAGGGTAAAATTTGTTTAAACATTTAAACGACTTCTTCTCATGAACTAAAAGTCCCAGAGGCATGCTATTCGGCTGGGATGTTCCTAGGATGAAGTCTGACAAAGTTTGCAAAAAGAATTACCGTGATATAAATTCAAGGTCAAAAGGGTCGAGTTTTTAAAACATTTAAACTTTTTTTATCTCATGAATTAAAAGGCCAACATGCATGATATTTGACTGGTATATATATACACCAGGTGAGTGGCCATTGGGCCTATTGTTTTACATTATCCAAATACGGTGCTTATTATTCAAATCTATTGAATTAAGGAGTTGCAAGAAGACGTTTACTTATTCCAGAATGAAGAAATGATCTCCTTCCCTTCTGCACAGGTTATATTGGTAATGTAATTTACGTAATGTCTTGTGACTACCAATTAACTGTATATGATTGTATTTACATGTGTAAAGATACATTCTGAATCACAAGACAATAATATGGCATCATTTAGGCACCATGTTTTCCTCCTTACATCAACACTTCGAAAGAACACACACGATGGCTTTATATCAATCATTTAGGTGATCATTATTTTCTCTTCTAGTATATTAACACACTTGGAAAATCCTTAGAAGATAACTTTACCAGACACGATATTATCTTAAACCAATACTTGAAATGAAAATATTAATTAACAATTGTCAGATTATATTTGATTGTTATTCTTTGTATCTACCATTTAAGGAGCCAGACCCACTCCGTTATAGATATTTTTTCATACTTTATTGACTGGAAAAGTTTCGAACTTGAAATTGAAAGGGTACCGGAGATATCGGTGCCGGAATTAGTCTCATTAATCAACACCAGGATATGAATATTGACGAGGGAAAGTCACGTGATACGTTCAGACGCGGTCAGAACCAAAACAAAAATGGAGGAAGAGGTGGGTAGTACGTCCTTTGACATCGCTTGTAAAGAGATTTTACCGATAAATGCAATCAATGTTCTATATATCCTGTATGGAAATCATCTAACGTATGTATTGATCACATCTTTCAATGCTTAGATATGACACAAAAACCTGCAGATTACGAGAAAAACTATGATTAATTGCAAAGAGACACTCAAATGGGGGCTACGATACGGTAACAAACATATAGAACATCGCGAAATGGATCTATCTAAAGCGAATATTCGATGATAAGAGTATTTATGAATATGATTTTAGAGTGATATTACATGAGAGAGCCATCTCCATTCTGTTCGCCTCAGAGTCCGTTAAAACACGTTTTCTTCCCCGCTTCCCTCGCGCGCTTTTTGCCCTGTTGGAAGATGGCAGACTTATTTATAGTTCTTTGCGCATGCATCAGAGGGCAGGACTTCCAGCATAATTATGAATTAGCACTGAGTCGTTTCAATTTTTTTTAACTATTTCTTACGTTAGATTGGTAGCGGTAATACAGGGTTAGTCAGAACTTTAGCTACCCGAGAAATATAGAAATTCATGATTTTTACATAAAATAATATCGGTCGAGGATTGGGTCTGGCTCTTTAAATAACATTCATATTGTCAATAAATAACATTTTCAGCGAATGATGATTAAGTTCAATTAAGTCGCCGCTCACCTGGATTTCCCGTCAAGATCTTCCATTGCTTCCATCTTAGTGCTGCTCTCACCCTGGTGTCAAATGTGTCGTTATACACACGTTCGCCAATAGGACGCGTAAGAGGGTCAATGTTGTGGAGCAGGATTTCTCTAGGGCTGGTACTGCCCTGGCTTCATAGTAAATTTATGACAATAGATATTATAAATACTGATATTATGTGATTGTTCATAGTATTTGAATAGTTCAGGGAGACGAGATATCTAACTATATTTTAATTGTACTTTGGTAATTTGGTTTCTATAGATAAGGAGCATTTATTCTAAGTTATTAAAATCGTCGAAACACGGTTTCACTGGAAATGCATTGGAATAAATGACCCGATTATCGCTTAATGCAACAAAAGAAATATGTTATGTCGAGAAAACTTATAACCAAAACGTTGATAGATCTTAAGGCATTAAAACTAAACTGTACTGGAGACTTAAATCTCTATGTAGGTCTTTACCGAAATAACTTACCTTAACGTTTTCCATTGATCAACACCATCCAATGGCTGTGTTCCATTTAGTGATCCTCCTGCCAGGCCAACAAGCGTAGGATACCAATCGGAGACATGCATAAGCTCTTTAGAAACAACTTGGTCCCTACCCAATACGTTACCATGTACGAAAGCTACGCCTCGGATTCCACCTTCCCAAAGTGAGCCTTTGAAACCTCTTAGTGGCCAGTTACTACCTCCTCCCTGCTTTACGAGTCCCCCGTTGTCTTAGACATGTCAATAATATAAATAAATATCCTATTGTAATATACAGAAATCAACAGCTAAGTGGTTATAAACCAAATATTATCGACGAAAACTTAACCCTGCAACGGTTTAACAGTTTTAATGTACTTCATATATTATAAAAAAGGACATTTGGTGTATATCAAAACTGATAACCTAACGAACTAATAACAGAGTCCTAGATAAAGGATTTAAACGTGTGTTACTATTAAATAAGCATGCACTACAATTTACTATTAAATGGTTGCCAATGAAAGTCACGGTTATTAGCCAATTATCAAGATTGCATTGATATTAATGACAAATACAATCTGAAGACGGTTCAATAATATGTTTTCATTTCAGGTATCATTCCGAATTATATTCTTCCCTTGTATCTTTAATTGCAGTGAAAAATTCATGAAAATCATAATCACTTGAATGATTTATAATACGTGTTGTCCGAGATGACGTGAAACGCGCTGATGTAATATTGGTCAAAATGGCGCCAAAATGACGCGTACATGATTGTATATTGTCTAGCGATCTAGCATGTATCTATACACTCCTGTGAATACAAGGAATAGAATAAAGATTGATATTGAATAAATAGGAGGTTACAATTCATATCGTAAATACCAAACATTAACATCACATGATGAATACTAGATTGAAAGTCTGAATAACCGATTTTGAAGCATGTTTTACATACCTGTAGAGAATATAAGCAGTGTATTGTTCCACAATCCCTTGTCCTGATATGCTGCTACAATCTTGTCTATAGCTTGGTCCATAGCGACTACCATACCTTTCACGATAAAATATGGTTCTGAACGTCAGCTGGTCTTGTCAAAGCATTTGTTCAAAATATGCAATTCTGGTAACACTACAATTGCTTTTTAAAAGCATTGGCAAAAGAACAACATGAAGAGGAAAAACAACTAAATGATTTCAACAAATAGTGTTGCACAACACTCGCCATTGGAAGATTCACTGCTCTCACTACTGACCAGCATATGTTTTTCGGTATCCGGAGAGGTAAGGCACACTTTTGAGATACTCGTCCGGGACCTGAAGTGGTGTATGGACGGCTTGCAGTGCCAGATACATGAATAAAGGCTGTAAATATATATACAGAACGTGGACATTTTTGTGTTTATTAACATCAACATTTAATTAAAACCCTCTTCTTATAAGAAAACAGAAAATGTCGAGATAAGACATTGTTGGATTAGCTTCCTGTCCTGTGGTCAAGATATAGCAAGCGTTAACCACTAGACTACGACGATATTCTAACAAAAAATGATGTATCGAAATCATTGTGATGAAAGTTCAAGGATCCTTATATGATTGTTCACTAGGTTTGGTTTTGTTTTCGTACATGTACCTTGGAAGTGTCGTGTTTACTAACGATATCCAATACGCGATCTCTGTAGAGCTCGGTTGAGTAGGTAATTGTACTATTGAAGGATTGAAGACCATCTCGGAAATCAGTGCCGCACACATCTGGTTCTCCTTGTGATATTAAGGCACATGCCTTATGGGTATAATGATTTTCGGTGCCAGAGAGAAATCCTTTCAAAAAAATCATGTCGAACAAATAATATATATATGTGATATTTGATGGGAAACCATTAAAGTTTCATTTCATTACATCTTTGAAGGGGAAAATAACGCAAAAAGCCGAGAGCCGATCGACCTAAACATGAAATAAACCAGTGTTCAAGAGAGTTCGGGAAATATTAGCGCGTTCTTAGAACTCAAACAGTTTGACGTAACGTTTGACAAGTGTGCAACGCCATTTTGAATATGCTACCTTACGTGGTATACAGTTATCTGGTAAGAATCGATTTCAAAACTGTTTTTGATTATCAAATTAGAGAAAATCTTAAATCTACGCAGGGAAACCAACCCATTCAACCTTTTAGTGTTTAAGAGATCGGGCTTTTAAGTTATATCTTAACGTCTTTTAATGATGATATTTTCAGTTACGCTGAATTTTAAAAATGATAAAAAGTTAGTTTGGAGAGTGCATTGCCTTCCTCCTACCTTATTTCAACACTGTAGCTACAACATGAACACTATCTATTGCTACTTGAAATAGCTTGATTATTTGAAATATTACTTTTTTGATATTTGTTTAATTGTGATACTGCACAGTCATATTATCCATTGACAAAATAACTAATTTGTAGGATTAACGTCGATAATATAACATTTATTACTTGTCAAAAGCTTGTAATGTTTTGATATTTAACTTTAAAGTTGAAAATCTCTTGTTGTCATTAAGTTTACCCATTCATTAATTGTATAAATCATTATTATTCCTAGTCACTCTTAAATTTAGAGGAATTAAAGAAATAATTCAATATACTAACCATAATGGGTATCGAATCCTCTGTTCGTAGGCATAAACTCCTTTTTATAGAAACCTAAATGCCATTTGCCAACAGCATGCGTAGAATATCCAACTTCCTTCAATTTATCGGCAAGTGTGGGACTGTTGAGAGGGAGACCGTTCGGTTGGGCGTTTGTGATGTCACCATGTTGTAAACCAGTGTGTATCTGGGAAGGAATGTCAACGTTTGTGAAAGTTCGATATCGCATAATACTTCCTTTAACATAGAGTTTCATAGTAGTTTTGTAGTTTTGTTTTATAACCTACCGAATCTGAACTGTGAAGGACATTGCCATGTTAGTCATACCCTTAGAATGGGTCAGTCGTCAGCACAAATGAGTGCATTATTTGAGGTAAGGACACAATTAAAACGCCAGACACCGTTAGTTGTCATGATTTCCCCTAGATTTCTTTTCTATTTCTTGTCGAAAACGTTTCAATGACATCAACTTTGAAAGCAATATTTTTTTTTTATTTTTCATAAAGATATAAATCTATTATGATTCCATTATTTACGAACATGTTGACTCTGTAGATCGCTATTTGAAGAACAGCATAAACATAATGATCGGTATGATGGGGCGACAAAAATTACAGACTGATGTTTGGCGATGAAATATCATGGGGATTCCGCCACTATAAAAGGTCATGCGTCATGTTTCTCTATGAGGGCTAAGTTCATATTATAGGTAAGAGTTTCCCCCTTTCCATTACTTAGATTGTACAAGAGCAATGATTTGTTAAATTTAGGCTAACAAAACGAAGACCAGGGTGACTGCTTGAAGTCCGCCTTCTCTTTACATTTCTCTTTCATTTAATTGTAACATGAATCATACCTTATTGATAAGAATTTAAATATAAATTATTCAATGAATTTTGCAAAAGAAGCTTCGTCGTCGCTTTTTACTTTCTGATAATGTCTACTAAGCACAGGGTAGACAATGGGATACAATCTACATGGTAATGGCTTATGAAGAAGCAAAAATGGGCCATTGCAAAGCATTTGAGTATTTCAAAAGCAACCAGTCACTGTCCAAAAGAATTCGGGATTGGGTAAAATTCAAACATAGGGGCCATGTCGTCTTTAACACGTAATCAGTATCTCGGAAATATGGGGATTCGCCTGGTGTTTGTCGACAATGCACACTTGGACGTGGTGGCGTGGTTTCAGCCCCATCATCCTGAAATTTCCTTTAGAAGACCAGACTAAATGAACAGACGGATAACCACCTTGGGAAATATTTCCGCTATTAAAAATATATTTGGTTAAGATTACTCTCGGCAAATGTGTAATTTATACATTTGATCTTAAACTTCCAAGCAGCGAAGCAAAGGCACATTCTCATTCAGTTCATTGAATGTGGTAACCATTTGTCAAATGCAGCATTTCGCGTTAGATCAGAAACCGATGTTTTCCCGAATTATAGTTCCAGTCACGTGATGTGACAGTTTTGTTAGCTCAAGGCATTTCGGGTTTGTATGCAATTGATAATTACCAGCAGGGGAATTTCAAGCAAAAATCATTTCTTCCACTGTGAATAGGTGTAAATGCTGAGAAAAGATGACATCAGGTATCAAAAGTAAGTTAAAGTTATGCCCTTAGTATTACTGACGAATCCCAGAAGGACGAAACACCTGTATGATGCAGTTTGATACATTGTTTGGCTCTGTTGTGTCTAACTCTGAATTATTAAAATGTTATACTCTCTAGTGTATCTTTTTCACAATCTTTCTTTTACTTCTAACCTCTAATAAAACCAAACTTTCTCAGAACTTTTTGCAGTGTCACCCCGGAGGTTCACCTTGTCAAGATTCAGTTATAACCACATGACATGCTTTAAAAATGTTAAAACTTCTTTAAGATGTCTATATAGAAAGAGCTGTATTGAATTAAACATGTTTTATGGAATAAATACGCATCTTCCATAGACCGGATGTAGATAGGTCTAACGAAATTCTCCAAGTTCATCTACTACCTGAACCATTTGAACAGAAATGAAGAACAAAAACAAATAGCAAAACCAGCTGGAGTACTGAATTCATCTGAAGTTCAAAAGAGCTGGATGACACATCTTCAAGAAAATACCATTGAAGGAAATCAAAATAAAATGAAAAAGAGCAAAGAAAGGGGCTTGCAATAACGGGATAGGGAAAAAAAGAGTTGGAGATGTTTTGATAGAGAGAAATTTTTGAGATTTGCTCTTACAATTATGACAAACTAGAGTTCAAACAAGGTCATAAATTAATGTAGAAAAAGTCGGCCTCAGTTTGTTTGGTTCGTGGCAAAAGCATTATGGTTTGTGTTGTTCAAGGGTCTATCATACAACCAGCCTCCCTATTATTTTGTGCCAAGGATTGTGTTCTTGCTGTGGTTCTTGAGAAATCGCTATCATGAAAAAGTATTTACTTGCTTGTCAATATACAAACCTGCCGATTTTCTACAGAAATTCAAATTAAGCAAATACATCATATGCATTAGTGTTGCAGAATACCGTCAATATACGGGGATGGCTAGATTGCAGAGATGAAGCAAGCACCAAATTGAATGAATTGTGAGACACACTAAAGAAAAAATGTTTATCCTATGTTTGTTCTGCGATCATTTTAAAGTCTTCTCCTTTGTAAACATCAGAGACGAATAAGCCTATATTTTATCACCTTGAAGCAAATATGTTGTTTCTTTTCTTCGACATTGACCGAATCACAATAAAAATATTTTTTTCGCTATTTTTGAGAGGTTTTTTATTTTCGTTTCAAAAATGAAGACTGACCCTGAGACCTGTTATAATGTCTTGTGTTTTGGAAAATAATAACAAGGCTCGGCTCTATATACACTAATGAACACTTATACTATTATTAGTATATGAGTTAATTGAAAGGCAAGGCTAGTATTTGTGTTTGAACATCTTCAATATTCTTGGGAATCTATAGTAAGACACATGGTCGTAAAAAGTGGTTGGTTCAAAGAATGAAAAACATACCGATAATGGCAGCATGAAAACAAGTTCTTTGCATTACGATGTATGTAAAATAAGTTTTTCTTTAAGGAATAGATATGAAATTATATCACGGAATGGAAATTTTAATAGAGAAAAGTTTATAAGATAGTGTTATTAATAATAGCGATGAAGAAAAACTATATTTATCATTGTGACATTGTTTTTATGTAACGTAGTCGGTAAGGGAATTGACATAGTCTGTATGATATCTACCTGATAACGGCCCGACATAAGTTGACTTCGCGTCGGTGTGGACAAGGGCTGTACATAATAATTTTCAAGTGTAACACCCCCATCAGCCAGCTTGTTTAGGACAGGTGTTCGGATATCGGAGCCGTGGTAGCCGATATCATTGTAGCCGTAATCATCAGCAAGGATAAACAGAATATTCGGTTTTTGTGTCTGGCAGAGCGCAGAACAAATAAATGAAATGTGTACCACATACCGATACAATACTTTCGCCATGTTGAATTTATTTAGTATTTGAAACGTCTTATCTTTACATCGATGTCACATGATTATCATGTGATGGTTTTAGTTTTCTTTGTGATATTCGTGAAATATGTGCCCACCAGAAAGGATTTTGATGTTTTAATCCCTGAGCTATGGATTAGCCTACACGATAACGTTATAGATCCATGGAGAGTTGCCGATCTTGTATGATAAACATGAACCACATTGGAAACTCGTGGGCGTCCGTCATACATGACTTCTTAAGTTTTTGGCTTATTAAGTTAGACTGAATAGAAATGAAGCATAAACAGATAGATTTATTAACTTCGTAAACATCTATATTACAGATACATATCTTAAATTGAAAATAACATAGAAGACACCATCAAAGTCCATTGTAAACGAGCTCTAAACACAATGATTTATGTTGCGGAAAGCAGACTTGGCACAAATAGAATAAATCTTTTAAATATATATAGTACATTAATTCGGTCAAAAATAGATTATGGATGCAAAATTTATAAATCGGCCTCAGATGGCGCCTTTAAACACTAGATATAATACAACACTTGCGACAGAATAAGCAATTGGACTAATTAACATCAAAAAGTCCACAAATAGAGCGGTAATTCTTACAGATAGTCTTTCTTCATTACAATAAACACAGACTAGAAAACGTGAAAGAACTAATATACCGGGAAATGAAAAAGCTGATGATCTAGCCAAAAAACTCTTAAAACACAATAGAATGGAAGGTGAATCTTCTATTATCAATCATCAAATCAATAATAAATGGTCAGAAACAAGGAAAAATTTGGAAAGATCAAACAATCTTATGCAAATTATAGATAAAACAAATATTTAATCAAAAGTTTTAGAACGAAATCAGTTAGAAAATATTATCATACTCAGGGAGATTGTACCAGAGAGGATTACTACTGTCCCTCTCATTCATTGGTGCGTACTGACACCTCATGAGGTATGTAGTGTCCTCCTCTGTGCCCTACCCCCAGCATTCATATTTGTGAAATAATATGAAACACTACAAATAAATAAAGCAACACACACAAGTAAACACGCTTCTTCAAGTATTTATCAAAACACGACTAAATAGAAAGTAAAATACACAAAGTCCACATTTAATACCCTACTGCCAGTACAGATCAAACATAACGGGGGCCTCCGGGTGCAAGGGTCATAGACTGGTTTGCAGTCTGATTCGTGTCTTGTACCCTGGCTTGTAGCATATGGAACCCTGATAGGTAGGGCAATAGGGATAAACAGTTCTCGATAATCGCAACTGTTTATTCAAAACTGGCTATAGGGTCTAAAACTCGAAATGTAATATCTCCCACAATTAAACTCAACACACAACCAATAAATTCAATACAACACAACGCACAAACATACAAACCAAATACACAACACTACACAATACCTCCTACACATGCACATGCAAAAAGAATCTCTTTGTCTCCAAAATATATGATCTATCTTAGATAATCTTAGTCTATCATAACTTTCTACTTCCATGTAACTTATCATGAAGAAACTTCCCATAACCCTTCTAAATCAGCACATTCACATAAATCACATATATAACCATAAAAGTTAGTATAGTGAACAGAAGTATGCAGTAGGAATGAAGTGGAATCGCAGAAAGGAATAGATATTCGTAAAATGATAAAGTAGATTAGATCATATGATTGGAAAGGTTTACAAGACGAGACAACAAAAAACAAGTGTTAATAATAAGGTTAAGTATAATTTCACCAGCACCGAACTAACCACTAACCACTAATTATAGTCCGGTTTTTATCAAATGATCACAGCTACAGACGGTTCCATCCCAATGAGGTCGCCCCCTCACGTCGCCAGAACACTGACGATACCCAAACACGGGAGGAGTCATGGAGACAAAAAACCTGTTAACCAACCAACTAACCAACTATTCAACCCAAGGCTACTGTGGATTTACTTGTATGACTATAAGATATTATAGTACTTCCTATTTGGTACATATCATTACACAAATTGAATATATATGTATGTGTATGTGTGTGTATGTGACTAATGTATAATCCTTAAAATGGAACATTTTCAATTTCAAATCTCTAATATTTAATTCAAATGTAATGTTTTTCATTTTTTACTAATAATATAAAAAAAAAATATTGTTTGATTTGCTGTCCAGTGATCTCGTATCAATATTTACAATTAATATTTCCTTGACAATGGCAAAACAGACAAATAGTTGAATATAAAATAGGCGTATGATTTAAATTAGAGAGTTTTTAAAGATCAATACCAAAGAACTTGCTTTTTAAATACTCAACCATTCAATATTATTACTTTATTTCGTTGGAGGATACAGCGCCCCTCTTTCCTTCCCTCTCCAATCTCTTAAAACAAAAACCTATATTAATTCCTGTAATACAAGCGCCTATTACCAGTTATAAATGTACCAAAGGTAGATATTGACAAGCTGGTCAACTTGACCGATCTACAGGGCAATTAACTAATCAGCGTCACATTATTGTTTGATTGTTAGTCCTCTCCTTAAGATTGTCATGCTCATGTGCACACTATATACTTCTCGCACACGCTAGAAACTACAGGTAAAACGTGAGGAGATTCTACAAGATGGGTCAGAAAAAAACACAAACATACTAATTAAACAAACAATAGAATGACGAATTTTACCTGAAATTAGACCAAACTTCAAATAAGAAAATAATACATGTATTTTGTTTTAAGTTATGGAATTTTGTTACTTGACTTACATAATTACACAAATAACGTTAACTTTCAATTTAACAAACAAGTGATATTCTGAGATCTTCTTGACAAATGACTCTAAAAGCTTAGATAGATTACACCTTAGTCAAATGTGAATGCTTATCTTACAACAAATAAAAGTGTTTTTAGGAGTTATGCAATTACGTAATTATCATAGTTTGATATTTCTATTGCTATTCATTATTGCAAGGAGCCGAAGCTTATTGCGATGAAGTTTTCCTTTCTTTTAAACGGGTTATGAGTAATGAATGTTAAATGAAATAAATGATGAACCTTTAATAAATACATATGGTAGCTAAGTTAATAATGATAATGAGGAATGGGTTATTGCATTAGTGAATGGGCTTATACACTGGACGATGAATGAAATATTATGATGATGTAAGGTTTTAATGCACTGGACACGGAATGGATAAATAGACTTACTAGAGTGTCAGTACACTAAATTCGAAATGGAATAATATATTGATGGAAGGATTTATACACTGGTTATTTCAAAGCACAATACGTTTGTGCAACTACGACAGGTCAAGGAAAGCACTAACACGATATCGAGGGGTCTTGACAGCTCTTCATTTCGAAATGATTATACATTTCAGGTAACTTCAGATTGAAAATGTTACTAGTATTTAAACATTGTATTGGAATTCTTGCAGATGAGTAGTCACGTATAGCAACATTATAATGGTATAATTGTACAACATTGTTGTTTCCAAAAGTTGGTCGCAAAAGTTCTAATTGTCCTTCTTACGTGACTTCTTAATCACTTTATCCACGGTCCCCAGTATCCGCCATGAAGCTTGGGATCAGCCCGACTGTCAACAGGAGGGTATTTACATGGCACAGCAGTGGAGTTAGCTTCCTGTAGCTTTTCAAGCATTGACATTAAAACTTTCGGGAACTTGTCCTGTAAGTCCCGTCTCTCTTCGGGGTCTTCAGCAATATTAAATAACCAAATATTCTTTTCCGGTTTATCCGCGTCAATATCTAGCTGGAACTTATCAGAGGATTCAGGTGCCGGTATCCAGCTTCCGTTACCTATGACAATGATTATTCTTCCGTTTTGATATTGTAGCGTGGTAGCATAAATAATATGATATGCCAAAAGACAAACATTGTATATCTATAGATAGTACACTGTTGGAACAGCATAATGATTATATAGTGAACCGTTCACTTATAGTGAATAACAATTATTAATTTTTAGAAGCCAATGGAAACATCAGTACAAACTGACGATTGCAAGGAAGCTGCGAAATGGGTTGTCTTGAAGAATATTATAGTGAAGACTATAATATAGTCCATATGAATATTTATATACTAATTCTATTTCTTATGTTCATGACCGAAATATGCGCTATTTAATCCCATTTTTCAAAAACATCTGTTCAAGACCGGTCTTTTTGTTAGCAAACAGTTTGAACGACTCGAATGTATAAATCTATAGTTTACTATTTTAATAACGCCCGGAACGTATCGACTAATTTTTCCTTTAATAGCAAGCACTGTGGAGCAAGTAGTCGATAAATTAATGGTGCCGTAGCTGTATAAGGAACTACAGCTCCCTTTCGATTATGACTGGAGGGCTCAACGCTCATTCGGGACATGTTTTATTCATTTAGTTTTCAAATTTATTTTAGTTAAATAGTTTAATATTTAAAGTATGAAACTAGGGAATAACAAATCACTTATTAAAATTGCTTCTCAGCACACTGGTTTTATTTTTTGTTTGTTTCACCACGACTACTGTATCGTGTCACAGGACCCCAATATTGGGACATGGTGGCATTTTGAATAGATATAAATATAAACACTTATTCTCGATTAGCTTGTAATAATAATGATAACAATAATCATGATAATAATTTGCCCATCGCCACTAACTTTCATAGATTTCCAAGATTCGTCACTCCAATAATTTATCTTGTCATGAAAGAAAACTGTAGAAATGTTATCAAATGAGAAAACGAAAGTGAATAATTAGAAAAAATACTATGATACTGAAATGAGGATCGCAGTTGGTTTTGAAAGGATATCTCACTAATCCGATAGACAGCTAAACTCATGTCATATCATGGCGTCCACTGTTAGCCATTGTTTTCGAAATCGCTACTAGTTATGACGAATGAGAAGATATTGACAAAACATTATTTATGAATTATCTATAATAGCGACTTTGAGCCCAAAGCGCCTGAGGGGCGTGCCCATTTGGAGATATTTAGCAAATTCTTTCATGAAGGATTGATGAGAATGTATGAAATTTGGTCTTTCATCTAATAGGGGCGGAGCTATTATAAGAGAAATAATCTAGATGTTTTTTTTTTCACTTAGGATTTTCGTCAGTCACGTCCAAACTTTCAAAATTTAAATCCTTAGCATCACTGACGAATTCTGGGAAGAGATAATAGTTATATGATGCAGTATACTTCATAATTTGACTCTACTGTATCTAACTATTAAATGTGCTTTTCGTTTGTCTTTTGTGCAAACCAGGAAAGTAGGAAGAGATATCTTATCTTATATCCATATATTATAAAAACAATGTTCGATAAGGACTGATCATGCAGGGTGTAAAACATGTACAAAGGGATAATTCCTTTGGAAATTTAGAATAATATCATCTAGAAAAATTATTGTCACATATTCCCATAGAAAAAGAATATGCATTCGCGTTCAGTATATAACCCTGAGACAACAGAGTACTTACTTGGTGCTCCAGTAATTATCTTCCAATTCTTCCATCTCAATGCAGCTCTGTAACGGTTGTCAAACGGACTGCCAGGCAGCTTTGTCCCGATGGGGTCATACAAAGGATCTATGTTATGTAAGAGTGTATCCCTTGGACTAATAGCTCCGGTGCTGTAACAAATTGGTTTTGAGACAAGAAAATGTTTTCGATACAAACATACATTGTGCATGATTTTAAGGAAAACGGTGACATGTGATGAATGCTGAAAACGTTAAATATTGTAAAGAAAATATAAAGACATCAATAAGAAAATTAAACGTAAAATGTGTCTGTTTTTATGAAACAGCAGTAAAACCATGAAATAAACTGTTTCGTAAAGTTAATGTAAATTATGTAAGGTATTACCTGATCGTATTCCATTGATCGAATCCATCCAATGCTTTGGTACCCTTAAGGGATCCACCCCCAAGTCTGATTAATGTTGGGTACCAATCTGATACGTGTATCATTTCTCTAGAAATTGTGCCTTTATTCTTCAAACGTTTGCCATGGACGAATCCTATACCACGTACTCCTCCTTCCCACAGGGAACCTTTTCCGCCTCTTAACGGCCAATTTACACCGCCACGATCGGTCCTTCCTCCATTGTCTGAAATTTGTCATTTGTTACAGAGAAAATAAATCAATCATAATCTTATCGTAAATAATCATTATATACATAAGAATCTTTCTTAAGATTGTCTTCGAAAATTGACGTCTGTACGTCCGTCCACACATTCGTCCGCCGTAAACGTTAATTGTCAAGCAGATCTGAGATTTCCAAGATCTTATCACCACAGCATGATTAGCTTTATCTCTCTGTTATCAACCGATCTCTCTAAACTATAAGAAGATATTGTACTTTCTTCAATAATATTATCATTCACCAATTTGTGTAGGTCTTATTGCTATATGATTTGTTCAGCACATTACCTGTTATGAGATGATATTTTCATACACATTAAAACTGAACATTTTTTAAGAGTTGATGTGTTGTATTGTTTTTAGTATTCTTATCTTGTCTAGTTATTTTGCAAAAACATATACTCTGGAGTTATTTTTTTTAAATATTTTAATAATTTATTTTGTCTGGACACCTACTCAGTTTTCAACCGAATCCTGAATCATAATGACATAAATTTGTGTGATTCGCGGATGAAACTATTCTTGTCTAATTTTCCTAATTCATTTCAGTTCAATGGTAAATTTCTCTTTGACATGGGGCGGCAGTATGTTGTTACATTTCACGGTTCTTTTGTTAAATAAGATCGAGGATGATATGCTCTTTCATGTCATTCAATGAGGTCAATCCAAATAGAGGCAATACGTATAATAACTTAGACACAATTCATGCTATCCTATTTAATGAGCCTAACCTAATTTCACTAGTATTACGAAGATATTTGCATCAAAATATTCAGTTTTTAATATTTGTAACAAAAGATGCCCTCCTCCTGTAACAGATTCAATCCAAGCTTGTACCAATAATAGCATTGATCCTTATACTGTTCGACTTAATAGACTCTTTGATATACCTCTAGCAAGAACTCATACATATAACACCAGTTGTTTTTTCAAACATAATGTCTGCCTGGAATAACCCATCTTGTCTTTTTCGCACGATGATATCCTTATGTATTGGGCTGCTTTCATAAGCTATGCCTGCTACCCTATTAATGTTGTCATCAAGATATTGACGATAAAATATTCTGAATTGTAAAAGAATAATTTTATGGAGGTCATCTTTATTTGTTCTTGCCCCTCTGACGTTATAATGTAACTGCATATATGTCATGACAATATTATAACATCTCAAGATGTCGTGAAATTTCCAGATTCCAGTTCGCCTACAAAGTTATGTCATTTTTTAAAATACTGTTAATGCCATTAGGCAGTTCGGATAACATATATATATATATACATACATACATACATACATATAATATAATATAATATAATATAATAATGATAATATAATATATAATTTAATTATATAATGTAATATAATAATGATAATAATTTAGATCGTTGTAAACCTAATTGTTTAACTTATTACGAACAGTGTGTTCCTTCCGTTGGAGCAGCCGGTTATATATTTCCCTATTGTTGTTTGTATGATAACACTTATGACATTATAATTAACAAATGATACGTTTCATTTAAAGTCCTTCAAGTTATATTTCATTTTGGTTCCTTTAAGAGTGCAGATGTAAATGTATAAGTTGCTGGGTCAAATTACTTAAATTTAGCAGGGGGGATGTTATTAAAGGAAAATGTATCAATCTATTTGTCATTTAAACATATCATCTAACAATATTGTTACTGTGGTTGATTTGTGTATTTGTTATTCATGATAAAAAGAAAACAAAAGGTTGAATATTCGAACCTGTGGAGAAGACAAGTATAGTATCGTCCCACATCCCTTTGGCCTGGAATGCTGCTGTGATATTCCCCACGGCTTCATCCATCGCGCTCACCATACCTAACACAAATATGCAATAATGAAAATGGATGCACCTCTTGCATCATAGTTTGATTTAAACCCGTTTGATAAAAATAAGATTATAATTAATCATAAGTTTAAAATGATTATAATAGTAATTATTATTAATTATCGCACAAGCATGATGATAATCACATTTTAGAGAAAGGCTTGCATATATTCCTACAATTTGTCAGTTTTAGCGATGTTATAGAATGATAGGCGACAAACCTGAATATAATTTCCGGTTCCAATCATGTACATGTGAATAAAGGTCAGAATATTGTTTCGGAACCTCAAGAGGAGTATGGACAGCTTGAAAAGCCAAATACAGAAACAACGGCTGTGTAAACAGAATGTGACAAAACGTTATGGTATGTAGATCAAAGGGGAGAGTGAATGCTTATCAATCTGAATATAATGTGAATATAATATCATTGCAAACTTTGATATAATCAATGCAAACGTTCATAAGCGATTCACAGTTACAACTCTTAATTGTTAGGACACTAGCTAACGAGTCACTTTATCTCTGATTAAATATGTCGCTGAGGCAACACGTGTCTATTTTATTCCTCATATGTGTTTGATGTAGGAGTTTTATGCATTAAATGAAAAGAATAAAAACAAATTTAAATTAAAAAAAAACAGATATAAACTTGTTTACAATCGCAAAACCTGAAATGTTAATGGTACTAACCCGTACTGGGATAGGGTAGGATTGGGCTATTACAATCGTATACCAAGATATACACCAGTTGCCTGTCGCTTTCAGAAATAATTCGACCCTAATTTCTTATGGTTTGATCTATTTTACATATTGCCACATTGATATGTTTTGTAATATCTTACCTTTGTAGACTTGTAATTGTGGATAAGTTCTGTAACACGTCTAGAATACAAATGAGTTGAGTATTCCATTGGTACCGGAACAATTGGTTCATAGTTATCACGGAAGTCATACCCGCAGAAGTCATAGCAGTAAGTCTTATTGTAGTGATCTACATGTCCAGCCAAGATCCCTGTAAGTGAAGGGAAATAGGGTACATATGATGTAAGGACAACCCTATGCATGATTTAGCTGTTGTTCTTTATCAATAGAAGGGAAAAATCTAACGAGCTTGCATAATCTTGGACGACATAATTTACATTAACTTTACGAAATAAAATCATTAGCATGCACATGTTGAGTTATCAATCAAATGTTCGAATGGGTAACTTTTAGAATGAAAGAAGTGTGATTTAATATATCATCACTGACATCTAACCCGTGACCATTTTAATGCCATTAGTCATTTTATAATCAGCAATAGACACCAACATGCGTAAGGAAATAAATACTGTAATATTATTTACATGAGTTTTTATTTCATGTAAACATACAACTTAGTGCTTTCATTGGACAGATTACCAGTCATGACTGTAACGTATCTAAATAACATAATAATAAGGATTATTCTAAAGAAACACGCGTTGAGAGCAGCTTTCAATTAAACTTTAGAATAAGATGCAGTAGTGTCAAATTATGAAGGAGACTACACATTTAAACATATGTGGTTCAGAATATACACATGTATTTAAAGCTGTTCTAAGATTATCAGAGATATAGAAATTCATTTAAATATTGAGCTGGTGCACCTCCCCCTCTAGAGTTTGATCTTTTTTCGATTATTTGGATTTTCTTCAGTCGTCTCCTTCACACTTTAGGCCCTTAACATCACTGATGAGTCCTAGAAGGAAGAAACAACCGTACGATTCAGTTTAATTATTTGGCTCAAATGTATGAGTGTGTCTTTTGCATAACCTTCTATAACTCGTCAGTGGTGCTAAGGACCTAGATTTTGAAACCTAGGAGCTACTGAGGAAAAACTGATCTAATGAAATGTAATGATCCAGATTACAAATTGCCCTAGAGCATGTTTCAACTTCTAAATATAGATTAATCTGATCAATCAAAAGATTATTAAGTTCGTTTAGGTATTCTGAATGGTGCGATCCCATTCAAATGCAGCAAAACATGGCATATAGGTTACGGCAAACATCGGGGAATATAATTCACCAGCAGTGTTTACCACTTGCAGTTGTAAGGATAAATTTCATTGCGACGTTATATAGTATTACTACAATTATAGGCCACCTGAACAGGTTATTTATGTGATATATAAAGTACTCTAGGGAAAGAAAACATTTCATAGTAATGAAATCTCACATGCGGATTTATCACCTAATAACCCTTAAGAGCTTACAAACATGTAAAGGTCAGGTGACATTCACAATTGTCATAAAAACAATAAAGCAGTAAAACATGTGCATTTATACAGGAAATCATATATATATTTATATATAATATCCTTGTAAACAGATCAATTACTGTTAACATTCACTGAGAATAAATGGCATGTAGTATGCATGCTATTTCAAATATGGAATATAATGTTGCTATGTGTGTTCCTTATAATAAGTTACATGTCCTACTTATTTTGTAAAATATAAAGGTCATGTTTTGACACTCACGTCATATTGATCTATTCAAAATATACCATAAAACGAGTCAAATCCTCTATTATTCGGCAAGTATTCCTCCTTATAAAAGCCAAGGTGCCACTTTCCAACCATATGAGTTGAGTACCCAGCTTCTCGCATTTTATCAGGAAGGGTGGGGCTATCTCTTGGTAGAGCATTAGGCATATTCCCTGCTATATGTCTGTGTTGTAACCCAGTATGTGTCTATTGATAGAAACAGGAAAGTGTTAGACCAAAAGCTGAGTGTCAGCAGCTGGGAAATAATGACCTCTACAAAATGTTTATTTGGTATTTAGTCTATATGTCAATATCAGACATATCATTTGTCAAATAGTAACATAAAAATACAAGCATCATAACAAAAACTTAACGTAAGAAAGCACTTTACATTTACAGGTGAGACCCTGAATATGCACAAGAATATGACAGGAAGGGTATCCAGATAATTTTTTTCGACAGCATTCAATACGATTGTTCCACAAACAATTATATATATATATGTATTAAACAGTAAAAGCAACCTGGTATCTGCCAGACATTAATTGACTCCTCGATGGTGTACATATTGGTTGTACATAGTAGTTCTCAAGCCGTACTCCCGCTTTTGCAAGCCGGTCCAAATGGGGTGTCTTAATTTGTGATCCGTGATATCCAATATCATTGTACCCATAGTCATCAGCAAATATGAAAACTATGTGAGGTTTCTTTGTTCTAACGTCCTCCTCCTCAAACTTCTACAACAAGACATGTTTGAGTTATATTTAGATTACGTATTTTTAGACAGATTTCGATGAGTTTGAGTTACTACACCAGTCAATAAACAACATGAATTTCAGATACATGTACACAAATAGCATATACCCTTCCTTCATTTATCTGTTCCACTGTGCTGGTTTATCATCGAAATCATAAAATATATACACCTCTGATTCTGGGTCGGAATGTTAAGAACTAGATCCATTAAAATATTTTATATAGCACACATGCAAACACTCCCCCGGAAAATCTGTAAATGGGATGTAAACGGTCGAAATTCACCTCAACGTCTTCCTTTGTGCCAAGCATGTGTATCACTTCGTATGTACTTACATACTAAAGTGTAAACTAACATGACATAATGCGTACGCCATCTCTTTTATCCATGAAAAATCCTCAGTGTGACAATGTTCTCTACAAATATATTCACATCTAGTTCAAACTGCTTTCATATTAATATGAAAAGAGATACATGGCTCCATTTTTACCTATATACCGTGCGGTAATGATAGAATACTCACAGGTGTGTTTCCAGTCTCGATCGGCAATGCTTTGTTGACGGTGTCATTGTACCCTCGAAACCAGATGATGTATAGGATCACCATTAATACACTGATACAGAGCATAAACTGCCCAGCATTGTTCAGTCTCATTACCATCATATCTACAAAGAAAACACGAGGTCATAGCTTTGTACAAATTAAACTATAATTCAGTTGAACTGTCTTGCATTCGTACCTGCAAGCAAGGTATTTGAAAATCATCAGGTTCGTTCAAGACATTTATTGTAGGTGTCCGAGCAGCACTAGATGGCATAACTCATATACTTTAATTTATAATAACAAAGAAACATTTATAAAGAAAACCATGCTATTCGCCTGCTTGTTTGGCTGGTCGTAGCTCTAGTTACACTATATATACACATCTGCTTACCTGCTCATATATAATCACACATCAACGTATTCGATGCACGAGGCTAAACATACCACCGACAGAACGACTAGGTGTATATACTTTCGCTCTACTTGTCCCCATAAAATGTAAATCTCAGCCTGGTGTAGAAATAGTTATATTGTCGTTGTTATCACAGGCTGTCCAGAAACTCTGATGAATATACTGAAGCGACATATAATCGATTTTCTTCATTTGTACACTTTAAAACGTCCTACAACATCTAAAAGGACATGGGACACCAAATGTTTTCTCCTTGTAAACTGCTGTTATGCCTTGTTAACGATATTGAAAACCCCACGTCAATCATCGCAATATTGTAACCTTGAAGCGTGACGCTCATGGGTCATTGTGTTTTCACGGATTTATGGATCCAACACACGTGCCGTTGTTTGTGTAGAACGAACTAGGTTAGCCAAGAAAACTTTCATCATGCCATACTGTGCAGTTTATAACTGTAAAAGTAACTCGAAAGTGCATAAAGATGTTTCATGGTTCAGGTTTCCCAGTACTGATCGTGACCACGCCAGGTTTAAATCATGGCTTCATTATTGTTGCCGAAAGGACTTTGTGCCGTCTACTCACATCAGTTGAGCAAAGATCCGTCATTTTATGCGACATTTGGTTACGAGGGTGCGAAACCAGTCCTGAAGATCGATGCCGTTCCTGATGTGCCATGGGACTATGGAATTTCGTCCGCGATATCAAGACTAGCCACTACACCCTCCCCCAAGGCTCGAAGTACCGTACAATTAAGACGAAGACTTGAGGTAATTGAATCATATTCTACAAAAACTATTCAAATTCATTTATTAAATCATCAAAATATTTTGGGAGATAGTAAAAAATTCAGTACACGTTTATCTTGATAGGTACTAATCCTCTGAATGCGCTTGTTCATTGATATCTTTACACAATACAATTACACTGACTTTATAATGAATCAGGTAATTTTAACTTCTCCCAGGTTCTACAAGAGGCAATGGCATACAGCATACATCATGCCATACTGTGCAGTTTATAACTGTAAAAGTAACTCGAAAGTGCATAAAGATGTTTCATGGTTCAGGTTTCCCAGTACTGATCGTGACCACGCCAGGTTTAAATCATGGCTTCATTATTGTTGCCGAAAGGACTTTGTGCCGTCTACTCACATCAGTTGAGCAAAGATCCGTCATTTTATGCGACATTTGGTTACGAGGGTGCGAAACCAGTCCTGAAGATCGATGCCGTTCCTGATGTGCCATGGGACTATGGAATTTCGTCCGCGATATCAAGACTAGCCACTACACCCTCCCCCAAGGCTCGAAGTACCGTACAATTAAGACGAAGACTTGAGGTAATTGAATCATATTCTTTTTAATTTTCAAGTGCCATCACAAAAACTATTCAAATTCATTTATTAAATCATCAAAATATTTTGGGAGATAGTAAAAAATTCAGTACACGTTTATCTTGATAGGTACTAATCCTCTGAATGCGCTTGTTCATTGATATCTTTACACAATACAATTACACTGACTTTATAATGAATCAGGTAATTTTAACTTCTCCCAGGTTCTACAAGAGGCAATGGCATACAGCATACAGAGTAGTGAAAATGGTACTACATATATCAAGACTCCAGAACCAGATTATGATGTGTATAGTATTACAGATATGTACATTCATCTACTGAAGACAAGAATATACAAACAACAGTGATCTCATCAACTAGAACCCGAAGAATTCAGGTTGGGAAACCAAATTTGGCAAACAAATTTTCAAGTTTAGTAGTTCAGTGTGATATTGAAGCAGAATTGTCATTACCTTAAAAACAGGGTTCGACATTAACATTTTTTCAACTAGACCAGTGGACTAGTAACTTACAATTTCTACTAGACCATTTTTGAAAAATGAAGAACAAGTTTAAAGTGCATTCTCTCAGTTGTTATTTTACCAACATTGAGACAAAAACAAAACTACAATGTAAAAGAATGTAATACATGTTAAATCATAGAAACAATGTCAATAATCATTCACAATCCTTTACCAGAGGACAACATGTAAAATCTTTGATGTAATTATTATGATTATGTCATTTGCACTTTAAAAGAATAAATTACACTTGGAGAGTATCAAGTCACATTCAGTCAAACTGAGGGCGCCTGGTCCTTTGGCCTCCATGCCATCATAATTCCAAAGCTCTCTGACAGTTATAGTGACCTAAACTTGGCCCTTTCAATAGAAATGGCCATTGATATGTTCAGCATTCCAATATCTAGCTTAGACCTCCAATCAGATTTCTAGACATTGTAGAGAAACCCGTCTCACATATTGCACATGAGACTGGAATACACTAAATGATTTCTACAAGCATAAGAATGTTTTCAAAGTTTTGTTTAAGGTTTTGGTTTGTGAAAATTCTGTGATAGAAATCTGTAATATTGATATTCATTGGCTGACTTTCATGGGCACTTTAAGAGAGGGCCATTCATCTTCTTTAAGATGAGGAACATCACCACACATCCTGTTCAGTACCACTAATAATGGTCACAAAGGCCATTCACAGCTTCTTCCCCATATATTGCTCGCTCTGCTTCGGAATCTGGTAAGTTGACAGGGTAAAACACTTGCATAGGATTAAGAATCAGGATAGATTCTACATCTCCGACTCTTTGAGTAATGTGATCAAAAACCAGGTCAACAAAAGTATTCTGTTTGTTTCTGAGTTGTTTTTGGGTCAAAGTTGGGGCAGTTAGTTGGGTATTTCTACAAGAAATTCTCGGAGATTTTTTCCTTGTTGATGGTGTAAAGCAGTGAGACGTAGGCAAGCAATCTCAAGTATTTCAGATGCTTCTTGCAAGCCACAGCTATCCCTTTGAAAGAAGATTCTTTCCAATGATTGACCAGTGCTTAAATTACTGTTTACGTTTCATGAAAGTAGACCGAATTATTCTGACGTTCTATGTACTAGATCCGATGAATATCATAACTCCTATATAAAGTGAGGGAAATAAGCGACTCGCGCCTGGGTCGGCATTCAAACAAAATTTTGAAAATAAATAAGCATTTTCAGATGTTGAAAAAAGTCGATAGATCGTCAGAATAATTAGGATTTAATTTCAACCGAGACGGATGGTTTGCCCGTTTAAGAAACCCAGTCATTGTTCATTGTTAAGTATATTTTACACAATATCAAATAATGAGATTTGATTTATTGAAAAGAAATTACAATGCGTCTATTACAGTGAGAATTATCTTTAAAAATGGTGAGGCGTATGAAAATCCTAGCAAAACATTGCATTTGAAAATAATTAATTTCTAACCACCAAAAGACTTAACATAAAATCGTTATTGAACCGCTATTTTCCTTCATTTCATTGCCATTTTTCATTCTTCTACAAAGGTGAGTAGCAGTAGAACATTTGATTGATGATACAGAAGAAATCAAAGGAAAATAAGTCTGATAGTCGTTAGCGTTGCGTGTTGTTTAATTTCGTTAGCAATGTGATAGTACTGATAATAAGATATCTTCCATTTTCATAAAAACATAGATGTTGCTAATTAAACACATCTAAACAAGAACGCTCGTTAGATAAAGATGTGTATTAAAAGGCTGATAACAATATTCTGTTTTGAAATATATACACTGTTGTCAGTTGTCGCAGGCACATATTACAACATTACATTTCCCAGGGTCCCCACCAACCCCCATGGAGCTTAGGGTTGGAATTCGGGTCAGCAAGAGGATAGGCACACGGAACAGCTGTCACATTCAGCTGCTGTAACATCGTCAGCATTTTCATCACCATATCAGGATAGTATGCTGACAAATCCACTCTTTCCACGGGATCCTTGGCAATATTAAACAGCCATATATTCTGTTCTGGTTTACTAGAGTCTATATCCATGCTGGTATTCTCTCTAGTTGGCTCTGGTATCCAGCTTCCATTGCCTGTAGTGTAAAATAAATGTAATTAATGTTACATTGCCTCCTGGATATGTTTAATGATTAATAACAGCTCATTAAGTCTATTTACTCATTCTAACAGTTTGTGAACACATAAATCCGCGGATAATGAGTACCCACGAATTCATCGAAAACTAACCACCATCGAAAATTCCTTATTTCACAGCATATGTGTAAATATGACCAATAATGAGAGCGTGTGCATCTGATTTGCTCGTATTGTAAGTGAGTTTTAATATATAATCGAATGACTCACCTGGACTACCGGTTATCACTTTCCAGTCTCTCCACCTGAGAGCGGCCCTGTAGCGATTGTCAAAGGGACTCTCCTTTAGTTTGACTCCAACGGGTTTGGTCAGAGGATCAATGTTGTGTAGCAGTATTTCTCTGGGACTTTTAGCATCTTCACTGACAAAAGGGTATGCATAAGTATTTACATGATTGGAATACAATTGTTTTGAATTCTCAATTTTAAACAATCAAATATTAAATAGTATATGTCTTAGTAAACCCAACCACTAAATGGTCGGATGGTTACGTATTATTTGTCCTACAATACGTTTTAGGATTCCTGACCTGAAAAACTTTTCATGTTTAAACTCTTTTGATACAATTCTACGAATCTACGAAGGAAACCAATTGCAGATAACGCAGCATCACAAAAGGTATTTGAAACAAATTAAGCTGCCGTACAAATGTTAAGTCACGCGTTATCTTTAAAACCAGACCTTGGCTTGCTTTGATGTCAACTAGTGATACCGTAATTCAGGCATATACCTACAAACCTGATTGTTTTCCATTGGTCGAATCCATCCAGGGGTTTGGTGCCGTTTAGAGAGCCTCCTGCTAGCCCTATCAATGTTGGGTACCAGTCTGTTACATGTATAAGTTCAGAGGATATGGTTCCTTTTTTCTGTAGGGCTTTTCCATGTACAAATCCAACGCCGTGTATTCCTCCCTCCCAAAGTGATCCCTTCCAGCCTCTCAGAGGCCAATTATTACCACCTTTTAATATCTGTCCACCATTGTCTGACAATAAATTATGGTTATGATGAAATGGAAATTGGTCGTATACATAATTTACATATTTGAATTAAAGGAGATTACAAAACGTGTTCAGTAATGTTGTAGCACCGTTTCTAACTTCTATGATCAACAACTGAATATATAGCATATATTCATCATATCATTTTATTTTACAAATTGTTAATATTCTAGTGAAGACCGATTTCTATGACGATTTAAAACAGATTAATACATCATCTAAAGTTATCGTTAAAGTGTTTACTTTTTACATTTAAAGTTCATTTCAAAACTTTTTCTTCAAAAAATCCATCAAACAATATCCGTGTAATAGGGTACGTATAATAGATATTTAAGAAAAAATCAAAATCAACAGCTGGCTTGAACTAACGCTTTCACCTCTTCGGAGGTTCTCCAGTTTTATAGATACATACCAGTGGAGAAGATCATAATGGTATCGTCCCAAATCCCTTTGGCTTGGAATGCTGCTGTTACCTTTCCTACCGCTTCGTCCAACGCGTCCACCATTCCTGCCAGTTGAAGTATGAATTTAGCAAATACATTCATATCTACTTTCCAACCAAAATATATCAACAAGAAATCCAAAAGTGATTTTGGCACCAGCATTGTATAATAAGCAATTGTGAAATCAAAGATAGTGGCCCATCAGCAATTGGTTTTCCAGTCCTAAATCAAACGAGTACAACTAGATCAAGCACAACTAGGGATCAAGCAGACTCTACGTTTTGAACTTGAGAAAGAAGAATTCAGCATTTCTCAAGAAATAGCGATGATAAACTGTAACTGTCAAAATCCATGATGGCCACCTGTCAGCCATTTTATAGTCTCAAACTCAAAAGGACAATAAAAGACCACAGACAACCTTCTATCTTTCTGAAAATAAAAACAGCGAAAACAAAGTTTTCTGAACAGTCCATAGAATGGATTATTTATATCTAGTGTTCAAGAAGACTATACTATTGAAAAGATTGATGTAAGGAAACACGATCGACGCAGTGCGGACGTAACACGATCTGATAAACCCATTATTACTTAAATGTCAAATCATCGGAAATTCCATATTCTAAGGGTGCCCTTTTTAATGACTGTTGGGATATGTCTTGAAGCAAATGCGTTCTTGAGTTCTGATAAAGACTATGTGAATTTACCGACAAATTAATGCAAAAATCTTAATCCAAGCTTGTAATCGATGAAATCGGGAAAAACGGAGCAAGATTAATTTATAATTTATAGATTTGATAAAAGGGTAGAAAACTAGGTATCCTTATTCTATCTATATAGTCATATAAACGTCTACCTTAGTGTGTAGATAGATATCGATGAACAACCAGTAAAACATTCTGAGACGCTTTACTATTTTGATGGTTTACATTTCGTGAAATAAATCTACTGACCTGCATATGTTTGTCTTTTTTTATCTTTGATAAAAGCATACTTGTTTTTGTACCGAGAGGGGACTTCTAAAGGTCCATGAACAGCTTGAAATGCCAGGTAGAGAAACATTGGCTAAAATATAGAATATAATGTTTAACATGAATGAATCACATATCAAAGGATCAGTACCTAATAACGATAAAATCAATAAGATCTTGAGCCTAACACAAGCTTAATTTGTGTATAAGATGAAGGAAAATCAACTGTAAATGATCAATAAAACTATGTCATAAAGATGTTCTGTTGTACAACGACTATTCAATGATGATAGCCAAACGTGCGGGAATCAAACTAACGGAAATGTCAAAATAAAATCAACCGAAGGCAAAGTGAAGAATACAGGAGAAGTGTGCCAATGATTTTGAAAGAAAGAGGGTGGGTGGGGTTGTAATTATCTTCTGTGAAAAATGCTTTACCGTATTATGGCGCGATAAGCTATTAGCGGCAGCATGTAAGGTAGATATATATACTAAACAAAAAAAGAAAGGTAACACTACTTTATTTTGTGATTAATTAATTAACCCCTTCATAAATCCTTACCAATCATGTACGAATAAAGTAATTGATCAATTCTGATAAAACTGCAGTCATGGTTCATTATAAAACTTTGCGTTCAGTTGATTTTATTCGACTGTAAAGGACGTTGGGATCAATTTCAAAGGTAACGCCATTAGTAACGGGTATGGCCACAGTTTGCGAAGTAAACAGCATTCCAGCGTCGTCGCATGGAACTCGTAAACCAGCGGATAATTCGAGGAGAGATGTTGTTCCATTCAGCGATCAAGGCTTGGGCCAGCTCCTGCAAGTTTGACGGCTGATTTTGACGTTCTCTCAGGCGTCGCCCAAGAACGTCCCAGACATGCTCAGTCGGTGACAAATCAGGTGATTTATATGGCCAATCTAACACCTGTACGTTATTCTGCTGCAAGAAAGGTTTGCTGACGCGACTGGTGTGCGCTGGTGCGTTATCCTGTTGAAAAATGGCGCCAACGCCATGGCGTATTAAGAATGGCAGAACCACTGGTCTTAAAATTTCGTCCCGATAACGAATGCCGGTTAAATTGCCATTTAACACAACAAGCCTGGTACGAGTCCCCTCACAAATACCACCCCAAACCATTACACTTCCGCCGCCAAAGCGATCCCGTTCTGCGACGCAGCAGTTCGCAAAACGCTCCCCTCGTCGCCTCCACACTCTGCGCCTTCCGTCACCGTGTTGTAGACAAAACCTGGACTCATCTGAAAACAGAACATTGTTCCATTGTCGTAGGGCCCAACGACAGTGAACACAGGTCCAGTTACGCCGATTATTACGGTGACGTCGCAACAAATTGGGTCCAGTGTAGGGACGCCGCGCTTTCAATTGGTAGGCCCTCAACCTGTTGCGGACTGTTTGGGGAGACACACGACGCCCAAACAATGTCCTTGTAGTCTCTACTGCGGTTACGAATCGATTGCGCAAGTGTATCAATCGTATATGACAGTCATCCCTGGCGGTCGTTTTACGGAGTCGGTCGCTTCGGGGACGATCGGATGTTGACCTAGTTTGGTTTAAACGACTTTCCAACTGGCAAATTGTCTTAACACTGCAACCAAAATGCCGTGCAACTCGACGGCGAGACTCCCCAGCCTGGATCATGCTTACAGCCCTTTCTCTCTGTACTTGTGACAGCCGGGGCATAATGATAAAGTTGATAGGGAGCAAGATTCGGTGATTTCTAAGTCCTAAGGATCTAAGGAACAGTTGTCAGTTCGAATGTTTATGAAATTCAAGCGAAGATACAAGTTAGTAGCAGAAAACCTCGTGCAGCTCTTTCGCTAATACAGACTTTCACGCTTGAATGATTTGGTAACCCCCTTGGATTTTGTAATGTAAAACATTACCAATTTCTAATATTGCACAAACGTCATTTTGTTTTCACTCATTTACAGGTATTCGCCACGGAAACATGTTAACCTTTCTTTTTTGTTGAGTATATATAGAGTGAAATGGAAGCGAAATGTTTTGATAGGCAAAAAGGGTAGAACTACAGTTATCAGTTAGAAATCAGTTTAACAGCACAGCAGTCATTTTCAGAAAGGAAAGTATTATTGTATAGGCTAAAATAATTGACTTATTATAATCAAAGATATGTCCTCAGCACATCCGAATTGATTTTTGTGGTAAAGTGGGATACAATATTTCCTTCGGATAAGAAATGAAATAGATCCGTGACATCTGTTACGAAGTCCACATACAGTGGGTAAACACAAAAGCTTAAGATCACATATGTGATGCACGTTTTTATTGATTTTTGAATGTTTTATTTATGTTATATCACCCATATAGTGCTGTCCGAATTCTATAGATGTAATATGTAAATAACTATGATTCTATCATAGTACCAAAGACATTTTTCTATTTATTCTCATAAAGGTGTCTAGTAGAAATAAAGAATGCTGAATAGATATAAAAGTTAGGTTTGTGTTAATTTTATATCTTCTATGACTTGTATTTCAGGTTCAACCCTTTACATTGATAAAGGTACAAAGGAAACATCTCATGGGTATATATGAAATCCATATGAATACAGCTGACGTAGAGGCGAAAGATCGAGCGATCGTATCAATACACGCAAATCCTATTAAATAAGCTAGACATGTGTCTGTATTATATCAAGTTGCAAGAATTAGAGTTAGCCATAAATCGATTGTTCAGCTGCATAATTCATTTTTGCACGTCTTTCAGTCGTATTATACAAGTTTCAACCATAATTGAAGAAAAGGTATATTCTGATATTGTGTAATGTTTCAGGCGAATTTGCAAAAAAGATTAAGATAAAACATGTCAATTCAATGTATACAGCACCTTTCTTATAGAATTCGATAATTATATCATACAGTTCAACCATGTCGAGTCTCGTCTGAATTGCATACTTAAACAACGTAAAGAACTAAAATTTTACAGAATATTCTGTTTTCATATATCAGCAGATATGATAAATTAACTTTTTAAATAATCACAATTGTGTAAAACATAAAAGACGTGAAAACATATTTATATGTCTAGAAAACTGATTGTATCATTATTTATGCATTGTAAAGTCTTACTTTGGAGGAGTTGTAATTGTTGACTAAATCTATCACACGCTTGCTGTACATCTCTGTGGAATATTCACTGGAATTCGGCAAAATGGGCTTGAAATTATCTCGTAAATCTTTCCCGCAAAAGTTTGTACTGAAACAGTTTGTTTTCTTGTAATAGTCCTCACTCCCAGTCAGATAACCTGATACAAATAAAATAAAAAAGTCCATTGAGGTCACTTTCATTTGTTAAATCTAATTTTCTTCTTAACAACAAAATTTATTTTCAATGTCATTATAGTTAACAAGAATAATGATATAATTTCATAATTTGTGAACTAAGTGAATTGAACTATAAAATGACTTTCTTGCTTTTTCTTCTAGGCAAATGTATTAACCATTAGATTTTATTTATGAAAATTGATACAAGAACTTGATTTGAACACGCTTTCAAGAAAAACCGAAACCCGTTTACGTGTATGAGAATAAGATGTCCGAAACAATCAATAAAACCCCCCAAAAAAACTACATTATAAGATATAGGGTCATCCATTTAAGAAATTTTCGAATTTACATTCTATCAAAAAATGTGTTTTAAGCGTCACGTTATTTACCAATTTATGTCGATGACTAAGATGATGTTTAAAAAGTGTTGACTATAAAATATAATACGTGTAAAGAATGGTTAGATAACCAATATGAGTATGTTCATTCGCTGTGATATCAATAGGTCCCAGTGTGTAGCAACTGTTGGTAAACCAATCGGAAACGTCTAACAACACATTGAGGAATTAAGTTTGTTTAATGTCACATTGATAAAAAGCGGTTTTACAAACGAGTAGTTCAAACACAAATAAATTATCAGTTTAAAAAAGAAAATGTACAAACATGTTATTGTGATCTGCTCTGTAACTTCAGTGCTAAATATTCCGTTTTTTAATTGCCCGTCTTCTGCATTTGATCATAAGAAGAGGAATGGAAGAACACGTAGTTTGATTCACAGGTCATATTTTGTCTACAAGATTATAGAAATTTCTCAAGGTAACAATTGCATCATATAAAGCCGTCTTACCAAAGAATGTGTCGAAGCCTCTGTTGTTTGGAAGGTACTCCTCCTTGTAGAAACCTAAGTGCCATTTCCCCACAGCGTGTGTGGAGTACCCAGCCTCCCGCAACTTTTCTGGCAGAATGGGACTGTCTCTTGGTAAGGCATTGGGCTGAGGAGGCCAGATGATCCCATGCTGCAAGCCAGTGTGAATCTGTAAATTTAACATAGATCGGAGAATAGAGCTGTTCCTTCCGGGAACTAAAAGACTTCGTAGAGAAATCTTGGAATGAACCAAATATGAGAGTGAGAACAGGAACTGGTTATTTTGCCCTGACCACATCTTTGCATATATGATATTGATATTGCCTTAATGGGAATTTAATTTTGTTCATATCATACTAAAAAATATTTATATATATTTTAAAATCTATTTTACACTGGCTACGGTATTTATTCATTCAAAAATAATTCTTATATGATGTTATAATAAACAGTATCTACGTCAATCCGTGTTCAAACATATCATGTACAATGTATTACCATGAACTACTTCGTCTCCGAGGAAGATGTGAAGAAGATTGACTAAAGAGCCCCTCAAGCCGGTGTAGCATTGAAAATGGACCCGGAGTTTTCCATAGCTAGCCGGTACTATTTTCAGCTTTTCAATGGAGGCAATTTTCTAACATTACACCGGCCAGTCTTGATCAAACATACACATATTTGTAAGATGTTTGCAAACGTTTATCTCGATCTATTGAGTCACAGTTTTAAAACATCAAGTTATACCTGGTATCTCCCAGACATGAGCTGACTCCTGGTAGGTGTACAGATCGGTTGTACATAGTAATTCTCCAGTCGGACGCCTTCTGCTGACAACTTGTCCAGGTTTGGTGTTTTGATTTCCGATCCATGGTACCCTATATCATTGTATCCGTAATCATCTGCTAAAACAAATAAAATGTGTGGCTGCTTTGTGTTAGCGACTTTCACAAAACAGAAAGACATGAAAAGGTTAAACACGCAAAAAGTCACTGAAGTCAACATCGTGTATCATCTTAGTATGAATCATGCAGGAAAGCGAAAAATCGAAAGTAAATCTCGTGACCGAGACGTATGAACGCACTACGGAACAGCCAGTTAAATAGTATCATTCTTCATGGTTTAGTAAAGGGAGAAACAGCCCGATTTGAGCTGTGTTAGTTTTATCATTTGACTATACATTTTAATGCATGGCACGCGACAGATTTCCGATATATTGTCAAGTGAGTTGAAGGAGAAATAAACGTAACAAGCAAACCACCATTAAATCTATATGTATGAGTAATTTTAGCGTATACATGTATCCTAAACACACATACTACACAAAAAAGTATACAGTACATTCACATTATCGTTTTGACACCAATACTTATATGTACTTAACGGTTTTTTTTTTTAAATAACAGATATATCAGAATTAAGAAAGCGATATGGCGTGTTACCGCCTGATTCGACATATAAGCGACCAAAAGTATAATGAAAAATGGAAAAAAAATCATTTCGATGAATCCGAGTAGGTCATGTCAATGAGTTGTAGCCAAATACCAATTGTCAGAGAAATATCTTTGATACATGTCAAATGTATTTTTTCACAGATCGTCAAGGTTGCTACCGGAACTATATGCTCTAAAATATGGGGTCTTCACTGGCTTGAAATGCAATTTGGACACATAAGGCGCACATGTACATACATATGTATATGCCTACTTTTAGGCAGTTGAACCTAATGCAGTGCTGTAGTCATGGTAGAATGTCATCACAATGTTCAATACAACTTCAGGTTTATATAGAGTCACGCATTAAGGAGTAATCCAGCCACTGAATGTTGTATATTTAATAGTAATATCGCCAGTGACATACACGGTAAGCACGTACACCACCGATAACTCTTCTATATTTAGACACGGTGACTCCGAATGCACGTTTATCTGTCGTCATTAATCATGTATTTTTAGATCGACCAAAGAGATAAACTAAAATAGGTGCTCCATCACGGTAAAGCACAATACCTCTTTATCGCATTAATAGGCTAGCGAACTTCCCAACCAAATTTTGAAATTTCTTTCATCATATTTCTTCGGTATTTCTTAGTTGCTTCCCAGGCTTCAAAATTTCGTCCTTTAACATCATTGACGAGTCTTACAAAGACGAATCAGCTGTGTGGTACAGTTTAATTCACTGTTTGGTCCTAAATAAAAGTTGTAATCCTCAACTTTTGTGCTATAGTGCCCAGATAAATACCCAGTTATTGCCCAGTTATTGCTATAATGCCCAGTTATTGCTAAAATGCCCAGTTATTACCCAGTTATTGCGAAAGTGCCTAGTTATTGCTAAAGTGCCCAGTTATTGCCCAGTTATTGCCCAGTTATTGCTATATAGTGCCCAGGTAGGGCTCAGTCGACATTATAAGATTATAAGATAGCTCAAACCGACCACCGAAAATTGTTGCTAACTCGAGACTTGAAGAACAACTGCTCAAGCACAACGTAGTTATAGGTCCCGTGATACATAATCACAATTTTAAAACTACTCATTGAAAAAAAATTGATTTGATTAACACTTTTTTCAGTTTCAAAGATTGAGTCGGTTCGTTTCCATAGACTTTGGTTACTATTTCTCAGACATCATTTTTTTCATTTGTATATATACAGATATAGTTATAGTTTTACATGTATTTGGTTGAATTTACACTACGTTTTTCATTAATGTAAATGGGACAAAAGTTAATTTTGAAACAATTACAGGCACACATATGCTTAGCTCTCATCATGTGATACATCAATCTTCCAAATATACTTGTGTAACTTATAGAGTGTATAAATGTCCATTGTATGTAAATCTTTCAATTGGTTTTGTTCACTTTTCGCTAGCTATAGATATTTCAACATTTTGGCATTACGTAAGTGATACATAGTTGGTATGTCAAGGGACTTAATTCTAAGAAGTATCCTCGTTAAGATAAAGGACAAAACTACTTTCTGATCCATTTGACCTGACCTCGACTCTACATAGTAATAGTCCGGGGAACGCCCCTTTGAGTTAAGATTGAGATACTTTCTAAACATATAGAAGTAGGATCTTTTTACAAATTTCTTCATAAATACTATTCCAAAAAGTTATAGCTGAGGGTAAGAACGATCCGAATAAAACTCGGTTGTACATCTGATGCCTGTTAAATTGTTATCCTGTCTGGTGTTATTACTGTATATCATCAGCATATCTATTTGGATGTACTAATTGCAGACAGTCTGTTTATTTTGGCCGATCGATTTACAGACCGTTGAATGGGTTTCTCAACCAGTGTTTCTAAAATGTCATTTGATTCAGTATTTATTAATTCTATTTTTGCTCCCGACAGCAGAAGTTGTCCCGATTTAGAACCACGTTTCAAACTTAATATTACATTAGAAATTGACTTCAACATTTAGAAGATAAGGACCATACTGCTTCCCCATTTTAGGTAACTTTTTTTAATTATATGATCAGCTAATCGAAACTGTCTTCCTTTTTCAATAATCATTGTCACCAATCTATATATTTTGAGAGGAAGATGGTGTCCAAACGAAGTGATTTGCTTGCGGGTATGTTTTCAGGGATAACTGCTGTAAACAAGAACTATGTGCTTTTATTAGTAACGTTTTCTCTCTTTATCAAACATAAATTAGTGTATCCTTGTACTCATTATTTCATTCATTCATCCATGTATTCATTGATTCATTTCTGTTTACTAACAACTATTAGACCAAAGATTGGAATTAGGGATGGGAAATCATGAAGAAAAACATACACATTGGGAATTGATAACAAAAATGTTTTTTTGTTTTGTTTTTTTGTTTTTTGTTTTAAAGGGGGGTATTGAATTCGTTTATACAAAATATCAATTGCCACTGCAAAGTGTTGTCCTTGTAAATATTTGATAACACATTATTGGTAGGGAATAAACCACTGCTAGTATTAACTGAGGGCTTTCCGAACGTAAAAAAGGAAAGAATGTTTTTGATATTTGTATAAAACTTATTACATCAGCATCATTAGCGTCATTGTCACAGTGAAAGCATGAACTATTTGACACTATTTGACGATGTATTTTGTTCTTACACTTCTAACAGCAGACATGTGACATTTTTGTTTAATAATATCTTTATATCAAAACCATCAAGTTAACATAGACTCTCTAGGAAACTATATGATATTAGATCTAACTAATACAAAACCAGCAGCCCGCACACTTTCTGCAGCAATATATGGTGACAGCGATGACAGTCCTAATTTATGTAGATGAAGATTACACCTATTTACTAGAATTAGCTCCAGGTCAGTCAGAGTCACGTGAAGGTTTACCTATTTTAACTGAATATCCTATTTTAGCAATAAATAATATGAAAAAATTGTAAATTATCAGGCTTAAACGGTTTCACAGTTGTAATTTACAATTTCACTGAATAGATTTTAAAGTACTTATTTACAATGTATTTAACCATTCCTATTTATCAGGGATGTCTTCGATTACTCAGCGCCAAGTTGTTATGACATGTAACCTAATAAACCTAGAGAATGTTTGAAAAATATCGCCTATCTCATTCTTAAAGGTAGATTATAAAATTGCCACTTTATAGGTAAAAGGTTTTTATCACTTCTTGATAACGATACGAAAAACAGTTTATGAATTGTCGATACATTGGTAAGTGCAAAAGGATTTGGCATATAAGTGTACTAAAAAATTGATAATTGTAAACAGAGCAATCACACAAAGGGACAAAAACGCCACACTAAAACAAAAGATGGTTTTATGTGTATTTTACAGACTCGTCACCTCGTCAGGTGCACTTATTTAATATCTGAAGTGAATAACTATAATTTCACATAATACACATATACAACAAACACACACTAACAGTTAGAGGAATAAAGCAGGGTCCCTTTAAAAGCTAAAATAGGGCTTACAGCAGGAGCGTAAGACACTCCCCTCCTCAAGATTAGTAGTACCTCTATCCCATTCCAATACACCACCTCAGTACCTACAAGTCCATCCCATAACATTCACTCGGCATTAAGTGATCTTGTAATATTAACCAATTAGTAAATTCATACAAACACTTCCAACCTCTCCACATACTAACCTCACAGTCACAAAATGTCATTATATAAGCGATAGAAAGCGAACAGTGGAGCAAGGTTCTGTGTGGATTTACAAAAAATATCGACATTGATAAAGAGAGCAGTATATATATTGGCAAATAGAGACGGAAAGACGATTTATACCTGTAGGGACACCAAAACAGATCACCGCAAGCACCTTACTAACAACTAACCAATAACTCACAGTCCGTAGGATGGGACTTAAAATGGTGGCCTGTGTAGTAATGTCCAACTCGCACGATAAAGAGTGTGCGTGATAAGGCCGGCCCATAGATCAGGGGTAGGTTAGTAATAGAGATTACTTATTTTTGATGGACTTCCAAAATACTATCAACATATCGAAACTTACTAAATGTAGGATCCCCTTTCTCTTCTTCTGTGTCCTTATCCGGCCCTCTTACTTCGAAGTGCTTAGTGTTAGGCTAGGTCTACAATTAGGCTAGAGAGCCGTCGTCTAAATCATAGTAACAAGTCAAGTAGCAGAGACGGACACCCCCTACATTATCTCAGTATTCCACTCTCTCCCATCACTTCCTATTCTTCCCTTCTACTCATTTTCCTGTTTTTTCTCGTCCGCCGAAAGGCTTAAAGGCCTTGATATTGTACGTGAAACCCGTTAAATAAATAATTAGATGATGATTGTAAAATTCCAGGTCGACTTCTACCTCTGAATTTTGGGAAAATAGCTATTGATTCATTAGAATGCTTTTTTTTAAGAAAAGTCTTATAAAATGGGAAGTTATTCTACCGCGATACAAGTGCTGCATTGCAAATAATGGCATATGTTCTGACATTTTTGGTATCCAAAGAGGATTCCGACAGGGAGATCCCCTATCGCCAAATTTGTTTATTTCAGAGACTGAAACACTAAGTGCAGTATGAAAAAAAATCTCAGTTGTAAATGGTATCAAAATGAATGTTTATGAATTTATTGTTTGACAATATGCTTACGATTCAGCACTTACGCTAGACGGAAAAGATTCTAGATTTATTTTGGAAATGTTCTTGGTTAAAAAGCGAAGTTGGGCAAAACTAAAGCTATATTTGGTTCGGATCTAAAGGGGTCCTCATCCGAAACTCTTATCCCATAGAAATCTTCAGTGGAATTAAATAGGAAATTCAAACTTTTAGGTAAAACTTACACAACTTTCGTTAATTAAGAAAAGACATCAAAAGGAAAAATGAAACATTTTAAACATATTGGAAAGGTCACGGAATAAGATGTTTGGCTTTGCCTGTTGCCAAATCCACAACCTCATTTTACTTCTATCATCAAATTTCATTCCTTAATTTGGAATTAACAATTATGGAAAATGGAGAAACGATACATTTTGCTAGTTTTATGAAAGCATAGAAATAACTTGAATCAAAATGCTTCTCCGGGAAGATAACCATTCTTCATGTAACGCCTTATTCATTGGCGACATAGAAAAATATTTACACAGTAAATCATATACTTGCCAGGGTCGTATATAACACTTTTCTCTTATCTTGCCAGTCTAATCTTTTTGGAAGGATGTATTGTTGGTTCTGGCGGCAGACTTAAAGGAAGAACCAACAACTACCCAACTGTAAACAATTCATGTGCCATAGTAATTATGTAACCGTTCTAAACTTTGTTGCTGACTTAATAGATGATAATGGCAGTATCTTGACAAATAGAAAACTACAGACATCACATTCCTTAGATATTAAATAAATCATATGTAGTGTTAAGTAACCAACGACAAAATAACAATCAGCAGTCGGCGGTAATAGCAGCAAGGACTTGAATTTTTCCGGGTTCTTGGCTTTGTACTTTAGATTCGCCTTCACACCGGAAGTTGATACCATGTAGTGTCTTCGATGCTGCACGCTGTGCTGCGTTAGCACGTACTTAAACCAAAGTGACACATGGTAAGCTCATGACATTTGCAATGGTGTCATTATTCATTTATTACTGTGAATTCATGCGTAGACGACTGGGCATTGACCGCCAAAACAAATCGACATTTAACTCGTTTTTATGTTAACATTTCGATTGTGTAAGCACATTTCGACCTATGCCGAGGGCGCTTGTTACTGCTGAGAACAGGTACTTGTGGATTCAATTTCAATAGCACTTGAAAATAACACAGCACACAATAACCGAAGTTTTTTATAAGGCTATTGTGTGGTTTGATATTTTTGAGTGCTATGGAAGTTGAGTCCACAAATACTTGTACTAAGAACTGGTCTTGGAGAATTGGAGACATTCTTCACCTGAGAGGGTAGACAATGTCTTACAATATATTTAAAGGACTCCTGCTGCTAAATTAATCACTATTACTAAGCTTAGATACTTTTACTTAGCTTTGAGTTAATAGTATTAATATTCGATGTTCAACATAAGTGATAACTGTCTTGGTTCATAGAAACACATTTCAATTGCTTCAAATGGCATAATTCAGGGTTTAGTAGGTTAAATGACATCTAGGGGGTGCTTTCGTTTATCTGGTTGTAATGGCACAGACATTGCATGATTTCATTCAGCATATAAGAACATACCCCAATCAATGTTTTCATTCCAACTTCTCTGAGTTTCGCTGACACTTCCTTTACTACCACATACTATCATGTACATTTTTGAATACTGTTAAAACTAGGCGAACAAAAAGTGGTTCTTTTATTTCATCAAAAATATTTATGATCTAAGCAAGGAGTGTCATGTCGATGTCCCAAACTGCATAAATTTGTCAAGAATATTCGTAAAGATGAGACTAAATTTTTTATGATTCAAGGGTCTGACTAATCTGCTGCCTAATTAAGGTAAATAGAGGTAAATCTTCGAAATTCTACATCTGTACATTGGAACAAAAAGATTTTGACGATATTTAATCTGAATCATCTTTTGATGTATCAACAAAATTAAATCTTGAGGACACCATGATCATTACATGGTGGGCTGTTCATCAAGTTGCCTGTAACTGTTTGTAAACCTGTCCTTAAACAAGCCTTGTTATCACTTTTTGTTTAGAAGCACTGAATGGATCAATTTGAAATTTCAGTTGTATGTTTCCCTTGACCCCTTCTTGTGCTCATTTGTGTTTGGGACTAATCAAGATGGCCAACATACCAGACAGTAATCTTGGTTTTCGACAGTTATAATTTGCGCTTGTTATTTCTTGGAAAGTAAAGGATGGATGTTTTTTCAGAGCCATATATAATTTTCCTTTGTTCTCAAGTTGTTTCCTTTTGGCCACCAAATAGGATTAGATTAGGAAGTATTGTTATCGCTGTCAACATTTAAAATATTTTACCTGTTTAGATAAAGCAATTTTAACCAGACCAGGTGATCAATACAGACCTTACTGGTACCTATATTGTGTGCAATGTATGTAAAAGAAACAGTTAAGGTATAGGATAGATGTTTAAGTAATCTAATGCAGAAATTAAAATGAATATGTATTCGTAAATATTTTTTAACCACTCATTAGCTGTATGTTATTATTCATTGCTCTTACTTCCCCTGTAGATGGCAGATGTGGATGCATCTTCTAACCATTCCCAGGATAAAAATGATGATGAGGATGATCATGAGCCAGAAGATGATGGGCCATACCTTGGTCGTGACCTCCATGAAGGGATTCAAGCTTTGTACCATGAAAAAAGTTTAACTGATGTTACTATAGTGGTAGATTCAGAAAAGTTTCCATGTCATCGACTGGTTCTAGCCTCACTGTCACCATTTTTCAGAAGCATGTTTACAAGTGAATTTAAAGAAAAGTCTCAAGATGAGGTTGAATTGAAATGTGTCAATGCAGCAACTTTCAAATGCATACTCGACTACATATATGCCTTTGATGAAGTGATTGATAATGATAATGTACAGGAGTTGCTTAAATCAGCATGCATGTTAGGGATAGGGTCACTTCAGTATGATTGTGAGAACTTTATCATTGACAAACTCACCTTCGAAGACTGTGCTTCAACACTCAAATTTGCAAAAGCACATTCATGTAAGAAACTGGCAGACTCTTGTCTAGAAAAACTAGGTGAAAAGTTTGATAAGTTCAGTGCATCAGAGGATTTTTTAGACCTAGACAAGGAAGATGTGATAGAAATGATGAAAATGGAAATTCTGACTACTTCTGCAGAAGAGAACACAGTTGAAGCAGTTATGAAATGGGTGACTTACAAAAGTGAAGAACGCCAAGTTGGTGCTGTTTTGTATGATGTGTTAGAATATGTGAAGTTTCCACTGATGCAGGCTGAGTACCTGTTTGAGTTGACCGAGTGTTATCCCATCCTCTGTGAAAATAGTCATGTTCGAAGTTTATTAGATGAGGCCAAGCTTTATCACTGTAATGGAGTTCGTCGTCATGAGATTTCATCACATCGGACACATTACAGGAAAAAGAGCAAGCTCACAAATATCATGTTCAGTGTTAAGTGTGACAATACACCCTCTCTATATGCATACAGTTTCCAGGAAGAAAATTGGGGGTTCCAGCGTTTTACAAGTCCAACAGCATATGGCTTAGGTACTGCATCTTGTATCTATGGTAATGATTTGTATGTACATGGTGGGGTTGCAAACTCCCGTGGACAACTACAAAAATTCATTTCACAGACCAACAATTGGGTGAAATGTCCATCATCTGGAAAGCGCATGTATAACCATGCATTGGTCTGTGTGAGACAGTGTTTATATGCTATTGGTGGCTGCGAGGTTGAACACAACCGGGTGATGTCAGGGATTATGGAGTTTGATGTCACTAGCGAGTCATGGGCACCAGTTACGAAAGCAGCTCTCCCATGTGCAGTACATACTTTTAGTGCAACAGCTATTGATAGAAAAGTCTACATTTTTGGGGGAAAGACCAGAGAAGATAGTGCTTCCTTAAAAATCCAGTGTTTTGACACAGTTTCCAGACAAACAACAGTCTTTGGTGACCTACCTGTTCCTGTTGCTTTGAGTGGTGCTATTACTGTGGACAAGACAGTGTACCTTGCATCTGGGGCAGGAGAAATAATCCAATGGACACCAAGAGATGGAGGATTGATTATCAAGTCTGTGCTGAAGAAGGAAAGGTCTAAAGAACGAGGTACTCAGTTGGTGTACCACAACAAAAAGTTGGTAGTCTTCTCTGCTTTTGATTATGAGGATTATGAACTCTTGCCAATTTCTGAAAATTGTCTTGTAGATTTGGAATCAGGAAATATTGAACATCCCTGGATGAACTTTCCTGAGCTGTCCACTTGGGGTCGGGCAGACCGATGTAGAATGCATTTGTGTATAGCCCCGAGATCCTACTTCATGTCACATCTGGATGACCCTAACCCAGATGATGAAAGCAATGACGAAAATGGAGATGAAGATCAGAGTTAAAATTTTGATGTTATTCAGAGTACATTGTTTTACTCAACCATCCCACCATTTTCCTCTCTTAACTAATGAAATACTTATAAATGCAAATTCCAGGATTTAACACAATTTTTGTGTCGATAATTAAAAATTGAATATTTGAGAAAGACAATTATTGAATTAACTTTGAAGCCAATGATAGGCATGTCTGTATAAATGTCAGTTGGCAAATTAAAAGGACAAGTATTGATTCTTAGCCGTGTCCAGCCAGTATCATTAATGAAAGTCACCCTGTCTGCTGCTGACAACAAAGGGAAATAAATGTATAATGTTTATCAACTTAGTATATCAGAAAAGATGTAATTAATTTGGAGTATTTACATCATCGGCCCTGCATTGCACTGGAAATCATTAAACCTGCAATCTGAACATCCCTAGAAATGGGATTTGAAGTTAAATGAGTCGCTAGTAATCTGGAAATTTAAATGTGGTATCTGAAAAATCTTTACTGAAAGCACAGTCTAGTCCAGTGTAATTTGACATCTGAAGCACAGAAGATGTGAAACTTTAAATAAAGCCATTCGATTAGGTATATATCTACACAATATAATTATATGTCATGGTACTAAATAGCATGAAAATTCAGACAGCAACTGCAGGCAAGTAACAGGACAGTTAAGGGACAGGCAACTCAGTCTGATAGATATAGTTGGCTTATATAAACATACAATATACCTACAGGTTTATTACTTTTGGAAACTTTCTAACCAATAATCAAATTGTCCATATTGATGCTAGTTCATTAAATTTAATCACACATCATTGAAATTATTGATGTCAAGTGTGAGATCAACCAAAATATTTCTTGTGTCACATATATATAAAGGTATTACATTATATATGTATGGTCATTCATATATTTTTATGTGAAATAGGAGAGAGGTACTTTCTTTCAGATTTGTTACTGAATCAGTCTGAAGGATTTTCTTGAATAAAAATGAGATTGTTTGACATGATGGCTTTTAATCTCAGTTTCTAACTTTGTAAAAAAAAATACAACTTAATACTATAAAATAAATCAAATATATTGTTTTAATAATATCATACTGACTTGGTGTGCCATATTGCTTGTCTGCAAAAGTAATTGCGTGATAGCATTTGTACAAGTGTACACATAATTATGCCTCAAAGATATTAACATAGATATAAAGTAATATAAATTCAGTTTTCTGAAAAATGAAAAACACAACTGTAAACAAAAACAAGAGGCCCAAGAGTCTTAGCTGTCACCTACGTTAAAATTCTTCTTGTGACATGTCATAGAAATAATTTTGTTTAAAAAAGTAGATAACTGTAACAACATTGTACACATAATGCAAATGTAAACTGTGCTTAACATTAACTGTTTTCCTATGCTAAGGTTTCTAACCAAGTTTGAATTAAAAGAAATTAAAACTCAAAAATTGAATTTTCCTATATAAAATCTTCCATCCATGAACGGTAGATCATCTTTGAAATTTCAGACCATTTGACCCGTATAAAGTATGATAAATTTTATCCCCTCCCCAGGGGGAAATGTGAGACCTTGGGGTCATTAAATTTACAATTTTGGTTAAGCCTCTGAAGGCCTTTCCATCAATGATGAGTATTTGATTCTACTATTCCTGGGATTTGAGAAGATTTTTGAAATTTCAATCTATTTGACCATTTTTGGCCCCACCCCTCAGACCTTTGTGGTATGGGAACCATACAATTTACAAATCCAGGTTTTTGTAAAAATTTCATTGAAATTGGTTCAGGAGTTTTCCAGAAGGTGGCCAAAATGTTTAAAGTTTACAACCCATGGCCCACTGGACAGAAGGGGATCGCAATAGGTCACCCTGAGACTTTGTCTCTGAACCAACCTCTCAAGAAATCGCAATAAAAACTAGAAATGTAACAAAAGTTTCTTGAGGTAGTACATGATACGTTTATCATAGGTTGGATGAACATTCTGCAACAGAAAAGGGAAGGAAAGTGTGTTTAATGTTCGATGAACACATAAGGGTCATTTACAGATAGTGCCAGTTGTGTAATGATGGAGGGAACAGGTGTAAACCACCAAGCATCAATGATAACATTTCAAGATGATCAGTGATAAATACTCATGCTAATGTTCCATCAATTTAACAAAGGCAATTTCTCAATAGATATCTATAGATAATAATTTTGGTTATTGTAGTAATCTGAGCTATGGTGGTAATGAATATCCTGAAGTTTTGATGGTATCTGTTGGAAACTACTGGATACGTTGAGCAGACACTTTTTAGGTAATCAAAATATTGGGCCATAACTCTGTGAATTATAGGCCGAAAGTTGCATTTATCCAACTTGTCTTGGTAATGAACTTTCCTATTAAAACTATTTTTGATGTCAAGCAGAAGCTGTTTATATAATTAAATAAAGGGCCATAACCCTGTAAAATTTGATCTGAAAATTGCAGTCATCAAACTTGTCTCAAATCATGTAAATGAACCTTATGAAGATCGAGTTGACACTTTCAGTTATTAAGTAAGCGGCCATAACTTCATGAATTACTGTTAAAAAATTACAGTGATCAAACTTATATGATATGAGTTATCATGGTATTGAACCTTCCTATAAAGGTTGAAGTTGATTTGTTGAAAACTATTTTTGATATCAAGTGGGCACTGTTTTTGTAATTAAATAAAGGGCCATAGCTCTGTAAATTTCAGTCCGAAAATTAACTAAGGGGGCCATATAGTTGGATTATGGTTAAAAAATTATGGTGATTGAACTTGTCTGTGCTATCATGGTAATGAACCTCCATATGAAGTTTTAATTTGATCCATTGAAATCTACTCAAGTTATTGAACAGACACAGTTTGTCCACCCATTTACTCATTCATTTGCATGATAACATAATACGACCCATCATTCGACAGGCTAATAAAAATTGAAGATGACAGTCTGTTAGACGTTTGATTCTTAAAACTGGTCCTAAAACCAATTATTCAAGACATCTGACCAACTGAGTACTATTCCTGTGAAATTTGATAGTGATACGTTCAATATATCAAGAGAGATTGGTTCATCTGGTACTTTCCAAGCTATAGCAATTTCTCATTGCAGCATTAATAAATAAGAGGCCCCTTGGGCCTGTATTACTCGCCTGGATCTTAAGGCCCAGCAATGTCATACAAACCTATAGGTTGGGTATTTAAAACATTTCCAAATATAAATAAAGCTCAGTCACTTAACCTATTTGATGGGGCAAGACCAGTGGGTAAATTTTTATATTACCTCGTGGTATTACTGACTTTCTGTTTTGATTCCCACAAGAGTTAAAATGGTTATCGGATTGATATCTCAACCGTATCAAAAATATGACCCAGAAATAATATCCCTTGAGGTGTGCCACACCAAAGGGTCAATTCCTACATAAACATAAAAAAATGAGTTAATCTCTTGATGCCAAGCAATTCTATATATATATAGTCAAGGTGTCAGGATTTCAATTGTTTCAAAGATATCACTCAGAAATTAAGTCCAGAGGGGCGGGGCCACACCTAAGGGCCAGTTCTTACATTGAGAATGTGTTCATATATTGATGCCTAGCATTGTCATATATGGTTTAAGGGTGGGGATCTCAACTGTTTCAAAGAAACAGAGTCTGACCAACTTTTGCTAAAATCCAATTATTCCTAGAGGATGAATAGTATTTTCAAAATTTGCTGTAGTTTGCCTATTGAGCCCAGCCTCTTCCACCCCTCCCCACCCCTCCTATGAGCTCAGCCTCTTCTGCCCCTAGGCCCACCCCCTCCGCCCATCCCCATCCCACCACCACCAAAAAGATCCACCATTTATACAAAATTGATTGCCCTTCACCAAAACATGATTCACACCAAGTTAGTACAAAAATCCAATCACTCCTACAGAAGGAGCAGGATTTTAAATAATTTGTTCTATTTCCCCTACTGGGCCTGCCGTTTCCATCCTAGGGGGCCCCTTCACCCATGTTCATGACTAGTAGCATTTTGTAGAAAAAGTTGACAGACAACAGTCAACCGATGCCACAGTATCCCTATAGCTTGGGGCCAGGTGAACTAAAAACTGTTAAAAATGTTCATGAAACTAGAAAGATCACTTTCATGAAACGATAACCATATATGAGTACAATATAATTTTCAAAACTTTTCACTTTTGGTTTATTACTTCTTGTATGTGGTCCATGACAATTTTGAATTAACAAACATACAGTAAATAATAATGACATATGAAATTATAATTTTCAGCTTGTACAATATGTATCCAGCTTCGTTCGTAAAAACATCTTTTTTTTTTGGGAAGAATAAAATTATTCTGCCAAGTAACTGATGTCATACAGGAATAAAGGTATCAATACTGAGCCAACTTTAGTGAGCTCAGTAAATTGGATCAAATTGGACCTACAAAGATGGTTTAAATGAAGTTGGTATTCAATATGATTAGAATTCATTAGCAATAAATAGGCATCCAATTTTATAAAGCATATGTATATATAGAAATGTTACACATAATTGTGTATAATCACAGATGAAATGTCACACAAATAACAATATACTGGGGTGAACAAGTAAATATCATAAAAAAGTACTATACATAGATTAACATTAACATTAACTGACATGTTTTTGCCATTAGCTCTTCAGAAAGTATAACTTATTACATATCAAGTTCTTGTGATGTAACACATTAATTGGCCAACTTTTTATGAAGTCAGAAGCATTTACATTTTCTATTTAAAATATCATACAAATCTTTATGCATGGTTAAAGTTTCAAACTGGATGCACATAGAAACAGTGATAGAAGATCATGACTGCAGGTGCAAAAAGGCATACAAGATTACTACTAAAAAATACATTATTAGATAGTAATTTCGAGGGTCTCGTAATAATTTGACTCATTCACCACTGATCATTATAAAACACTGACAGAGTCGTTCAAAGGATATAAATAATAACAGAAAACATATTTTATTAACACTTTGGTAACAACATACATGTAGTTTTAAAACACATAACTTTATCATCAACCAATATGATTTAATGAAAGATACAGACACCAAACACTTATAATTTCTTTAAAAAAAAAAAAACTTTCTCGGCGGAAAAAAAAATGTGCCCACAAGAGACAAGTTGTATAATTTCTCACTATATTTTTGAACATTCATAATGCATTGCTGCAAGGAATCACCAACATGAAAGGGAAGATAGTTCACTGAAGTTATTAAGTTACAAGTTGATGAGTATTGTACACATATATAAGAAGCCTATATTAATAATTCAAATAAGAGACCCATATGGGACCTGTATCACTCACTTTGATGTTTGAGCTTTCATTTGAAACATCTTTATAATATATTGTTGCCATTTTTTCCAAAAGATGAGGAATGTTACAGCTTGAAAATAAAACTTGACACAATACCTACATCCAAACAGAGAAAGAATGATTTGAAACTTTTACTTGTTTTTCTCATTTTGGGCACTGCTCATCTGCAGGCGGAGCGGGGAACCCACCGAATGGGATTGGGACTATATCCTGACATCCCTACAGAAGGAGGATTATAAATAAATCTGGTTTCTTTCTCCCTCATCCAAAGTCTGTTTCCCTTCACCCATGGATGAATCAGACTAAATTTGAACAATGTTCTTTCACTCCTTCAGAAACTGAAGGATCGGAAAGAGCTTGCTACATTTCCCATTTTGAGCCCCATCCAACAGGCCCCTTTAGGACAAGACCAATTACTTATATAAAAATTTGTTCTCTTTCCCCCAAGCAAAAATGTTGTCAAATCCTTTCAATTGTTTATAACTAGCAGCAATTTGTAGAACAAGTTTACTGATGAAAAGATGTCACACCATAGCATAAGCTCATTGGTCCTTTGGACAACATGATTGAAGATATAAACATATTAATCTACAAAGAATACAATATAGTAAGTATTAATAGCGATGATAATATAAATGTCAAACTTACATGTTTACCTGAGTATATACATAGCTTCCATACCCCATGACTGTTTATGATAAATAGCTTTAATATATCAATGTATTGAGTATATGTATTTAAGTTGGTGAAACATAATGGAAGTCAAATTATCATCTGAAGTAATATAATGTCCTTGTTATGTGTTATTTGATTCCATACATTGCAGTTTCTGTTTTGTTTTAATGAAGGCATTAATAATGTGATGATTCCGAGACAAACCTCAGTGCAGTGTACATTACAGTCACATCTGTCATTTTAAGTCATGAAGTTTGGCAATTAATTGTTATCACAGGTAATTTGGTCTTCATTTCAAGGTGCCCATTTTATTGACTACTTTGCAGTCATGGTTTTCAAATGTGAAACTCTTTGTAAAATATCTTCGACATTTGCTACATTTGAAAAGATTTGGTAGCAAGGATGATTCCTGTTTTTTCGTTTCATTCAAGTATGTTTTCATAACAGGTGGAATTTCAGCTGACAAAAAATCAACATCACTTTCAATGATGCAGTCTATACAAATTTGCACTAATGAATTCAATTTCATTGATTGAGTTTTGTTTCCTTGATAGTAAGGTTTCCAGTTGGAAAATGCATCTACACGACTTTTTCGAATTCTGAGAGCTTCAAAAATGGCTTCCTTTCCGTCCTGACAGACAGAAAGTGGTGGTGATTTGATAGTTTTGTTTCCAATCACATTTAATGTCTTGAGAGCAACAAGATTAAGCAAGTCCGTTGGAAGGCTCTCCAAAACATTTTCACTCACATCGAGTGTCTTCAGCAAAGGAAAGTAGCAGAGTATAGGACTAATGACTGCAACACAGTTATTGGATAGGTCCAGATGTTCCAACTTTTTAAGCAATACAATTGACCACGGTAGGAACTCAATATTGTTTCCAGAAAGATTCAGGTAAGAAATGTTGACAAATGATCCTATGCACTGAGGAACACTCTTGATGGGTGCTCCTGTCATAGTGAATTGTATAACCATTTTTGGATTGGTACAACTTGACAACAAGTTGTGAAGTTCCAAAACAGTTGAAATTTTTTTCCCGTCGATAATCATTTCGTTTGTATCTTTTCCATTTCTTCCTTTTGATTTAAAATGCCTGCATGCTCTTCCCAAAAATTCCATTTTTATATATTCTGTTTTGTGCCTATAGGCAGCTAGTTTGATGTCAAGCTATACAATTATTGGCCGGTTAACATTCCTAAAACAAAAACAAGGAGTACTTCATACATTTTATCAAAACAAACAAAAATTAATGTACGCCATTGAAAACTTTATGGATTTAAAAAAAAACTAATAAACATATTTTTTATGAAGGGGGTAATTACAATGGATCGTATCAGTGTAAATGTAATACTTTACTTTCTGTTTGTGGATCCATAGGTGGAAGTCACCCCGAGTCGTTTTGTACTTTAGAAGCAACAAACACACGTTAGGTTTCATGTGTTATCGTTGATGCGCCGTAGTTCTTCGGAAGGGGCATTAGTTCTTACATGAATGTCACTTTCAAATTAAGCTTTAAATTCTAAATTAAGACATTACTCTGTTGCACTTATGTGCTTACTGAAGTAGGACAACATTATACAAGCGTCACAGCGACGCAGATCGCGGTTGTAGAAACGCTTAGAAAAAAGAAAGTACATGGAAATAGAACGAGAGTGCTATATGACTGTATATATGTATATAATTACGAAGTTTATTATCTCGTCGAATGCAAATATATTATTATGATATTATTATGAAAAAACTCATAAACAATTGCAACTTGTTGTGAGCCCTAGAAAAACTGAGTTACCCGGATGTACAGCATTAGGAGAATTTGAAGAATGGCGTCAACATACACATGCGGATTTGAACACAAGATTTGCAAATAAGATCGAAACTGAGTTTATCAGGAAACAAAGTGAGATGTTTTGCTCTAGATAGATTTAAATGAATAATTTCATAGTTGTATGAAGATTTAGTAGGGATGTCAAGACATAAAATATAAATATATTTATAGAAAGTATCGTTTTGCTTGCATGTTTCTCCCAACTGGACACAAAATGAATCGCAACACGCCTGTCACAAGGCAATTAACCTTTTAAGACATTATTGCACCGTTGAAAATTATTTGTATATGAAGGATAAGAAACACGTCGGTCATTGTTTGCACAAATATTTATCGACAAATTTAGCAAAGTGTGAATTACAACAGCGGATGGCCGGATCACAGGGGCACGTGTGTGTGGCCTAATCACAGGGGCACGTATGCTAGAATCATGTTTTTTTATATTTGTCAGTAGAACTGTTCTAGACTAAGTTATATACAGTATTAAACTTGGCGAAGTTATGAAAAGATAAAGCCAGTAAGCATTTGTATAGTTGTATAGTTTTCACTTTGGTTTAAAAAATTAATCAAATACTTTTTGCTGAAACCATATTATGCATCAATATGAACACCCACCCTTTAAAAAAAAGAGTAAATATGAAAATAATAAAGATCCTTTTAATATGTCGTTGACATACCATGTGTTCTCCATTATTGTCAAGGAGGATACAATTTGGTTGCAAATATTTAAAAAAAAAAAGGTGGCACAGTAGAGTCTCTAAGTACTTCATTTTAAATTAAAATTAAATGCGAAATAACATGAATCCACCAGCCGAATCAATAAGCTTAAAGACTGAAAACAGGACATGTGTTGATCCAACCACATTGCCTATCAAATTGACCCCATGATTTAACCTTGACCTTTAATTGACTGAAAGTATTTTATGATTTATGAAATTCCTTTAAAAATTGTAGTTTGAAAGTTAAGGATCAGGACATCAAAGAATGAAATTTTTTTTACCAATGTTGATGTTTTATTTTGTGTGAATTTATATATTTGTTTTTTAGGGTGTGTGTGGGGGGGGGGGGGGGGGGGAGGGGGGACTTGGTATCACAATGCTTAATATTTAAGATTTGTAAATATCAAATTAACTGTTCCTTGGCATTTATCTACTGGGTTGCACTTCCTGAAGATCAACATGTAATTCAATGACATGGAAAGTCGCCAGGATAGCATTTACCCTCAGCTTGATGTCGACAACCCTATCATCAGCACACTGGAATTGGAAACTGGACAGGTATTGGTAATATTCTTTGTTTTGTTTCATACAAATATGATATCTGCACATAAGTATTGTATCATGGTATGAACACCCAACCTCCTCCTTCACTAGACAAAATAATACAACATAAGTATCATGTTGTCAGAGTTACAGTGTTAAATGCCGACAATTCAATCAATCTCAGGGATATGAGAACATATATTTTATGTATTTGGACCTATACAACATGATTACATTTCATTTTTTTCCCTTTTCTGCCTCAAAGTTTGAAGTTTTAGAAAACAAAGATTCATTACAAATTTTGACCAATACATTGCTTTTTACAAAATGTGTAATTTTGTATGAATGGTAAGCCAGCCCCCACTGGAGCTGAAAGGGCAGGATTTTGTCCAAGTGTGAAGCATCCTTGGGTTTCAGGTACTCAATTTTGTATAAAAAATTAGACTTCTATATGGGGAGACAGTGATCTGAAACCTGTAAACTTCTTCTGTTTGGGTGAGGGTGTTGAAACCAAGTTGGCTTGAAGTGTCCTTGCATGAAGGGGACTAATATTTCAATGCCAGGGAAAGTCCTTCACAAACAGAGATTAATTGTTTGTTAATATGTCACTTAGATTCAATGGTTTTATGCTAAAACAGCTTATTACAACACCATGTGTTTAAAGGCACCAGTTTAAGAATGAAATATATTGCTCAAATAGGAAAAAGAAAAAAAAAATACACAAATGTTGTTGAATCAAAGGAAACAAACTGCAGGCTCCAGAGATTCGACAGGAGTGAATTAATTCAAGTCTGACTCCAGATGAAATGTAAATATTGAATACTTGGTTCAGGAAAAGTCTGACAGTGACAGGGATAATAATGTAAGGAAGAGCATCAGATGTAAGCGACCACCTCAGTCCTTTTCACCAAGTTTGGATACTGCTGTTGGGGATCGCAATGAATCAAGCAAAACCAAGAAGCAGAGGACCAAGTCGGCAACAGCACCAGATCGTCCTTGTGATCTCATGCCAAATGGTTTGTCACAAATGCATATTTGCATATATGTACGACTGTATCAGTTAGATAACAGCTATCTTTATGTTTCAAGTTGATATATAATTACTTGTCATATTATTGAAATTTATTGTACTGTACAATATGATGTAAAAGGACAAAGCAATGATTTAAGTAATATGAGACAACAGTTAAATTTTAATCAGGTACATTAAACATTAATACAAGCTTTACAGCAACATTTATTTGACATTATAACTACATGTACAAATTTTAACTTGCACATACATACCCAAAAGTCAAGTTAGGTTATGCAATGGCATAGCATCTGTCCGCTATTTGTCATGTGCCATTTTTTCCTTTACACAACTTCTTCACAAATTCTTTTCAATAATCAAAATTAAAATATTAAGTCTGTAGTTTGTTAGAATAAAGCCCGTCCATTTTGTTTTGTTTTACTTGTGTTTTTTTTTCAAATGTTTATGTGTGAAGTGTTTATTCTTACGTCAAGGGTTATGGTATTGATTTTCAAGGTCACAGGTTCAAATGTGTTAAAATGTTTGAACAACTTCTTCTAAATAAACAGAAGGCCAATCATGATAATGCACCAGTGTAGCTTGCAGGAATCTAGGACTATCTAGATAGTTCAGATGAATGATGTTTGTCAGCTTTAAAACAAAAAGATAATCAGTGGTATGAAGTTTAGGATAACCAGAATAAACTGGTCCATTAGAATAAATAGTGTTGCTTCACAAGTCGCAAAACAAGTGAGCAACACAGGCTTATTAAGGCTGTTGTTCTATATCTTTGTTTCATAATTTGTAGAACTGGTTTATTTTTCCATGCACAAAGTTTGTCATTTGATATTAAAACCAGGATGTCTAGAGCCAATATAAGCCATGTATTTGCCATTCAATATTATGGCAGAAATACTGAAAAATTTTACAATATTTGCCAAAAAAAGACTCTGTTTCATGGTAATGCATTTTTGGATTTTTGGATTAATCTACCAAATTAACCTTTATTGCGAAATCTAAATGATTGAATCTTTTGAAAATTATGTTTCTAAAGCAAATGGGCTTTGTTTGTAGGTGACCCTTTTCTGTGTGACCTTTGTATGTCACCCTATGTCATAAACAGATCACTGAAACGTTCCCTCAAAAACAAACGATCCAAACATAACCCTGCTCCTCGTAACAAGATGGACCCTCTCACTGGAAAGATTCTGATGCTTTGTAATGCATGTAGTAAGTATACAGAACATACACTTTGATAGTGTTTCACCTGAAGCAGTGAATGTATACTGAACATTTGAAATAACATGAAATGAGTGTAACCAGCAGCATGTGAATTTCTAGTAGTGTCTGGTTGATATTACATGAATGTATCTGTATCTCACCTGTTAGTACCTAGTAGGCATATCTGGAGCACCTGGATCATTTTTGAAAGAATGACTATCATACTTATATGCCTTCAGCTGCATCCTGATGCGTCTTCTATACTGACTCCAGTCAGAGAAGTGCAAATTTTTAAGATAAAACAAGAAATACACTTCATTATGAATAAATGATATGTTTATATCTTACAGGCATTACTTTTGACAGACCACGGAAACCTAGGAAAATAGTTCCTGTGCCAACAGCAGAAGAGATGGAAAAATGCCTCCAAGGTGCAAAAGATTTTGCCAAAACACTGGCCGAAAAAATGAACAGACCAGAAGGTAAATTCTTGTTGTACATCTAGGTTGAACACAAGATATTTTAGCATTATTAGTGGTGAAAGAATATGATTATCACAGTGAATGAATATAATTGAAAATGAATGCTTACCAGCATTACATGGTACATTAAAGAGTTTATGACTACAAAACAACTTAAGTTTAACATTAAGTTATTGATTGTAAATATTTCAGTATTTCTGTTTGTTGTTATTGATCTTTTTGTCTCATAGAAGTTGATCATCCTACTTTGTCTTTCTAGCTGAGAGGTTATACTGCCCAGTGGTCAGACCTAAAACATGTGCTTGTTTGCAGAGATACATCAACGCTGATGGTGAGCTGAATTCAGAGACATTAATTGTATGTTTTTATAATGGTGTACTATATTACTGATAGCAAAAGCAAAGTTGTTAAAGAGGGATTAGTCATCTATGATATTTAATATAGTATACACATAACATACCTGTATTATCTTAAACCAGAAATATGAAATTCATACACCAGTGTTAATTTTTGTTATTCTGACAATTTAGTTTAGCTTGTCCAGGCACTATCTCCTAGACAAATAGTTCTGGTTCTTCATACTTGGGGTATGGATTCACCTTGGTGAGGTGGTGTGTCGTGTATCAAAATTAGGTCACTCTGATCAATATTATGACCTTCTATTTGCACCATAGAAAATTTTTTTCAGGGCTCTATATCATACACTACTAGTCACTGGAACTTTCTACTTTGGGTATGGATTCAACTTGGTGAGGTGTTGTGTTGTGTATCAAAATCAGGTCACCCTGACCTACAATTTGACCTTCACAAGTATCAAACAAAACTGGCCATGCTTGATCTCCTACACTGCTAGTCATTTGAACTTCGTAGTTGGTGTCTTGGTTCACCTTGGTAAGACAATGTGTCAGTGGGGGACTGTAATTCACTGAATTTTCTAGTGTCAGAAGTACTGGATGGAACTGCCTCTGATTTACAATATAAAACACAGTGTAAACAAGTTTAGGTGTTGAGAAAGCAACAGTTCATATTTGGGATTTTAAAAAAAAAGGAAATTTTGAATAAGATTCAATAAACAGTTTTAGTTAGATGGTGAAAAATAGGATAATCAGGATATTAGAAATAGAACTGTTTATTTTTGTCTCTATTGTTATCATATGATAGATGTTCATCTTATGTTTTCTTCTAAAACAGCCAAACTTGAGCTTGATTAAAAACTATTGTAAATAGGTTATCGATACATTTATTAATACATTTATCAATATGAATATGGGTTCTAATTACAAAGGTGAGTCTGATGAGTTTGATAAACGAGCTAAAGCGATGATTGACTTGTTGATGAAGGCCAGGGAGCTCAGCACAGAGAAGTGTTATACTAAGGATATTGAGTCCAAAAGAAAGTAAGAACATGACATCAAAGATCAACAATATGGCCATTGGGATATGATAATAATATTAGAATTTTTAACAATGTGTTTTCAAGGTTGTAATTTTTTTTTTAAAAGTCATCAGATCCATATTTTAAACATTGCTAAACCTTCAAAGAAAATTTTCAAAAGTTGTGAAAGTTTGGTGTCACTTTAATTGAATCAAATTAAAGAGAATCACATTCATTCTTCATTGGATTTATGTTCATTCAGTTAAATGCTTATTTTTTCTTTTAAATTGCAGCTTATGTGTACATTGTATGTACCATCTATTACTTGTGCAGTACACAATAGTTTACTTGTTAAGATACTATTGTAAATTTGAAATAATATAAAATGGCTTGATAGTCTAAATCGAAAATTATGTTGTTTAATTGTCATGTTGTTTCTGCTCATAACTTAAAGAACATAACACATTTTGTGATTATTGTTTGTAGGAGAACAGGACTTAAAAATTTAGGTATAGGAATAGGAAATGGGCAAAAACGATCCAAGGCTTTTGAAGAGTTTGTTCTTACTCAGAGAGAACACTTGAAGAATGAATTGAAGCTGTGTGAGAGGGCAGTCCAGAAAGTTCTTATGTACTCCAATAATTTCCTTCATAAGAAGCTTGTCACTGAAAAGGTAATAATCTGCATAGACAAAGTATTGGTCATTATACAAATTCCTCAGCACAGATTAGATAAAAAAAAATAGCTAATTAAATGTACACAAGGTATTTATCTTGTTGATTTTTGTCATTAACATTCTATTGTTTTAGAGTTAAACATTCATTTTGAAATATTATTATTAGCCAAGTGATTAGTTTTGGTTTTACATGTTCATTACATGCTGGAGTTAATGTACTAACTCTTACTAAAACACAAAGACAGTTGTGATATTGGACATGGTGTAATTATCATGACACAGCATCACTGTGTGGGATGCTGCACACACTTGTGCAATTTTGTAAACATACATATATTATTTTGTACAATATGTTCATTGCTGTTACATATTGGAAATGAAGATTATTTTCACTAAAAATTTGATTTTTATGTACATAGCTCTGGTGAAAAATAGGTACAAAATATTACCTGAATACATCTCTTTTCAGAAAGAAAAAAAATGAAATAATATAGAAGGAATTTCTACAAATTTTCCTCCTGATATTTTTAAACTTTACTAAAAAAGGGGAAAGAAGAGTGGTTTTTTTAGCTTGTTCTTCTTTTTAAAGAGAGCCTGGCTTACCAAATTAAGTTGATAAACTACAACACACACACTGTGTCAAAATGTCATGTATGGTTATTTTTACTATTTGATTATTGTATACTCAAACTGGCAACCTTTCTAGCTCTTGTTGTTCACATTTAAAGCTTGAAACTGGTTACATGTGGGCATTTTGTCAGCCAAACACTGGCAAGCATTGTGTGATTCAATTTTGTGCACACATCATACTTTCATTATTATGTTAATTCCCACAGTTGTTTTTTCTTCTGTTCTATTTATAAAAGGAACTACCTTGGCTCTAAAAACAGGGAAAGTTATTTACATTTACTTGCAAATATAGTTGTTTATGTCACGTATCATAACTGTGACTTTCCATATATGTCTAGATAGATGCTATCCCACTGACAACCACCAACACTCTGATACTAGTTAATTGACTTTTTTTATTTTTAAAATACCAATTGTTAACCTGGTGCTTGGTGGTTACAGCGTTTGTTTTGATGTTGATGAATGTATACTGATTGATTACAGAGTTTATGTCGTGCTAAGCCTGTAAATGGAATGGCTAGGAAGGGCCTTCTGCAGCCATTTGATGCAATTTCCCAGATTCGATGTTGTGTGGACAATTGCATCATGGTATAGTATTTTTTATAGTAAATGGAGACAGGACTTTTTGTGTTAAATCTGTGCCACAATACTAGCAAATATCACATAGAGGATCTTATGTGAGTCTCCATTTCATATGAGATTTATGAAAAATAGTGTAAATTTCATAATTTACACACCTGATATAAAAGGGCATGACATCACAAGCCAAATGACATCTTGAATTTTTAATGTCTGAATGGACACATCAAAAGGGACCCTTCTGCTGGGTGTAATTGCTTTTGTGGTAGCAAATTTTATATAATGGATGTTATTGAACTGATCAATAACAGCCAGGGTACAAAAATGTAATTGATATGGAATGAAAATACAAACCATAATATTTTCTGCAATTTACAAATAATACACATTGGTTGATACATTACAATAAATTGTAAACCTTTCATATATCAACTTAAGTTTAACCTTTGCTCTCTTTCTCTCTCTCTCTCTCTCTCTCTCTCTCTCTCTCTCTCTCATATATATATATATTCATAAGAATGTGTTTTCAGATGGCAATCACTCATAAGAAGTTGCTGCAGGATTGGAGAAACAGAGCTAACAAAGGTCAATCAGAGCACAGGAGAGTCATTGCCGAAATGTTGACACCGTCTGGTAATTTCATAACTTTGTCATTATAAGGCTTCAGTCAATATGTGATTAATTTGAAGATTGATATTTTTTAATCCAGTAGCAGACAATGGATCATTCAAGTCGCTAATATTCTGTTTTTCCATCAAAGATGAATGTATAGGAAGTATTTGGTTTCCTTTTTCAGCTGGAGCAAGGACTAACTGTTATACATTCATTACTTTGGTAACTGGTGCATCTCGTAGCACAATTGTCCAGGTTAGTCATCAAATGAAGCAAACAGGCGGTGAGAGGGAGCCACCTGCACATGGCATGAAAAAGTTCTGGCAGGGCAATAGTCGTCGTAAAAGTACAGAGTCGGTCAGTCCGTCTAAAGTTTCCACACGTAAGTTCTGATGATAAGTGTTGGAAGGAAGGAGATTATGTTTTTCTATTTGCCAGACAAAGATTATAAGCATATCTCCATGTAAGTGTATTTATAACCTGTTAAATTAACTTTCTGGCTATCACATTCTGTCTCTGACATCACTCTGACAATTATTTGCACTAACAGAAATTGTCAAAGCTTAGGGATAGGTTTGCATTAGACTGAAGGTGGATAAGTTGTCTTGCAGTTTTTTATTAGTAATAGGTAAAGGTCACTGAAAAGAGAAATAGAATTTCAATAATGCTCTTTTTCCTTCAATTTAACAAGACATGACAGTGAGGTATGTTTGCCTTTTACATTGCTTTATAAAGTGGAATATTGATCAATATGAAATATATGAGGTAAAGGTCATTTTAATCAAAAGCAAGAATAAAATTTTACTCTTGCCATATCATTTTAGCAATACATATGTACCTATTGGCATTATTTGAAGAAACATATCAGTCTAGATACCGATGTGTTTATTTCAACATGATATCATCTGATCAGTCTAGATCTCTATATATTATCAGAATACACTGTACTTTGAATCATAGTCATCACTGGCGTACAACAGGAGTTAATTATATGGTATAATTTCTATAGCTGAAAGATGTACTTCCAAATTTAAATTTTGTGTTTTTTACTTAATTTTTCTGCAGACATGGGGAGAACAACTACCAGTGCTTCTTTCACTCACTCAGTAGTTCCAGTTACTTCTAAACCAAATGTCATGGTATCTTCCCACAATCCTGCCACACCCACTTCAAACATTATCATCCCAGTGTCTGTGAATACTATCAGCTCAGAGGCATCAAGTGTAAGTATGTAAAATTGTTTGAACAGGCATCAATGCTATTCTCAGTACAGTCCTATTGAGTTTTTAGCCCACAATTCCAGGGGCAAGTAAGCTTATGCTGTGGTGCTGCATTTAAGGTTTACTTTTCCCCTTTAAGGAGATGTTCTCAATAACCAATGGTACCAAGGTACTGATATTAAACCAGCAGCATGCTTGAATGAATGGCTACAAAGTTTGTTCAAATGAATGACCTTGACCCTTTTTCAAGTTTGCAGTGGTCAACATGTTCAAATCTTTAAAAGATTTCTTCTCAATAACCAAAAGACCAAAGACAAACTATGCATGACCTTCACCCACTTTCAAGGTCACAGGGGTCAAAAGTGTCAAAATATTTAAACAAAACATGAGTCTTTATCATCAGATGATGGCTAAGGCCCATGGGCCTTTTGTATAATTAACATATCTGTATGTATGGAGATTTTCTGTGTCATTCTTCATATGTTTGCTATTATAATGTTAAAAGCAACCACTTTTTTTTAAAGAAATATTGGAAAAACTTAATTTAGCGTGTAAAATTCTCAAGTTTGTGTTATGGAATATTAATTACAATAATATGCCAAAGATTTATTTAGTTATTTTTGATAGTTATATTAGTGGTACCATTTTGCTGTACTAACAGAAACTATTTTTTGACCAGTTAACAGTGCAGCGACAGCAGCTGATGCAGATACAACAGCAGATGTTTGAACAACAAGTCCAGCAGCAGCAGCAGCAACATCTTCTACAGCAGCAGTTACTGCAACACACCATAATGCAACAGATTGGACAAGCAACTGATGGAATGCCACAGGTTTGTACATGTATTGCATAGCTTCATAACTTTTTACTATGGTTCCTTAGCCTACATACTGTACATACCTCAGATGAAGATCTGAGGTGTGAGTTTCAATACTCCTTCCCCCTTACTGGTTATGTTTCTCAGGAATCTGACTGTTCATAGGGCAGTAAACTGAGCAAACAAAAAACATACAAGTGAATGAAATATCAGAAATATTCAATTTAGGAAAAAAACATGTCTGAAAGCCATATCAGTGAAAATATCTTTTTGATATTAAAAATTTTGAATCTGTAATGTGGTAAATAGGAAATTAATAGTTTTAATTTGTATATCAGATATTTCTCTTAAATTACATTATACACTGAAATCACTCTTAAAAGGAATTACTTATCATTACAAATGTGTGATCCAGTGTCTGATGCAACATTACTATACCTAACCCAAAGTTTGATTGCTTTGGTAAGCAGTACTGTATAGTTAAAGGGTGTAGGTCAGTAAGGATACCTCATTTGCATATATGTCAAGTGTGATTAAATGCTTTTTGTGGTAAAAACATAATGACAAAGTCAGTTCATACATGTTTGAATATGATTATACTAACGATACTTCATTGTTAAAAGAATTTGATAGAGTATTATTCCTAATATTTGATTTCTTATGTGTAAAAAAGATTTACAAAATGAAAACTGATGTTACTTGAATCTTCATTCTGTTGTCTTTGTCACAGTACATAGAGTAATACCACATTTATTTATAATTAAGTAAGTGCAGATATGCTTGTATCCCCAGAAATGATTCAGGTAGTTTTGGATAATAGTTAACATATTTGTCATTGATTGGTATATGATATATGATGACCCAGTTTTCCTATAGTATGGCAATATTTTGTATTGATACAAATCATTAGAGGATACAGATTTTGTTTCAGAACCTTTCCATGCTACAGACCATGATTGATCAGCTAAATGTGCAGATTCAGAACACACAGCAACAGCTACAGTTGTCTCTGAGAACTATGAACATGATAGGATCACAGTCTGTTGGCGGTAATAGTACCATTGAATCAACCCAAAATATGTTAACCACAGCTGAAAACATCAGTGGTACAGAACCAACATCTCGTAATTATTTAGGAACTACTTGTAACAATGGTGAGTCAGCTCCAAGTATGCATTCAAATCTGCTTCAAATATGTGGGAGCAATGAAACTGGATCTACTAATCTCCCTCAACAACAACCCAATGTTATAACAACCAGTAACATAAGTTCACAACTCCAGACAAACGATCAAGGAGGATTCGGTCAAAATACAAATCAAATCTTATCAGCTCTCTCACCACCAGATCAGCAGAACCTCACGTTTTTCAGTCAGCTTTCGCCTTCACAGATGTCAGGACAGACAGAGAGCCATATGAATACTTCACAAAATTACTTCAATAATATGTCACTGCAGAGCAATGGACAAACAATCATCCAAGTCCAGCAGTCTCCTGTAATTCCTTCCTCACAGAATCCAAATTATGTCCAAACTTTCCTGCCTGGGTCACAGCTCCAGAAAGGCCGGATTAGTTCGAATGATAATAGTTCATTAGAGCATTTCATTATACAAACCTATCCAAGTGTGAATCAAAGTGTTCAAGATAACATGGTAAGGTGTTCACAAAACAGTGTACTGGTACAACAGTTAAATGCTCCTGTAAACCAAGCCCCTCGCTTAGCAGGTCCTCCTTTAATGCTGGTCAACCAACAACAGGTTGATTGTGGTGATGGTCTTCCTAGTTCTCACCTAAGTAAGGAGTTGTATGATATACCTGAAAATGGATTTCAGCAACAGTCAACCCGAATAGATTCTGAGCATGGTTTATTAAATACTCCTATTTTGGATCTTACTCCAGCTGTTGTAGCTCCATCTGTAAACATAACTGATCAAACAACCACTGAGAACACTCTTGGAACCGGTCAGACCATTGCAAAGAGCAATCTAGAATCATCGACTATGCTTGACCCAACAGCTGCAAAAAGTTCATCAGAGACATCAACATCTGATGGCTCATTAGATTCTGTGAATGTGACTCTCCATGCCGCTGAAGATACGCAAAAGTCAATGGCAGTGACTGGTCAACATGAGAGAGCACTGGACCAAATGGATGAGACCAGTCAAAACAGTAGAGAGGAAGTAACAGTCTTGAATGATCCAACAAGCAACACAAATACATCTGAATCGGCTATTATGACTAATCTTACTACTATGTCGAGATCAACAGCTAGGACTGTTCAAACTACGATAGACAGTTCTTCATCAAATGTTATTGTTCAACCAGGTAGTGAAAGTATAGTAACCTCTACTTCTGAAGGCATTCAGTCTGGTACCAAGTCAGTCAGCGATAACTCCCAGTCTGTGGTTTACGACAAGTCTGTTTTGTCAGTTTTGGCAAATGACAAAAAATCGTTTCCTAGTAGCACTTCCAACAACCATGTCATTTCTGATTTTACCCCGACCTCAAAAACTGCTAATACTCTGTCACGTTCAGACTCTCGGTATCCACATGTGTCCTATTCTTCATCAAACACCAAATCGGCAGTCACTCGATTCCATACGTCGCCAAAAAGTGCATTCCATACTCCTCAAAAACAATTAGGGGAAAGTGGTACTGCTTGTAATCCTTCTACAGATCACGGGAAATGTCTGCAAGTGCGGAATTCACAATCACCGAATGTGAAAGTGGCAACTTCAGCATCAGGCAATTTACATCAAAACTTGAACACAGATACCTTGCCGAATACATGTTTACCAAATGCCACCATAGCTTCATTTTCAACTGGTAAACAACGAAATAGAACTACACGTCGTAGTGGGGTGACTAAGGTAACACAAAGTCGATCACAAAATTCTGTAACAATTGTGACATCTACGTCTTTGGACACAAGTACATATGTCTCTGTTCCAATGATTCAAGGGGTACAAAAACGAAGTAATCCGTCCTTCAAACAGTTAACAGCGTTGCCTGTTTTTGTTAACCAGCAGTCTAAGAATCGTCAGTCATTGTTTTCCCAGCAAGGCGTTTCTCGAACGAACCCGTCAGTGTCAGAAATCCATCAGCGTTTGCATGAAAATGTGTCCATTACAAGTAAGGTGCCAATTCAGCATAATTCAACGACCGTTTATGCATCAGCAACTATGGCAGAAAAGCGCAGCATTATAGTTGATGTCATTCCTACATCAACAGACACTACGAGAACTCACCAGGCTATACCATCACCATTAATAAGTTCCTCTGGATCAAGAAATGATGGAACAGATTTTCAGACAGTAATCCCCAGTTCACTTATCACTCAAGATTCCATGCCTCAGAGTACACATGTTACTGCCAAAAGTCTTTCAGTCGGTTCAAGAATCGGAGTTTCGAATCTGGCTAGTTCAGTGAATAAATCTACCGAAGGTTTAAGCGGGAGTACTACAGACAAGAACATGCCCTTCAACTCCTTGCCACCAGTTATGAAGTCATTTTCTGATACTTCCCATACATTCTTGAACTTTTCCGGACCGCAGTTACAGCACAAGATCGGTTCTGTGCATCAGAATAACAATGAAAGACGTGTTGCTGGAAATAGCATACGCCAACAAATGACAAACAAGTTCGTTTCGACGCAAGGCATTTCAACATCGACTATGCATATGGGATCACATGAGACTCCTGTTAGCGACAGTTTTCAGCCTATAAATTGTACTTTAGTAATCAATCCATCGCAAAATCAGCGTGCAATCGTAGCACAAGGGCAGGGACAAGCAATCATTGGTCAGATTCAAACCATGACGCCCAGTGCACCTACACACATACGTCCACAATTAGTAGAAGATCCCAGGAACAGTGGAGATCAAAGAACACAATCGGCACCACCTTTGCCATTAGTACACAATACTACCTTAACTATTGATTCCGACACGTTTATGAGGTTGTGTCAACAGGCATCATTGATACGTACACCAGTCGTCAGTATGGATATGAACACACAAATCAGCAAAAACCTGTAGCATGAATTTACATTGAACATAGCACATTTTCATGTTCATAACCTTTGAGATTTGGTATCAAAGTGTAATTTGCCTTATATATATTTTACCTGAATAAAGTTATTCTACAATATTGTGATAGTTCCCAAATATAAACCTACAAGACCGGTGTACCATTAATTATATTGTAAATGCATTGCTTGGGTGAAGTGTATTGTTTACTCATCTAGATGACTTTGAAAGGGATCAGTAGTCAGTAACAACCGAACGAATGGTGTAAACCAGCTGTACATTGAAATAACGTATAGTTAGAAATATACATTTACACTTATCATACCTTAAAAAAACTTTCATAAGCTCATGTTTATCATAGAACAGTAATGAACGTTTTCTCTCTACACTAATAACATACATAGTACGATAACTTAATTTCATATAATGAAATTTCCAGAGTGACGACAACACGGTCCAATTCTCTCCAATTCAGGTTTAATTCGCATTGTAGACCGTTTTTTAATGTTTCGAATCCAAGCGATCCGTCACCAGAACAATAACAACATACTGTTACATCATCAAAATAGGTAAAAACAGCAGAATGATGACTATTCCTATAAAACCACAAAAAGTATTGCCCTTCAAATTGGTACCGTGCATTACTCTTCAGCGTTGTATAAAATACATGTATATGGATGAACTGTTGTGATATGACATATTAATTACTAAAAAGACCAGGCTTTGCAAACAACACGAACACGATTCAGTGTGTACATCTAAAGTAGTGGTTCATATCCTGTAATTTCTGTATCAAAATGGTCCAGAAGCATTAGTAGTTACAAATACAATGTTTTTTCTTTATATATGCATGTGCATTGCATTCTTATCTTATCCATATGGGTGCCATTTTTGACATTGTATTGTTGCATCGTTTTCATCTTTGAAAATATTTCCCTTATAATTATATCTATGGAAAGCATAAATAGAAGACACAGAAAATGAACATGCATATTCTCTTATCGATTTCGATTGAAGTAAGCGAGTAGATGTATATTAACATTAATTAAAAGGTCCAAGTTTACTTACTCCTTGTGATTTAATGTTGTATTGATGTATGATCTGGTTTTAATTTTTATTTCAAAACAATGAAAACGCTTTAATAGACTTGTACGTTTTTTTAATACTACCACTATTATCTACTGGCACACTTAACTATTTCCACTCGCCCTTTCATTTTACACACTGTTCTGTTATAATGGCGAGATACATCAGTTATAAATGAGTCGTGTTACCTTTGAACGGTTATTGTAAACGTAAGTATTTGAACATGATGATAACAACAATGCTACAACACTGAACTGTTCCTTTCAGAGCTCCATTTACATTGCGTTTGTAACAACTGCAGTATACGATGCAACTGGGTTATAAAACATTAAGTTAGACTTGGTGCTAATGGTTTGATAAGCCTTTCATTATCTCCATTGGTAGGGGAAATATTATAGTCGAATTCTTCTCGGCAGCGATCGAATTAAGTGTTTGCAAATAGCGAAGCTGAAGGGCAGCTGGACAATCAGACATCACCATAGCGGCTTCTTTCAGTGCAGCAGATGCTCTCTGTTCACCTTTGGCTGCTAGAACCTGTTTGGACAAATACAGTACAGGTAAGAAGGTTGATTTTTGACCATGAAATGGCATTCAAGGTTTCTGGTAATTACGTGTTTAGTTCACCTGGTCCGAAGGACCGGTGAGCTTACTTATGCCATACCTCGAGCTTCCGTCAGTCCGTCAACTTTTTCTACCAATCGCCAATAGTTTTGAACTGATCAGATTTAGCCAAATTTTGTCGGAAGCATCCTTTTGGGGAAGCAGAACTACGTTTGTATCAATGGCGAAGTTTGGTCTTCAAGGGCCTAAGGGGTGGGACCCATTACGGGAAATTTTGCAAGTTCCTTAAAATCTTACTCCGCCTGTAGCAATGATTTGATTTTGACCAATTTTGATGTGGAGCATTTATGGGTAAAGGGAAATTTATGTTCTATAAACGTTGGGCCTCGAACACAGGGCGAGGCCCATTAGGGAATTCTTTAAAATTCTGTAGGTATGATTGGGTTTTGCCCGAATTTGTTCTGCAGCATTATTTGCTAAATGGGTAAGAAAGCGGCACCCAATAGGGAAAATTGAGCAAAACATTGAAAATTATACTCCTCCTGTTGGAATTGTGCCCAAAGTGAGTGAAACATTCTTAGGTGAAGGGGGGTCAAATTTGTGTAAAAAGTGGATCTCTTCTCGATTGGGCGGCATGTGTGCCGCTCGTTAGGGGAACTGAGCAAATTATTTGAAATATTATTCCTCCTGTAGGAACATGCTCAAAGTTCTGAAGCATTCTTAGGTGAAGGGGAACAGTAGATCTTGGGCCACTGCGGAGGAGAGGGACGGGCCTAATAAGGAATATAAAAACCTACTTCTCCGATAGGAATGATAGGATTAGCCCCAAATTTGGTCTGAAGTATGACTTGTTTGAAACTAATGGGGAAATAGGTATGTGTTATGTGCTTTGATATTTAAAATTCTTTTTCTTTTAGTTTTACTAATGCAATTTCAGCAAAGCAAAAGTCAAGAGAGCGATATGGACCTCTTGTTTAAGTAAGTTGTTTGTTAGACCAAGCAATGTACAAAGTACCATCGTCAGAATATCAGGGTCAAAAGTAGTTATTCCGTGGAGATACCTTTGCGCTGGCTTCTCGAGATGCCTCTGCCTCTGCTGCCATAGCTCTCTGTAATTGATGCGGTAACCTGACATCTTTTCTGTAATAGACACATTATATTATTCTTTTGATTATTATCGGATGGACGTTCTTTTGTCATCCTTAAAATTTTATATTTCACAGCCATGATCTAAGGGCGTCAACTACCATGATATTTGTTCCTTTGTCTTATTACCATTATCGTTTTCATAAAATATGTCTTTTTTATATATATTCAATTGATATATTTTTCCAACATTTCAGAATAGAAATGGGATGAAAATAAAACTCGAACTTTGGATACCCATGTCCTTACCTATCATTCGTTTTCACGCGTGATCCGATACTATTGCATGCATTGCAAGAAATAATGAATACGTGCCTTTGAAATAAAACGTTAATGACATTGGCGGAGAAGCAACTAAAAGATCCCCTTTTGATTGGTCGATCCCGTTTGAAATGAAATATTTCTTTGTGATGTTGTGGTAGTCTTTTAATACGCATCTTCACTTAGAATATTATCTGAACATATCCCATCTGTTATCACTAAATATGCCTCACGGATATTTCAGTAACGTTTTCCTCGTTGTTACTCCAACTGACTCTCGTTTGTCGTGTACGCTATCATGAACTACATTGTTGAATTTTTATTTTCATTTTTCTCTGTTCAATCCTCCTGCTCAATGTCAAACGACATCTGTTCTCCAGTTTCTAAATATCTTTCCTCCTTAGTGACACACTACTTACATTTCTACTCTCTCCACTTTAATGCCCCACGGATCTGTTGACTCGTCTAGAATTTGCTGAAATTAAATGAAATTCGATTCTGTACACGTATTCAGCAAAGTTGTGTTTTCCCATTTCGGATATGTTTGGGATCCTAGTTGATAGTGAGCCATAGCTGGGATACACAAAACGAAGTTTAGTATAACCCTTTACATGAGGGATGCGCGCGACATTTTCTGCTCGTGGTCATTGTCTTAGTTCTTGAATGCCAGCCTGTATGTTCACGTTTATCATCACTTGAATTCATCACTGTGGTATTGTGATATCACATCTTTTGAACAATTTATGACCATTACATTATAAGTTATGGTATTGGCTTGCGTTTGTTTTCTTGTTACGGTTGTATGCTTCGCCTGTAAATGTGATGTTATTAGTGGTTCTGTAACTTCTGGGTTGTTTGATACACTCTAAATAGCCTCCAATGACTTATGTTCAACGGATACAAATTCATCTCAAAAGTAGATTTATCTCACGTCGGTAGCCGATATATGTTAACATTAGCACAGTTGTTGTAAATTCATAGTACTTATAACACTGAGGAGGACGACGAGTTCATCTTATGCAATGGAGTAAATGTAGTGGCCGGATTATCATTGCTACGTCATGATATAGCGGGTTCAATCATTACAGCCCCATCATAACATTAGCCGTAAAGCTGTAATACGACGGCAAATTTAAACACATCTACAACAGATCATATGACAAGAAAACAAAATCAAATTTTGAAAAATCGAAGATTTTTAAGTTCCAGTTTCACTGAATTACAGATAACCTGCATTTCCTTCGAGATGGTGTCCCTGTCTGCCAGCATTTCGGTCATATTTTTCGTTCCAAGGACGGTTCGCAGTGTTGTGGCTGCTAGAAGGCGAGTGGATCCGAATGCGTCCTGTATATTACACACAGACATGACCGGGTCAAACACATAACAGTAGATCACAGCATCCACTGCAACAGTCACCGAATCCTTGGACAAAATCTACAATAAGAATAAATCAACACCTACAACCAAATCGGCTGTATCTCCCGTGATTATCTTAAAAGTTCTTACTAGGTAGGACTAGAATATGCTCCTGTGATGGTATATGTAAAAGTCTTACCTCTTTACATGGTATATGATAAATGGTATATCAAGGACTCTAGGATTTACCTCTTTTGGTATATCTAGAATTAACCACTGATGTTGGTAAATCTAGGATTTCCCTCTTCGAGGATATATCTAGGACTAACTCGTTGTTGTGTAATATCTGAAGGTTTTTTTTAATATCTGAAACTTACCTCTGATTGTCCATGCATATCTAGGGCTTACCTCTTGTGGTGGTATATCGTAAGATTTGATTCTTAAGTCTACCGAATGAAACTGATCTGCGCATGGTAGGATGAATACAATACCTATAAAACATACAACGGTATATCGACAAAAATGAAAACATATTATTGCTTTAAAAAACAGGAATATTGTGAATCTTAAAGTATATTGCTATACCAACATTAGTTGATAAATAGTTGCGGTTTAAAACCATGAATTTCACCATACATATGGCGGTTCAAGAAGCGTGAAATGTCATACTCATGTTAAAAATCTATATGTCATACCTGGACCCCTCGCTCCATCACGTTTTGCTCTACCAAGGCGGAATACCACACCTCGCTCATAATCAGGTACTATCTGTGAAGTACATATAGTGAATAAGTGAATAACTGCAAGGAAACATCAGCATACTGCAAAACGGATATACCCAGAAAGCTGTATTTGTATCGAAGGAATCATTTAACATTCGCTATATACTTATTATACTGCGTTTGCGTCATGTTTAATGTTGTATGAATGCAGATATATGTTCCATATAAAACGCAATGGGTGAGACATATTTAGGACAAAATAGATCGATTCCAACACCAGTGAAATATCTCTGGAGTAAATATTATATTCAACGGAAACGTCTTCTACTGGGTGATCGCAACGGACAATGAAGCGTAACATGACGCTACCCCGACATTGCTTTTTGAAGAAAATTGTTTTAAAAAATCTGCCTAGTGTTTGAATTCTGTATCTTTTCTTGATATTTGACAAATAGATTCTTCAGCTTTCTTCGTGTCTATAAATATAACGCAGAAAGGCCAGCAAGGGGTACCCAAATGGCACGCCATTTGTTTTCATGTATAGATATAACTGACAAAATCTTTGATATTTTTCTTCATTCTATAAAAAGTTCACTTACTGTCTCATTGATCTCAGTCACTTAACTATCAAAATTATTAATTTCCATTCTTTAAAAACACGATAGAATAGTGTAACATCTCGTTGTCGATTTAAGGAAACAATTTGCCTCCAGTGAGTTTTCTATCACCAATATATACCATCCCAGTAGTTACTTGTAATAACATTTGCAAAGGAAAATTGAGTTACAGATTCTTTTTTTCCTTTCTCTTCTTGTCGTTCTTATGATAAAATCGACTGAAAAAAGTTTACATATGACTGGGTGAAAATGTATGATTTATTAATGAAATACACGGCTACACTAGTTATATAAAGTTGTCTTTCATCCACCTGTATTATTACAATCTAATGTATTGCAATCAATTCAGTGAAGTTTATGCCAAACATTAGATTTTTTAAGGGCTAAAAGTATGGAAATACAGAGAGTAAGTAAACTGAAAACTCTTACGTTTGTTGATACAGGCTGTACTTACATGTATTGCAGCACACAAAGAGAAAGGCAAGGTGGCGAGAAACAGAATAGTGGAAAAGAACATCAATATGTATCCACAGCAGCCAATCTCTCCGTCTCCAAGTGTCTGTTCATTAGCGCAGTTATTTGCTGTTGAATTTTCAAAATCATACACATTATCATAAGTTAATATTGTGAAATTCGTGTTTCATGTTTTTATTTAGAACAACGTTGCTTTTTTTTAAAATGGAAAATGTATTTACAATTGAAACATAAGTAAAATATAAACTACATTTGAATTCTTGTGATTTTTATAGAATAGACGATTGTTTTTTTAATTCAAAGGTTTTTAAATGCTGGTTAGGACATTTAAAGTAAACGATGAATAGTGACTTACAGTCCATGTCTGTGAAGTTGTGAGAATTGCCTTCAATACGTGTTTGCGGACTCCTGTAGACTGTGAGAGATGAATCATACATAAAGATATAACACTGAGGAAACAAGTGTTAATTATTCTTCCCGACTAGATACTGGTATGTTTGTTTATGATTTCATATCAGGTCTGTAGCTTCCAGATAATACCCGTATCATGCATCAAAAAGAAAAAAATGATATTGTCCACCTTTGTTGTTTATAAACGTATGATTAACAATAATGATATTTCATCAATACTTTACTCGGTATGGATCGCTTACACGCACATGAATAAATGGCCGATCTCTTTATCTGATAGTCAGGAACGAAATAGACATTGGGATTTTCCTTCGTGATGGATTATAAAACACTATGATATTGAAGCAAACCGCTTTTTGTATAAATATATTTGAAATGATTTGTATCTGTTAACGGACCAATAAAACAACACGTTTTAGAGCTAAATATAATTTGCAGACAGCTATTTATGACTGAATATTTCAAACGTCACTTTACATGTCAGATGACATATATTCATTTCCCCGCTATATCATGATATATACAGTACAGAGACGTGCCAAAAGTGATGCAATCATGTGTTCAATCATGAAAATCGTCTCGCATTTGGTATATTACTGTTATCTGGGCCGTAAATTATGTCGGAAATAATTTTACAATATGGTTTTAGCCATTACGCATGCAAGAGTTGTTCCCCTTACATCGACTTCTCTATTGTATCCACTGCAAACAAAGGCGAGCAGACCAAATTAGTTGTCGAATTATATCGTCTGGATGAAAAACAGTATAAATTGGCAGAAATACTCAGTGTTATTTAGTCAACGATTTGTAGGACATTGAAGAAATTTAATGAAGGTTAATCACTTGAAAGCAGTAACATTCGCGGAAGAAAGAAATCGGTTGTCGACAGGGGAGACCGCCGATTCTGCGTTTGCTGAAGAAAAACAGAAGACAAAGTTTGAAAGACATTGACAGCGATTTCAATTCTCATTATGAGCTAAACATATCTGCTAGAAGTGTTCAGCGAAGACTAAATAATATTAACAATCTTTAATGGCCATCTCAATCCCCTGACATCAACACAATAGAAAATGTGTGGCTTATCTTAAAATACGTCTCAAGAAATCTGTGAACACATCAAAACATGCCGGGATTTGGTGAAAGCTATCTTTGAGATTTGGTTTTCATTGACGGTGCCTTGTTGATAAGAATTTAGGAAAGTTAAACTCGCCATTTCTTCGGATATATGAATATTGATTTTCTAAGGTGAAATTTCGATTCATATGTTGAAAACTTTTCTTTCAAATGAAAGCGATTTTCTTTATTCATTTCACGCTTAGTATTATTTAATGATAAATAATTATACATTTTCCAGCTTAGGTACCCTTTAGGGATCCTCTCCGCTGGACTCATAAGAGCTAATATTGTAATTACTGTTAGTAGTAAGACGTCAGATTGATACTTTCAAAACATAAATTGTTCAAACACGACATCAATACTTACATAATATGTGTTGTCTGTTGTTGTCTTATTTCAACAGCAAATGAAAACGTACAAGAGACCGACGGCAACGCACTAGTTACAGATATGACGTTTGAATTTGCGTATAATACGTCATTATGATAATGACGTCATGTATAGTGCGGGTTTGCATTTTAGAGGTAGCTGAGACTGACCAAGCAGTGAGGATGAAAACAGATCCCGGACTTGAAGATTGTTTGATTTAATTTATTATATTGCTTCAAATAACTAATGGGATTGGTTACAAGTCATATGATTTATAGAAGCCCCTCCTCATCTATTATGTAACAAGTATAGTGATAGCGATTGTGAAAAATATTCATTACATACTTGTTTGGTCTAGCTAATACCTGTCGTTTAGTTTGTTATTAGCCCGATCGGCCTCTCTGACTCAGCATTTTCCATTTTCGGTTCCGGAGTATTGATCTGTTCGATTTGATAATAAAGTAGATATGCATGAATTGTGTCGGATGGTCTCTCTAGTTATTTTTAAGTCTGAAAATTTGAAATGAATTACTGTCAGTTTCTGAGGAGACCATATCCAGGATCATGCTCAGTAGTTTACCACTCTTTGAAAGTGAACTGCCTGATGTTTATCCTCTGAGATTTCGTTGCAATCATTTAACTTTGTCCTCGAAGTGTTTTTCCACAAATTAGTTTCTGCCACAACTGTCTATCCCATTTAGTATCTAGTATCGGAATTGCGCGTACTTATATTACGTCAGCTCTTTGGCATTGGTATTCACAGGAGGGTTAACTTTAATGGCACAGGGTTTCTTGGTAGGATTTGCTTTGATTTTTCACTTCGTTGCTTTTGGACATTCCCTCTGGTGACGCTGTCGTTTTGAGTAGTCACTCCACATGCTGGTAAAGCGTATTCTATGTTCTAGTCCTATATTAGTAGAAAATTATAGGTCCTTGTCCACTTTGACACCCAGATGCTTTTCCTTGCCAACTATTTCAGTCACACTCTTCCACAAGATGAAGGTTTTTAGATTATATATCTGGAAGGGCTAAATGAGCTTTATGGTCTACCGCATCGTCCATAGTCCGTCGCCTGCAACTTTTTTTTGTCTCTACAAAAATCGGTATTAGTCATGAGCAACTTAGCGGAGAGAGATATTATACAGATAGAGCAGAGGTATAGTAAATATTTCTACTCGAGAAGAGGAAATCAGAAACGGTCACAAGATTACAGAAAAGGTAATGTGTACAACGGCTCTTTATGAATATACATGAATATCGCCATTCATTATGTGTCAAATATATATTCGAAGACAAGAAGAAATATTTTATAGCTTTGATTTGTGATCCACTTGAACGTCCAATCCCCCGACAATCGGATTTCTTCTAGTTTTGTCCAATCCAGTAAAGAGATCCTAATTCTCGACTTCTATAGTATATTTTAAAGAAATCCGTTATGACACAGCACAATGATAGATTGAACAGATCGTATTTTGATTCCCAATTCTAAAAAGCTCGCTTTATTAGTGTTATATCATTAATCAATGATAATGTCTAAAGAATTCTGGGAAAAGTTCTGAACAGATGAACGCCGATATATCAATATAAAATAGTCGATAATGTAAGCCAGAAAAAAATTGAAGTAAGATAGATTATTATCTGTTGGTATTTGTTAATGCCATTAAATGTAAAATCAGCTATATTTATCGATCGTCTATTATGTCACGATAAAAGTGCCCCAGAGCTATCTCTCGACTGACTATGTACATCTAGATTGAGACGTCTCTATTGTGATACCAACAGATGACGAATATCAGTAACAGTGTATCGATGATTCGGTTTTGATGTTCTTTCAGGTTTATAGCGATGGACAAAGGCAACTCGATCAGGTGTCCGATAATATACTCCTTTGGAAGCATGGAACTGTCGCGACGCAGATTGTCGTGTTTCTTGTACTTTAACCACATTAAAGCGCAAGCTGTAGTGAGCTGTATTCTATATGACAGTGTTGAGTTTTAATTGATAAATGATTTATGTTCGTTTGAACTGGTGAATTAAAACATAAATCATCTTAATCACAGGTAAATACAAGAAAGGTCCTCGGGGAAAATCAATGTATTGTTTTGTATCGGTCTAAATTTGTTGATTAAGTAAATAGCATATTTCAATTCTAACTAGCGTTTTTGTTTTGTTTTGTTTTGTTTTCAGTTGATATAACCCAGACTTCAAAATGAGCACATCCTTCATTTGATGTGGCACTTAAGGCTAATATCAAGGGAGGCTACTCGGCTGGGTCAAACCAAAAGTCGACAATCTCCTTGCAGGCTTATTCTGTAATGTAAAGTGATGCGAAGCTTCTAGATTTGAATCACCTGTTGTAATGGTTCCCGAGTTTGATATATACACAAAAATATATCATTTTGTTTGTGTATGTGCTTGTCGTAGATGGGGGATAGAGCCAAACAATTGGATAACATAAATTACAGTTGATGACTGTACAATTAATCAACATGAAATAGTAATTGTAAAATTTTGTCATTATAAAGTTGATCAATGGTATATCTTTTTTCTGTATGCATGCTTATATTACCCAGACTATAAATTGTACACATCTTTCATATATAGCTGAAGTCTTTCTATTGTTTTGTATTAGCCTAAATGCTTGTAATTTGTGTAGAGACGTCTGGTATACTCCTTAAAGTCTAGTACACTCCTTAAGCTTAGCTTGTATTGTTTGTATACTTCGACAGTGAACTACACAAAAGCAGTAAGACTTCCGACTACTCGAGAAATTCTGAATCATACGAAAACAAAAAAACAAAAAAGAATCCAAAAAATCTGAAAATACCTCTATCCCCACTCACAAACGCAAACACACAAAACATATTTTCATATTTGGACATTGTAACATCTTTTACGAAGGAATACAATTTTCGACTCGTGCCCTGTCACGGTAATGAACTCGTCATCAACGACAACAAATCGCCCAGCCAAGAAATTTAATATCTGCCGGACTATTAAAGTACAATGACGTAAATGTATGTATGTATGTGTAACAATCTGATATGGAGTAATTTCATTAAGTTTTAACGCACAATTTTACCCCGGGCTAAAACCATGTGATATCATAAACGACCATGCCTTGACCATGTACAACATCATTATAGGGAATCAGTGACCAAGTATCTTCCGAACTATGAGGACAAATAACAACTGATTTCTCTTATTATTGTAGGGTCGTTTTTATAGAAGTTATCTTTTCTTTTTAGATCATGATACGTTAAAAGAAATTGGTTTATTCGCCGTTACTTTCAGCATGCGTTTTCTGATCACAGTGTTGTGTGTGTCTTCGGTATGGGGATACCGCCATTTTCAGGACGAGATTCCAAACGGCGGAAGTGTGCCACATCCATGTAAGGCTAAATACACATGGAGGGGTGTCGGACATATGAACCCCCTCGGAGGAGGTGATCAAAACCCATTTGGATTAGATTTTAAGAATGCCGGAAATGTAGGTATTGAATAGTGTCTCATTAAAATTTAATTCAAGGGAATAAAACAAAACGGAAAAAACAAACACAAACACAGTATAATCGTTGACGTAAAGTAATAACGTTGTTCATCATAATGTTTAAAAGTTTGCATAACCACTTGATAAAACGTCAAAACATTAAGATAAAATAGGAGCAACCCAACATTAATTAATATCATTATCGTTCGGAGAGTGTAAACAATGTCTTTGTGCATGCGCGAATTTTTAGCAATCATAAGAAAGTAGCGGAATAAAACGATGTTTCGAAAGGTCACGTGTTGAACTTTGCTGTCTCCGATCAAAACAGTGAATGGCGGTAGATACAACAACGAGTGTTGTCTAGTGATAGCTTAAGCTGATAATCTCTATCATTTTTCTCAAAACGTGCTATAATTTTGAGTATAGTCTAGTATCACAACGCTTGCCTGAAACCAAACGCATGGAAAAAATAACGAAATATCGAACTGTTTATCGGCTTTTACAAAGTGTGCATTTAATAAAACTAAACCACATTACATGAAACATATACGGAAACGGATCGCACTTACTAATATTTAATCTTCATTCATTCGCATCTACATGAAATAGACTTACTGTTCTGATAATCAAATTGATATTCCTGTCATATTTCAGTGGTAAACTGTAACAAGCACATTTTTTTTTACATACAGACCTGGACAAAGACACTTTGCGAGAGGGACTCCGACAGGGATGGAAAGACTAACGGGGAGGAGTTGGGAGACCCAAATTGTGTTTGGACCAAAGGAAGTATGCCGGCAGAGACACTCGGTATCAGTCACCCTGGGGTGTGTACTCCTTACTCTGATCCCGCTTGTCAGGCGGCGAATGCATGGGTTGAATGTGAAGCTGACGAAGGGTTTCATTGTGACGCCATACAGGAAGTCGGTACGTTTCAAATGCCGGATCATGCTTACAACCCTTTCCTTCTGTATTTGTGATAGCTGACATTTTCTTGTACTACAAAGGCATCATTTTGTTTTCGCTCATTCACAGGTTTTCGCTGATATATAAGTTATTATTTTCTTTTCGTTTAGTATACATGTACATATGCAGATTTGGTATTCCTGCTTTTACCCACTTTGTAAGCATAAGAGGCGACTTATGTGGGGTTTGGTTTTGCGTCTTATGCTTGGGAATATGAAAGTGATCGAATTGAAATCAACGCAGTATTTGTTCTTTGTGTAGATTCTGTCCCGTCACACACTGAGGCTAATCTAATATATTGGCTACATTGTCATTATATTGATTCGAATAGACATTTGAATTGATCATCCGCTCAAGTGAGCGTCCCAAAGCAGTGACATTTCATCGACATTAAAAGTGGTACATCGTACCTCCCACTTGTTGCTCAATAACAACACCAAATCAGACGCTGGTGGACTGAGTAGCTTGTTATAAGTATGATGAGACCGGAAAGGGTGTCATGCTGTCATATTCAGGTTATATTTTGGTATGATGAACCTTTATTACCAGAGAACATCGTTTTTAATGTTCCCAGACAACCGCTTCCACAACTTGGCAACTAAAGCAATATCCTCGTTTTTCTTTTGTTTTAATTGCAGGAATGAAAAACATCACTTTTCGTTTTCCCGAAACTGTGATTCCAACGGAATCAAAAATCAATTACTGCATGATGTTGGATCTACCGACTGATGGCGACTACCACTTGTTAGCCAGCACACCGTTTATCAACAACAAGGAGGCCGTACACAAGATCCTTCTTTATGGTTGTGAAGAAACAAGTTAGTTTATTTGTTATGATGTTTGCTTCCTATATAATTTTGGGACTCGCTGGCCGCCGGAGAAATGTGAAATGCCACTAAATAACTGAAATGATCAGAGTAACTGATGTTTTAAACAATGGCTTCCTTATTTCAAACTTCATATATTGTCGAAATATTTAAGCTATCTATCTTTGCTAACCCAAATATAGCATGAACTGTGTTCTGTAGAAATATGATATAAAACCAGTTTTACTTTTTTCTCCAGCTGTTAACCCACTGATTAAGTTCCCTATGAACTCTCCGATGTCGTGCGGTACAGATATCCGCCTCCAATGCAACGTTTTATTAGGAAAATTGACCGAGGGTTTACATGGAGATTGCGTGAACAAAGACTTTGGCTTTCGCATAGGTCAAAATGGTTTCAGGAAGGCTATGATGCAGGTAAGATCAATGATCATGATTAACACTTCCGATATAAGTTTTACATAAGCATTTCTTTGCATGTTTAGTACACCATCGAAAGACTATTCTGAATACCACGGAGTAAACTGATGCTGGAATATCGTTATTTGCAACATTCATGTTAACCGCTATTAACGATAGAATTTCCCCCTCTAGATTCAGTGGCACAATCACAATACTCGGCCAGATTGGAAAGACAGTTCTGGAATGACACTGCATTATACGACAAATCGTCGTCAGAATGATGCCAGCATTATCACGATCGGTCAGAAGTACTTGGCTATACCACCGGAGACAGAGGTATCCCAAGTAGAAGGAAGGTGTTCAGGAGAGTGCTCGAGCAAAAAGATCACTTCAACGGTATATATCACGAGGGCATACAACCACATGCATTCTTTAGGTGAGATTCAGATAACCTTGTTGTTACATGTATAATGGACGCGTTATCTGTTCATATATATTAGAAATCTCATCGATTTAGTTATGGTGCATTATATCATGTAACATGCTCTATTGAAGTAGGACATGTTTGTGATTTCAGGACGTAAACAAAGAATCGAGCAGTATAGAAATGGATTGAAACTACGGGATATAGCTAATGACGTCATGTACAGCTACGGCAGTCCTGCCATCCACGAGTAAGTGCTGTCCATTTACTCTTAGGAGAGGGTGGTGTACGTTAAGTGGGCGGGGATAAATTACATTATGACATCAATATTTATTGTAACGTCAACTATGATAAAACATAGGCTACCGGTATGATTTAACTTGTATTTATTTAGTGACAAAAAGGTGCACAGCGATGTAAATAATCTGTCCAACAAACGTAGTTATGTTTTAAAGTGTGTATTACTAGTGTTGGACATCTCAAAGGCTATTATGGCGACAAGAAACTAAATTATCTTTTACCTCGATGCAATGGTTTATAATATCAACTAATATCATTGCTAAAATATAGCATTGTAAACTATTCTGGAACGAGTGTTTTATTTTGATGGCTATTTTCAATATCTAATTGCTATAGATTCCAGAATCCTATAGAACTGCGACCCGGAGATGAACTAAGGACAACTTGTACCTATAACTCTTTGGGCAAAACCATGACAACATTCCAGGGAAGTGAGATATCGGATGAAACGTGCTTTAGTTTCCTAACCTTTTACCCCGCAGAAAACATGAAATTTCCTTATTGTGTCCAATGGAAGGAAATAGACATGAGTAAATTAACAGATCTTAGGCATGACTTCCCCGTCATCAATGGGTGCAATGTGCATAATTTTCAAAATGTAACACATCCAGATTTCCAGGAGATATATTCTAATGTTCTTGCTCGTTGTAAATCATTTGGATCATGCTTGAAAGAATGCAAAGAGTACACTGCCAATGTTCTGAGCAAGCATGCCTGTCTTCAGGGGGATCTGCTAGCCATGTTCAAACACTCTACTAAATCGTCACGTGATATTGAATATATGAAATTTTGGGGAGCCTTCGAGTCCTGTAAATCGATGAAGACATGCAAGTGTAAAGACCCAAGTTCAATTAATCATTGTCCACAACCAGTGCCAGTTAGCACGGGAGGTATTGGTAGCGTAACTGCCTCCATGTTTATCTTTGTGTCATCCCTCCTCGTCCGTCTATTGATATAGGATATTGTCAGGTGTAGTAAGAAATTCTGGGTGGATAGTCTTAACACTTATTATGGGATAGAACGAAACACATCTTGTTTTGGTATATAACTAGAATATGTAATGGAAATACTCTGATGACACAGAAAAAGGACGACGAAACAATAGGGGAACGCATTTTGGGTTGATATGTTACATTCCTCACATTATTTAATGTTACGCTTATGAAATATTTCTAAATTATCTAACCAATATACTTTTGTCATTTTGCATACTTGGAATGAGTTTGGCATGAGCTTATCTAGCATATGCTTTGTTTTCGTCTGTTTGTAGCAGTGATTTTATTTTAAAAAAAATAAAGTCACTCTTATGAAATGATTGTTGCAGTTATTTTTAACATCCATTGTAGAAAAGTCAATTGAATGTGACGAACACTTGTTGTGTTATGAAGCTGCAGAAAATTTGAATACACATATGTTTGTGATGATTAACACCATAAAAATACAGCATTTAAAATCAAAGGAGCTATCAACCTGCTTTTCCATTCCTAATATCTGTATGCAGGTTCTAGAATTGTGAAGTCCAATTACAGCAGGTAACGACTTAATTAACATAAACTCATCACAGGGTTGGTACTTTAAATGGCAAAAGCTCGCGACTTTTCGTTTCGTTCTCATAACACGCTTGTAATTCGATGTAACTTAAATTATCAACATGCATATCAAAATAAATTGTAATGCAATTGTATCATGGATAACGATGCCCTGTTCTGAAATCATCTAATATATATATATACTAAAAGGATAAAGAAACGCAGGGTGAACTTTAAACCAGAAATTAAGTATGATATCGGGCTTCATTTAAAACGAAATTTTGTATACTTACAAATAAATTAAAGCTTAAAAATTTCCAAAGTCTGTATTTTGCATCTGACATTTGGTTTAGAGGTACTAACGAATAAATTGAATGGACCCATAGGATTTTGAAATTGAAATTGAACTGAGTTATCAATATCTTGTGTGTCCGCCGTTTGCTGTGGTCACAGCCCTTATTCTTCTGGTCATAGAGTTCATGAGAGCGTTAATCAGTCTTATGGGGATGTTGTCCCACTCTTCAATCAGAGCTCTGGTCAACTGCTCTCGAGTAGCAGGGGGTGGCTGGCGCTTTCGAACCTGTCTATCAAACTGGTCCCAAAGATGCTCAATCGGGGACAAATCAGGGCTATATGGCGGCCAATCTAGTGGTTGAATGTTGTTGTTGGCCAGAAAGACTTGGCAAATCCTTGCTACGTGGGGCCTAGCATTATCCTGCTGGTGGGTTAGATTGTGCTGCTGTAAGAAAGGGATAACATGGGGTCGGAGGATCTCATCTCTATACTTAGCTGCTGTTCAATTGCCATCAATAACAACAAATTGTGATTTTAACCCGTGTGAGATTCCTCCCCACACCATTACTGAACCGCCCCCAAACCTATCCCTCTTTACAACGCAAGCGTCCGTAAAACGTTCGCCATGACGTCGGTAGACACGTTGACGGCCGTCAGATCGATAAAGACAGAATCGAGACTCGTCCGTGAAGAAAACTTGTCTCCATTGCCTCAGTGGAAACCGTCGTGGAGCATGTGCAGCGACCCAGGCCATACGATGCTGACGTCGAGCAGGGGTACGGTGTGGACCCACGTAGGGGCGACGTGCTCTTACACCAACTTCTCGTAATCGATTCCTTACAGTTTTTGAACTTATAGGACGCCTATGATTTCCACGAACATTAAGTGCACGCTCAACGGCAGTAAGGCGCCGATTACGCACATGAGAGACGACGATATAGCGATCCTGACGTCGTGACGTTACGCGCGGACGTCCTGACCTAGACTGATCGGCCAATCGCCCGGTTTCCCGAAGACGTCTTACAAGACGTTCTATGATGGAAACATTAACACCAAAGTGCCTAGCAACCTGATTTTGCAGCTGTCCTTGCATCAGCATCTGAATGGCCTGACCCCTCTGAACTTCTGTGAGTCGTGCCATTCTTAAAACGAATCAAATTCTCAATTAAATATAGGGAAGCAGTTGGTCTGTATAAAGACTAACGAAGAGTGACTTGACCAACGCTGCATGAGACCAGAACAACACGGTGCACGAGGTTCTTGTTTTTTCCTTCCTCCATTTACCAGAGCTGCGCACTGTACCGTGACTAAACTTTCGATACATGACAAGGTGTAATATGACCTAATTACTCAATCCACAAAGTTTAACTTTATTTGGAGAACGCGTTTTCAAAATATCGGAATAAATATTACCCTGCTTTTCTTTATCCTTTCAGTATATATACTCAACAAAAAAAAGAAAGGTTAACATGTTTCCTTGGCGAATACCTGTAAATGAGTGAAAACAAAATGACGTTTGTGCAATATTAGAAAATGGTAATGTTTTGCATTACAAAATCCAAGGGGTTTACCAAAATCATTCAAGCGTGAAAGTCTGTATTAGCGAAAGAGCTGCACGAGGTTTTCTGCGGCTAACTTGTATCTTCGTTTGAATTCCATAAACATTCAAACTGACAACTGTTTCTTAGATCCTTAGGACTTAGAAATCACCGAATCTTGTTATCTATCAACTTTATCATTATGCCCCGGCTGTCACAAGTACAGAGAGAAAGGGCTGTAGGCATGATCCAGGCTAGGGAGTCTCGCCGTCGAGTCGCACGGCATTTTGGTTGCAGTGTTAAGACAATTTGCCAGGTGGTAAACCAAACTGGGTCAACATCCGATCGTCACCGAAGCGGCCTACCCCGTAAAACGACCGCCAGGGATGACCGTCGTGTACGATTGATACACTTGCGCAATCGATTCGTAACGTCGTGTGTCTCCCCAAACAGTCCGCAACAGGTTGAGGGCCTACCAATTGAAAGCGCGGCGTCCCTACACTGGACCCAATTTGTTGCGACGTCACCGTAATAATCGGCGTAACTGGACCCGTGTCCACCGTCGGTGGGCCTTACGAAAATGGAACAATGTTCTGTTTTCAGATGAGTCCAGGTTTTGTCTGCAACACGGTGGCGGAAGGAGGCGACGAGGGGAGCGTTTTGCGAACTGCTGCGTCGCAGAACGGGACCGCGTTGGCGGCTGAAGTGTAATGGTTTGGGGTGGTATTTGTGGGGGGACTCGTACCAGGCTTGTTGTATTAAATGGCAATTTAACCGGCATTCGATATCGGGACGAAATTTTAAGACCAGTGGTTCTGCCATTCTTAAGACGCCATTTTTCAACAGGATAACGCACCAGGCCACATCAGTCGCGTCAGCAGAACTTTCTTGCAGCAGAATAAAGTACAGGTGTTAGATTGGCCATGTAAATCACCTGATTTGTCACCGATTGAGCATGTCTGGGACGTTCTTGGGCGACGCGTGAGAGAACGTCAAAATCAGCCGTCAAACTTGCAGGAGCTGGCCCAAGCCTTGGTCGCTGAATGGAACAACATCTCTCCTCGAATTATCCGCCGGTTTACGAGTTCCATGCGACGACGCTGCAATGCTGTTTACTTCGCAAACGGTGGCCATACCCGTCACTAATGGTGTTATCTTTGAAATTGACCCCAACGTCCTTTACAGTCGAATAAAATCAACTGAACGCAAAGTTTTATAATTAACCATGAGTGCAGTTTTATCAGAATTGATCAATTACTTTATTAATACATGATTGGTAAGGATTTATGAAGGGGTTAATTAATTAATCACAGAATAAAGTAGTGTTACCTTTCTTTTTTTTGTTTAGTATATATACGTATATTCACAACATGACAGCATGTAAACACTATGGAAATTTCACTTCGTGTAAAGCTGGTTTTGTTGTGTGTAAACACAGATTGGATACTCTCCAAACAGTAATCTCCAACACAATGCAAAAATGTTATTCTGAAAGATATGAAACCCCACTTTAACATGACAAGACCAATTTTAGCAAGGAGATATATTTCAAATTTTAAACAGAAACCATTAAAATGGGGTAATCTTATGAACAAAAATATCACCCATGGCCACACTAAGAAACTGTACTGCTGCCTAACTTTGAGATGATTGCGCTTTTAAATAATTGACCAACCCGCGAAGTGATACAATGTGACGGCAACCTTACAACTGAAGGATAAACTGGTTTCCATTGATATTAGTTGTGTTTATCATAGGCTTAGTTTCTACTCTTTTTATAGTAAAGCCATGGCTTAACATTATATTTTTTAGAATATCGTATGACATTCTTCATTTTACACAATAACTTTCAGTTTATCAAGTCTAAGACCATTTGCAAAGGAGGCACAAGTAAATTCATATATGTAGCATTTCTAATACTTGGTAAATACGGTACATGCATAAGTGATATAGCAGATTGTTGTAACAAGTAACAAAATTACATCACAAACTCTTTCAATGGTGCCTGAGGCCAACAATATCACACAATACATACTCATTTAACGTCTATATAATGGACAATGTTGGATAATAGAAGTTGACTGTCTAATTGGTTTACAAAATAAATATCTTCGAGCAATTAATTTTGATTATGTCAACCAGTTCATACATTTCCCTTTTAATGGGTTAGGAAATGTAAACGACAGATTTAATCATGAATGTGATTCATTCAATACAGAATGATATTTGGTTACATAACAATAGATCCTACAGGGATCTTGGCACCCACAATCGTTTCATCTTTATTTTCTCATTGAGATATTCTTTTTTTCTCGTCTTTGTTGTTGCTCTCAGTTATAATTTTTTTTATTTATAAAACCAAGCAATAAGCATCACAGACGAGTCCTGGAAGGACGAAACAGCAGCAAGATGCGGTTTAATTCATTGTTGGAACAATTTGTGTTTTACTTCACTTTTCTTTTGTGCAATCTTTAACTGTCAAATCCAATAGAGTCGTCTGTCATTTATTTTGTTTTTCTGATCAGTCCCAAAATATAATGGTCACAACTATGGAGCTAGGTTTACATACATATGAAATCTATTCTCTGCTTAGTCAAATCCAAGATGGCCGCTTGTAAGTGATGTAATAAGTACCAAGTGGAATTTACGATAACATACGAAAAAGGAAGGATCTATACTGTACTTCTGCTGAATAATGATACCAATAACTGTCACAATTATAAACAATCACTGTCAAAAACCAACATGGCCGCCTGTTAACTATTTGTGTCTGATCAAAATATACAATGTGTTTCTTGCAAGACTGTAGCACTCGCCTGCTATTCTTAAATGACATCCATGAACGCTATGCTGCATTTGCTCAAAATTGTAAAGAAAAGAACACATTAAATGGCTAATGAATTCCTACTTCCAGAATACGAATAAAGGAAGGATGTACTCATCTAAACGTAGGAGATAATTAAGAGATTCTGTACCGGTCAAAAAAGTGAATGAAGTTTTGGCGGTTTTTTCTTTTCCTTTTCCTAAAATTTAACCTTTGTTCTGATGATGACATTTTGAATATACATTAAGATTATTACATTCCTGCGCTTTTTATTTTCACATATTCTTAATTCTTTCTTGAATTTTCAATAACGTTTCATTTTTATTTAAATGTCATAAAATGATTTTAATTTTTTTTAAAAGGCTAAGCAACATAAAAATATATTTAAAAAAAAACCTAAAAATGCAGAAAATGTCATATTTCAAGTTCAAGATAGAAGACTATTAATTTTACGGTCCTAGAAATCAAGGAATGTTGTTCCACAAGTCAGAATTCAAATACTTGAAATTTCAGATTGATGGTGATAACTGATGAAAATTTTGTTAAAATCTAACTAAGACTTTAAGAGTCATACTAAACGTGTACCTTAGAACCGTAAAAAATACGCTGACTATATTTAACCGAATCAAAACATTTAGTCTATCTGCAATATTTCTACAAAACGTCATATTTAGCACTTAGCTTATGTTTTCATTTCATTTCTGTAAATACTATTACATTATTGATGAGATGAATCAATATTTCCAAATTACGTCATCAATCACATTGAATATTGACATCATTTCTTTTATGCATGTTAGTTAAATGGTTAAGTATGTAATAGACTGGTATCCTCAGTTCTGATAAAGGTTTGTACTTTGGACTGATTTACCATATATACTTAAAGTCTTATTGATCATATAAAGAGTAAAAACATACGTTTTGACAATCTACATGTTCGTATTCCATACCCCATGTTTTGTATTTGAGCTTACGTGATATAACAACTGAAGAAATAACGAAATTGACAATAAAACGTCAGCATTAACCACCACACTTATTAAAGCTAGCTTGGGCCAGAATATTTCATTTACACTAAAGCTTTAAAAATAATTTCGATTTTGATAATCGTATTGCAAAGTATTTAATACAATAACATTCCAAAACACTAGATCTTTCACTACATAATAAATGTCGAGTTGAGATGATATCAAAATACGGCGTATCACAACGGAAATCAATTATCGCAGGTTTCCCTTTCTTGTCATTTTCCAAAATTTATTTAATCCAAGCGATCATTTGCCATCTATGCGATTCTTCCATTGTAATTAGTCTAAATTGACAGAAACTTCATATAAAAACTAAAAAGGTATTTTTTATGTATAATTTGATAATGGACCCTACCGTAATCTTAATTATGCCATATGCCGCATATCCCAATTCCTACTCTGAATAAATCCTTGTCATACGAGTGAAAATAAAGCATGCTGATCAATCACAAAGCCTATCTACGATTAGATGTGATATCACGCAATCAAGTCGCATCGGTCTTGACATGTATCTAGCTCTATCTCTGCTTTACAAGAATCGATAGCAGCGAAAATGGTCATGAGAAATTTAGCGTGTGATACGGCATAATGCCTCAAAAAAAGGTCGATAGTCCCCTGGAAACACTTGTTCTTCGATATTAAGTCCCTGACATAACGTTTGCATTCGGATGTACATAAATCGAAGGGTTTGCAAAGTTTGTTGAGATTTGTAATAATAGCGGCGAGATCCGTGTTAAATGGGTTTATCAATGAATTCGTGTAACAGCCATTCATTGTAGGAAAATCGGAGTTAAAATCAATTACTTTACACAAATCTAAGTCCATCCATGATGCGCAGTCACGTCCAGTCAGGTGCTGTTCGGGATAGACAATAAGAAATCCGAAGCACATCTCATCTGAAGTGTCTTCTCCCATAATTGTCGTCAAATTCTGATCAACTGAATTGTAGGAACATGTAATTTTGATTTCATCTCCAGGAAGAACTTCAATAGGAGTTGTAAATCTACATTAACGAAATAAAAAAAAGTGTTAGACAAAGCAGAGTTTTTCTTTCAAAAAATGATTTTTGTTAAATAGCTAATGATTATGTAATAATGTTATAAAACGAACTTCATGAGTGTTGCAAGTCCGATCTAAGGAACCCAAGAAGACACTCTTGGCAACATTTAGTAAACGTTTAAATACCCTTCAGCTTATCGATAAAATATAGACATTATGCACTACGTATAATGGCAATTACCTCCATATATAACTTTATGCATTCTTGTCGTAATCATTACAGATGTCAAAAAAGATAACATTATTAATTGTAAAAATCATATGAAATATGAGAATGCCGATGAAATATCTCAATTACTTACTGAAAATAATTATTTGTTCCGTACTTAAACACCTCATTGGTAATATCTGCGATCCACACTCCTTTTCGGTAAAGCTGGATTTTTTGTTTCCTTCCTAGTAAATAAAACGTTATTCCCATGTTACAGACACAATGTTTTAAGACTCACTTTTCAGTATAAATCGATGTATATAGGGCCCTCGTCTATGAGACAATACATTTACTAAAATTTGTCTATGTCTGTGAAAAAGACAAACAACCAACGCCAAATGCAGATTTATTAAGTAATGGAAAATGAGGTTTGATAGCAGAAGGAAAAAACAAAACAAAACCTTTTAAAACTAGTGTCATCCCAATTTTTATTTTAACGTCCGTTTACAATACGCGAACATTGACGTTGCAATGTCCTCTGAACCTGTTGTCTCTATAGCGAAGGATAAAAGCATATTATTCATATGAATAAAAAAGTATGAAAGGCAGTGTTTCATAAAAATTAGATAGTAGATATGTGTTCGGTATTCTTTGTTTCATACATACATCCTTCCAAGGCCGTCTTAAGGATGAGATTACATAAGTATGCATAAGTATAATGATAGAACATTTCATGAATTCAAATAATCTGGTCCACCCTGCTTCATGAAATAATCTATCGATACTTCCAACCTTTGTTGCACTAAATGAGTGGTTTCAATATTGAGATTTAAAAGTTTTTGAAAAGCGCAGCAGATTTAACATGGTTTCTTACACCCTTCATCCTACAGTAGGTTTCCAATAATATTATCTCTTAATATCAAGTTAATAATTACCTTCCTAAAATAGTACGATTATGTGCTTAACGTAAGAACTTCATTGTAAAGAGAATGTCTTACCTAAGAGATGCATATGGTTCTCTGCAGAGATGATATAGATTGGTCCTGACAAATATCGCGATGAACAGTCACTACTGCATAAAGCTTCAACCTCAACATTTTCCTCACCGGGTGGTATTTCTATATATGTTGTACCGACAGTCAACGTCGTGGCATCGTGTTGTCGGAGATTGGAGGTAAAATACAACTTCATTCCAGAGCTATCAGTGTAGTCGGAGCGATGTTCTGGGTTGTTCCAGTGCAACTGTATAACATTAAGATATTTTGTAGATCATCGTAAAGTACTTTTTATTTGTCTGTTATGAACAATATCTGAATTAACGTTCAGTTAATTTAGGTATTTCCACAACACAAACATCTACAAAGAAAGATAATGGCAGTATCTGTAGCGATCATAAAATAATTGAGCCATTTGGCGAGGGAAAATGTGAAAACTCGCTAAAATCTTATAGTGTCAAATAGAATATTTTGAAGTAAATATGGCATTATTTCAAACTAGAATACTGTAGTATATATCTAGCTAATTCTGTATCGGACAAATTAGATAGATGTAATGTAGGTGCTAGACGCTGCGACTGGACTTTAGTTCCTGAGGTCTGCCGCAACTTGCATGCCACGTTTTCATTCATTCGAATAGAGGCGCGGCTTAGAAAATACACATGTACTTGACATTGTTCTTATATGAAGAGATAAATGAAAACTACGAGTTATTGAATGATGGGGCCAATGCACATTCCCCATCTACATTGTAACATTTCTTTCGATAACTTTCTTTATTTTCTAATGATAGTAGTATGGTAATAATAGTAATTTAAGTATTGTTGAGGATTGTAGAACAAAAGACACTAAAACGTATAGCACCTATATATATGCCAATTTAGAGTAAGATACAATAGAGCCAAACATTTTATTAAACCGCATCATACAGCTGTTATCTGTTACCGTCCATCTAGTACTCACCAGTGATGCTAAGGGCCTAATTAGGTAAATTGCAAATAATTCCCACACAGGGTTATTTCCATTGCTTTAAAACGTTATACCAGCAATGCTTCATATGAGATAATTTGAATTTGTGGATTAAGGATAGCATCACAATAACGCTATTCAATCCATTAATCAAGTGTAGTTTTATAGTCAAATACAGCGGTCATTAATGTGAATGACCTCGTTGCATCTTGCATCTTCATACATTGTGGTTTTAGCAATTAGGAACAACAATATAAAAAGTTACAAACCATTAATATGCAATACTTCTGCCGATAAGTCTTTGTGGGGATCAATTAGTGTTCGTTTACAGAGACTGATTTAAGATTGATGCGAGCAAAAATACAATGAGGGACCGATTTAATTGGGAACTTGCAAGAAATTAGAAAATTTAACAAACTTATTTAGATTAGAGTAGGAAAATATCTACTCTTACAAGTTTAATACATTTCCTCTAGAAATCACAATCAAACCAGGTTATTAATTAATTTTAAAGAGTGTCTTTGTTATGGAAAAATATCTTTAAAAATATTTAAGTAAATATATATATACCAGCCTGTGCCTCAGAGACAAAACCTATCTCTATATGAAAAGGTAAAAAATGACATTATCAAAACCTGGATACAATTTTAGAAGCACTTGAGTTTTGGTGACATTGAGTGAGCGTAGTAATAAAATTAATATCGTCATGAAACTTATTCAAAGTGTTTTGATATTTCTCTGCAAAGAGATCATCATAATGATACTTCTGGACCAATTATCGTGATTTTTCGGTGCCATAAAATATCGCACATGGGAAATTATACTTAAAAAATGATTTATAAATTTAAAAAAATGAAAAAATTATAGCCAATATTACAGATTGGATGAGAGATTTGTTCTTGAAGTGATAGATCCTGATTATAACCACATGCCAATTAGGAATTGACTGCCAAATTAATTATCTGGGGTCACAGGTAGACAACAATCCGGTTACGTGGTACATAACATGTTACACGAGTTCTCCTAAAGGATTAGGCCGGTAACAGGTGGTTCACACCTCCTTTTTTTGCTATGACCCCCTAACTGGCGATATGAAACACGTCCCTCCCTTTCTCCAGACAAAATATATCACATATGCAAATCGCTGATACTCCAAGTTATATATAATTATACGCGATAGAATGGATAAATATCTTTCTAGTAGTTTTAAACGTTCTTTCAAAACTTAATTAACCCAGCCCATCCCAACTTATTATAACATTTTTCATTTCAACATAATTCATCTTGCCTTAGCCTCTTATAACACATCCAAATCTCCACATTTACACAAATCACACATAACCACTAAAAGTGAAAAAAAAACGTGAATAGATGTAAGCAATCAGAGTGGAATGGATTATCAGAAAGCAGTAGAAATTAGTAAAAACGCTCAAAATAATCAGTTGAATGTTTGGAAAGGATTCAAGACGGGACAGTCAAAATACAGGTGTTAATAATTAACTCAAACTCAATTGTCACCGATCTAACCACTAATTACTACCCTTAGTCCATTCTGATCTCCCTGATTAGGGGCCTTAGGTTAGAGTAATTTTGATGTCCGTAAAATGCCTTTAAAATGTATGGCCTAACACTATCCCTACACCCCTGGACTGGCGTTATCACGCCTGCTCTTTTTCAAACAGACAAAGAGGAATCTTTTTATCGTGCGGGTGTGGACAGTCCCCTCATGGGTCACCGTTTTACAGTCCCGTCCGCGGACTAAAGTTAGTAGCAAGTGGAAAGACCGGTGCAGGTGCAATTAATATTAACACTTTGTTGTCCCATCTTGAACCCTTTCCAGTTATCCGACTGTTACTTGACCACTTTACCATTGCTTTCTGATAATCCACTCCTCTCCTGCTTCATACGTCTGTTCACTATTACGACTTTTTTATGATTATACAATTATGTGATTTTTGTAAGCGCGCTGATTGAGAAGAGTTTTGAAAGGTTTAGAGGCAAGATAGGTTATGTTGAAGTAGAAAATCTGCTGTAATCTACTAGAAAGTGACAGAATGGAATGTTCTAAGATACATTTAAGTTTTGAAAGGATGAGAATCACTATACAGGTAGGATGGTTGGGTTATGTTTTAGTCTATATGTTTAGAAGGAGTAATGTGTTAATTGTAACTGGCTAGATTTTGAGTAGAAATAGAGAGAAAATAGTTATCCTATTCTTTCCTATATACTATTATATACATTTTGCTTTATCCGGAGTAAAAGCAATATTTTTGATTGGGTGAGAGATTGGGGGAACGGGAAGGTTGGGATCTTGGTATTGTATGGTGTATAGTGGACCTTGTCGCAGTATCTGTTGGTGTAAGACTGTTCACTGGACTTGTTTCGGTTTTAAATTTTATTTCCCTAATTAGTATTCCAAGTATGATGTTTTTATCATGGACAGACGAATTTTGATTTGTCTTTTAACATCTCCCTATGTTCTGTATTAGATAAACAAGCCTGTTCATCATTCAAGGTTTATCTATCTTGCCTTTCATGAGTCTATACCCACTAAATAATTAGTTCATTTCCGTTGGACAAAATGGACTCACCTTAATTTGATCTATACCGAACATAGCTGTGGATTCAGTCTGACGGATATTTCTACTGGCGAAAATAGGCGGTGTGATAATAAACCACATAACGATATTTTGGTCGTTAGAAACACTCTTTGTATTTATTGTTTTAGTTGTTCTTTTAAAACGAGATTCATTTACTCTTTAGGTATGTATAAATTTGGTTGCAATCATTTCATTTTGGTGTCATTTGTACAAAAGATATGTAATAGCGTGTGTTTGCATGTATGTGCTATTCATGTATGAGCACAGTTTCGGTAGAGAGCACTCAATGTATGTGTAAACTATTTTTCCAGGTGAATATCCGTGGAATGGGACCTTATGAAGTGTCCGTTTTACATTTGATAGTTCTATAATTTTCTTCGGATTATTGGATATGTCTAGATTTTTTCATGTTTATTATTAATCTTTTGATTGATAATAGAGTACACTTCAATCTTGGATAATTTCACCTGACATTCTGTCATGTTTTTCTGAAGAGGAGAGATGTTTTGGCTAGGTCATCAGCTTTTTCGTTTTCAGGTTTATTGACATGTGATGAAAACACTCAAAATTTACCAAAATTCCCTGTTGTTTCAAGCTTTTAAACTAAATTTAATATATAATTAATTACATTAGGTCTTGCACACTTCCTCGTTTGTATTAATTGTAATTAGAAAGACTAACTGTGAGATGTATAAGGGAGGTTTCACTGAATATGATGTTTCTTGAAAATTTTAGACCAAAGTTTGAAATAAATTTGCACTAAATGAAATTTTATAGTACAATGAATTAAAATTTGCTTAACTTTAAATTGCTTTTAGAATTAATTAGTTGTAAAATAGAGAAAACATGTTAACATCACGATTAAATATGTTACTGACCGTTATGAGTTTTGATTTGTGTACTTCCATATCTATTCGAATTATTATAGCATATCTCTTTGCATAGAAAGGTATGCCGGGTGCGCTTTCGTAAATCTGATTGAGTTTTTAATCGGTTGTCGGTTTGTGTTTAATGAGTTGAAGGTTCGTCATGATTTCTAGAAACCAATTGGATAATAAAAAGTATAACACCTACAGTCACTATATGAATAGATTATGAAAAACACAGATTAATTTAGATAGCATTCTGTAATCAGATCCCCGCACACAGTACATCGTTTGTCTACTCAAAGAGGAAAACAAATCATAATTGAAATGCTAAAAAGTATTTTCTAGATGTATGAAACACTTTAAAAGCCCGTATATCGAACACGCGATGGCAGCTTCCTGGTATATTTATATAGGGATGCTTTGACAGCGTTGAACTTGTGATGTCACAGATCGATGTAGCTATTTTGCCGGTTTGTTTCAAATGTAACATATTAATCAGACTATACCTGGAGAACAGCATGTCTGTAACCATTCTGTCCTATCCTGAATCCAGCATTCTTATGCATACACTGACTAGGAGAGCCGTAATTCCAAACGCCCATTAACGTCTGACAGTATGGTTCTGGAGTAGCATTACACGGACGAACACTGTTGATATTGGAGGTCCTTAGAGCTTTAACTGGAATATATAATGCTAAACGTACACAAGTTATAAAGTGAACAATTACCCCACGCTATACATGGATTAGCAAAAACAATAACAAACAAGAAGCAAAATGTATAAAAGGGAGAATATGACGTATTTAGTCGTCGTCAATAGTGTGATGATAAATCAGATATATATATATATATATATATATATATATATATATATATATATATTAAACTTTTTTTTATTTACATCAAAAGCAAAACAAGTTAACCAACAAATATAGTTCTTGTTGGTCTGGATGGAAGCCTGCGAAAGCTCCTTTTGAGGTAGTAAATCGAAGAACCCTGGGAAAGCCCATGTGGTCGGGCAGGTGACCCCATACCTTGTCACGTCCTATCCGAACGCCAGACGTCTAGGCGAAAGGCGAGTGCGTTACTACTGCGCCACCCGAGTCCCAGTATCAAAGCTTACATAATGATATGAGAGCACTATATGTCGTATACTATATAGCTAGTTCATTCATGAAATACGCACATGTTATATACCTTATTTGGCACACGTTTTTGACACAAGTATGGCGTCATGGCAAAATAACGTCATACGATTGTCTCAGTTGTGAAAAAAATCCAGTTCCCGTCGAAATTTCCAGTCATGTAGGTGGAACATTTTTTCTTTTGTTTTTGCAAAATCTTAATTTGATCAATATATATTGGTAAATCAAAGGCTCAAGTGACATCAACTAGTGATCTTGTTTAATAAATACGAAATGACGTGACCGCCCATGAAAATTCTCTTTATATGCATTGTGTATTTTGAATACTTATACATGAATAGGTAATAGCGCTCCACATTAGAACTTCATTTCTCACCTGAATCATCACAACCAAACAGAAGTATATGATGATTTACATTAGCATTATCAATGTAAGGTTCAAATGCAACAAAGTGATAATCGCCGTCTGCCGGAAATTCAAAGAGCATACAGTGATACGTTGTCTCAGCCAATGGCACTGCGGTCTCAGGAATTCTCACAGTGGTGTTTTTCATACCTAAAATACACATTAAAATCAGCAAGTTTAAAGCATATATAAAAAGGCATTCGGCGTTTATCAGCCGAACGGATAATCGAGACATCAAAAGTTGCACATTTTGTATCTGTTTTAGGTTCTCTCTATGTGAAGTAATTTATTTGATATCGGTTTCTTCATAAAGGGGAAGATGACAACGAAGTTCCGACAATTTATTTGCCTGTACTGTCGTTATCTTATTACTTCATTGATCAGGTATATATATATTTTAATAATGTTATGTGGAAGGAATGGGAAGGTTGTACAGAAGACACATAAGTGAATAACACATTTTGATAGTTCAGAGTAAAATAAAGTAGAGCCAAACAATGAATTAAATTGCTTCAAACAGCTATTTTGTCCTCTGCGACTACTCTGTGATGTTAAGGACCTAACATTTGAACCCTAGAAGACTGAGGAAAAAAAACAAAGTGGTCGAATGGCAAGTTTAGAACAGCGTCATGTACATGTGTATATTCTGATCCGTGCCACTATTCAAATGGCATGCAGGTTACGACAAACCTCGGGAACTTAAAGTACACCAGCAGTGTCTACTACCTGCTATCTTAAAGATTGTACAAAAGACACGCAAGTGAATAACACCTTTTAATAATTCAGAGTTAGATACAGCAGAGCCAAACAATTAATTAAACTGCATTAAAATGTAATTTCTGTCAATGATTTTGTTAAAGCTGGAGTTCCACAGTGTTCTATCCTGGACCCATTATTATTCCTGATTTATATGAACGACATTGCGGATATTTCAAACTCGACTTCACGTCGTTTCGCCTATGGATTGTCATTAGTGGGTACACTTTCTTTTCTTGTGATCATTTACAAACCACACTTAATCAGGACTAATCAGTAATTTGGCTAAACAATAGCTTGTTAATTCCAACCGGAGCAAAACAGAGGTTCTAAAATTGAAACTTGATTGTGTATTTTTTAATTTCAGTGATTGCTTTAGGCACATGAGTGTCATATTCAATTGTGGCAAATGGGATGGCCGTTTGATATTTAGAAATGTACACAATCTAATAAAATCTAGAAAAATATTTTGAATTACTATACGTCTAATTTGTTTCTTAGTTCGGAGATAAATGTAACTTCCCAGTAATTGATTATAAGCTTAGACTCATGAATTCTATATTTGATGTTGGAAATGTAATTAGTTTTGGGAATGGGTTAATTGATGATTATTACAATATACTATGTTCGAATCTTTGGAACCTTGAGATAGTTATTTTGCATGTTACACGTGTAAACAGAACAATGTTAAGGATTATACTATTACTATTATTTTCTTCGTGTGTATTCAGTAAGAAATGGTACAGTAAATATATTTATCTTGTGTGTTTTCGAAGTGAATGCGTTTATAGTTGTTGTCTGGATTTGAGCATATTTATGATATGTTTTTGTTATTATTCCAGAAACGGATTAGGTGCAGGAAATATCTTCATATATTATCGAATACATCATTCACAATTATTATCTGTTATTATGTGTGTTTTGTAAGAAATATATATAATAGTTAGTAAACACTGGCATTTATAACTGGTATTGTTAATACTACATACATTTGCCCAACAACAAAGACATATCCATGATGTCAGCACAATCTCAATTCATGCTCCAACGCAATGAAACTAGGGCAAAATATGAACAAAAGAAAGATTTACACGAAAGCTTGTGAAAAAGTAAGAAGAATAAGGCCTAGCTCGAATACTAAAATTTGGTGCGCATGCTCAAAAGCTTTTGGCAATAAACCTGATACCAGAAATAACATATTTCGATGATTTAAAGGAATTTAGAAAAAAATGAGGTGTTATTTTCAATATTTAAACTGTTCTTTCAACTACTCTTTCGTGATTTAAGCGAGTTGAAAGAAAGTTTGGTAGAGCACAAACTTCATGCTTGAACATGATAACGATTTTATGAATACTGGCCTAAGTGTTCAGGAAGGGAAAGAGTTTTTTTATCGACGACACTCGCTATGTGACTGTTAATAGTTATGCGTAACGTTGTGGTTAGTAACTAAATCTACATACCATGCAACGCAAGTGTAAACATTTTGTGTTATTACAATAAAAACGAGTAATTGTGTGAAAAATTTGTAATACTTACCAATTTCGTTGATCGCATCGCACGTCTTATCCTTTATCTCACAGTCGATCCAGGTATTGACTGCCTGGCAGGCGGGAGCCGAGTATGGGGTACAAACACCTAATAAATCAACAACCGTTCATCACGTGTATTTTGGCGTTTTGGTCGAAATGGCAACTACCGTATTGCCAATTATTTTTTATCATTGTATATTCAAACGATTTTTATTTAACTCAGGATAGTTAGATTTCAATGAATGAAAATGTGCATTATCTGGATATAACAGGATATCTAATTTCCACGTGTATTACCGAAACACACCTATGATTCCTTGTAATGTTAATGATCGAAACTTTTAATGTAGGTAATCTGTAGCATATAAAAAGTGATACGTATATTCTTGGGTAGAGATGGCCTTGACAGTATAAATATGTTTTCAGTTGTAGTTTTATCATGTTGTCACTTATAATATTTACACCTGTACTATTATTTTGCGCAATTTTCCCGATCACGTTAATGCCCCGTAAAATAGGGTATACGATCTTGTGACGTCAGATCAAACAAATAAGAAGTGATATAACTTACGATTTATACGTATAAGATAAATACGATAAGATGAATATAATACATTATTAAATGAATAATTCGATCACATATCACGTTTTATTTTAACATACCAGGATGACTTATGTCATGTGTAACTGTTGGACTGCTTCCTTTGGTCCAAATACATTCCGGATCTCCCAACTCCTCTCCGTTTGTTTTCCCATCCCCGTCAGAGTCTGTTTTGCACAGGGTTTTGGTCCAAGTCTGTTGTTTGTATGATACCAGTATAACCTTACTTTCTCTACACACAATTTCATCCTATTCTTGTTACTCCTTGTCCCTACATATTTTTAAGACCCTTTCATTCTACTTCTGTTTTGCTTTTTTGCATAGATACTAAAAACATTATATATTTATTCATTTTCCTATTTGATGCCGTCGTACAAAATATTAATTTGTCACTAAAGGAGACAGATTTATAACAAAAAAATACAAAACTGGTTTCTGAATCCAATTCAAATGTGATTACCACTGTAATATTATATGCAAATGTAAGCCAATATGAATGAAAACAAAGTTTATATTAATGTCATCAACACGACATTTATTGCATCTAAGAAAACCTATACATACAAAAGGAATGCTTTTAACAAGAAAAAAAGAGACATTAATCTTTTGCTAGGTCCCAGGTGAAAACAAAACATTAGTCTATTGTTGGATCTCAGATGAACAAAACATCAGTCTATTGTTGGGTCTCAGGTGAAAACAAAACATCAGTCTATTGTTGTGTCTCAGGTGAAAATGAAACATTAGTCTATTGTTGTGTCTCAGGTGAAAAGGAAACATTCATCTATTGTTGTGTCTCGGGTGAAAATGAAACATCAGTCTATTGTTGGATCTCAGGTGAAAATGAAACATTAGTCTATTTTTGTGTTTCAGGTGAAAATGAAACATTAGTCTATTGTTGTGTCTCAGGTGAAAACAAAACATTAGTCTATTTTTGTGTCTCAGGTGAAAATGAAACATCAGTCTATTGTTGTGTCTCAGGTGAAAACAAAATATTAGTCTATTGTTGGGTCTCAGGTGAAAACAAAACATCAGTCTATTGTTGTGTCTCAGGTGAAAATGAAACATTAGTCTATTGTTGTGTCTCAGGTGAAAACAAAACATTAGTCTATTTTTGTGACTCGGGTGAAAATGAAACATCAGTCTATTGTTGTGTCTCAGGTGAAAATGAAACATTAGTCTATTGTTGGATCTCAGACGAAAATGAAACATCAGTCTATTGTTGGATCTCAGACGAAAATGAAACATAAGTCAATTTTTTGGTCTCAGGAAAACATAAAACATCTGTCTTTTGCTAAGTCTCAGATGTACAGCGAACAAATTTGAAAAGATTTCATCTACTCTCATTTGTATTGTTTTATTGTAAACAATAGTGACGTGCTGTCTTTGGCATGTCATATGTTGTTTAATTCAATAATTTAATGTTTTTATTCAATGCGTTTTCTTTTTCCATTTTTGTATTTCGTAAACGTATATTTTTCGTTTTGAGTATATATTCTCTATTTCACACTTATATTCTATGACTGATTAATTTTTTGAAAAAAATATTGTATCTTTTTTTTCACATTTGTATTCTATGACTTCCGTTTCCGTCGTATTTCGACACCTGCGTCCAATTTAGTAAATTTCAGTGATATATTACACTTTTAGTAGTACCTAACCAGGGGAACTGGTCACGTGATCGATTATTTTTGTCGTATATCATACTAAAAAACCAGTCGTTAATAAAGTTAATTAAGAGAATCAAGCCAAATACAGTATCATATCGATTTCTAAAAAATATTATATATATATAAGGTATATATACCATTCCTGCGCTTTTGAAGTCCTGGCCGAATGGATTCAAGTAGCCTTCTCCGTAGGGGTTCAGATGCCCCACACCTTCCCATGTGTCGTTCAACTTACATGGATGTGATACATTTCCACCATTAGGAATCTCTTTCTGGAAATGGAGGTACCCCCCTACCGTAGCCACACAAAACACCAGGGTAAGTGTACGCATTCTACAACACAAAACTCTTGTATTATGATCAGACGTATTTTCATATGTATATTATTTTGATGAACGTGCACCCTTCAACTGTAAATGGAATTTTCCATTATCCATCGATGTTTGTTTTCACACACACACAAAATTGAACTAAGTAACCGATATAATTCATATAAGGAGGAAATAAACAGTTCATATCTATAGTTGCGATTCGTTGACTGTAATTCATTGAAAAACATATCTAGAAATTACATACTGTAGAAGTTTCTTTCATGTTCCTTGAATTTACTGAATGACTATAATGTTTTAAAACAATAAAAAAAAAATGTAATTGGGATCGGCAGGTTGCATTGGAATTCGATGTAGTTAAATGTAATTTGTAGGAAATTTTATCGCCCCATGAACAGCAAAGATTCTTTGGAGTAGGTGGTGGCTACCTCACTGAACAACATCAGGAGGCACACAAACCGCCATGAATAGGGAACGTCGAACAAAGCACCTCAATCGTCTCAGGTTACTAGACCACAACAACGTTTTCGCTTTAACCGACTGAGCTCTAAAGAAGTTTGCTATAGGGTACAAATATTTCCATAAAATACGGAATATATAGACAATATCAATTTTGAATAGGTTTCTACAAATGATTTGATTCACAATTTTAAACAAGAAATACATTTCAGATCACGAATACCAAGTAACGTCCTATACGCGTAAATATCTCAAATTCCCATTCATTGATATATATTTGTATTACTTGACCGAATCAATTCAAATGATTCCATAATTATCTCTCTGAAAACTTAAATATACATTTGTTTACAACAATTCTATGTACAATTACAGCATAATTCTAATTATATCAAATATAACGCCTAAAATAAAGCCATACCTTCTATGATGAATCACAAACCAACTCTCTTCAGTGTTCTCTGATAGTTGCCGTTATCAATGTTTACCATTATGTAACCTTATTGACGTTAATGTTAGAATTTCTTCAGGCGTACTTGTCCACTTCAGAAAGGGCTTTCAGGCATACAATATGTGACGATAAAGTCAATTTGACGTGCGGACGAACTAAGATACACATTAAAAGTTTATTTCAATTAGGCCACACCAATTTTTAAATTAGATCTTCTGGAAAACGAAGCAACAATGTGGATTTTTTTTTCGGATTTCGGTGAATTTTGGAGCGAGCGATAGTCAAGTTGAGCTTTGATGTCTATTACGGTATTTGAACATCGCTTCTGTTTGGTTACGTTTTCATCGAAATTGTTAATATATAGGGAATGTTACTTTGTGCTATTATTTTACAGATGTACATGTAAGTTGTATTAAACATATTAGCGATTTTACTCCTGACTGTGGTAGCAACAGGTTGAGGAATCAAAGGGTACTTCTTTTGTTGTACTCATTTATGTTATATATGATCAATGAAGTAATAACGACAGTACATAAAAGAAATTGTCGTTTTATCACGACACAAAATATCACAAAAGTAACATCACATACATAGAACATAACACAAATACAAAGTTATATAGTGTCCTGATAATCCCTTCCCTGGACGCCGCAACCCCTTTATAAGGTGATAAAATCCCACATTGGTATTTCAAATATCGGTAAATATAATAGATAAAGAAAGAAAGTAATCGGTGTGTACACAATTTCGCTCGTGGACTACATTTAGTGACGAAGTGATTTTGTTAATGTGCTCAACAATTTCAACGTTTTCGGGTTGTTAAGACACTTTACATGGGTATAGATTTCAACAGGTTTCAAATTGGTAAATTCGGGTCTGATTTTTAGAACCGAAAATAAATATTTCAGCTTGTTTCTTGATCTTGGATATGTCTGTCTTTCTGTCTGTCAGATCGGTCGGTCTATTTGGGTGAAACGTGTAAAATCTAAAGCAGTGACCCCCTGAAAAGTATCCTTAAAGATTTCTATATCTAAACATTAAATCCCGAATGAAGTTAATTAAAGCATTAAAGCAATTTTTTTTATTATTTCCCCCCTTTTTGGTTGCAGGGCAGTTTTGAGCTCGTTAAATCAAATGAAAACTTAGTATTTTCACAATATTTTTCTTTACATCAAAATATCATACTATTACATCGCAATGAAAGACAAACGTTTTATTTTAATGGTTGCTGCGAGTAATAGCAAAGAATGTCAGGTATTCAGGATTTGTTAAAGGGAAGGGAGGGAACTGTCCGTATTCCGTCTCGGACTGTTCATCGTCGTCTTCCAACAATGTTGACTCTGCGGAAATATTTAATTCATTCTTCTAATCTTTATGGAATACAATGGTGGTCTTCCTCAGATACATGTAAAAATTAATTTGAGCACATTTTATTTTAAATGCACGGAGATCAGAAGGCACTTGTACAAATAGATGAAAAAAAGCATTTCTGACGTGGTATTGTACCACTGTGTAACATTATCAACTGTTCATTGAACGACGGTATCTTGCCGTGTATTTTCAAAAGGACTAATGTTATTCCTATTTTTAATCTGAAAGTAAACGTAACGAAGTCTCTAATTACAGACCAGTATCTCTTCTTTCTTTTTTTCTGAATTTCTTGAAAAGTTGGTTGACGTCCATTTTTCTAATTCTATAAATCCTCCCATGTGCGATGAGCAACTTGGTTTTATTCCAAAAAGGTCTACTGTTTTAAACCTTGCATATCTTATCGACCAGATTTCCAAAGCCTTTGACAAAAAGTTGAACTACGTGTTATTAATACTGATTTTCAAAGGCTTTTGACAAAGTAAACCACAAAATATAATTGCACACGTTAAAAACCGTATGGTGTAGAAGGTAGCATGGCATATTGGTTTACTACATATTTGAAAGACTGATTCCAGCGTGCTACTGTCAATGGGACAGCATCCAGTGGGTGTTAGGTAACTTCCGGTGTGCTCTGACGTTCCAATTATCAATGAACTGCCATTAGCCGTAACATTTTCTGATTTTTTTTTTATCTTTACCGACGAGAGCATTTTTTAAGTGCGTAAAACCACTGTCTGGGTGTGAGCAGCTACAGAGCGATATAGATAGAGTGTATGATTGGCGCCCTGTGTTTAAAATGAAAGTGAATCTTTAAGTGTTGCCAGGTCAATTTTACAAACAAGAAGAAACATATCAATTTAATTACAATATGAACGGTCTTGGTGTCTGGCAGATTTCTACCATGAGTTTTAGAACCCACATTAACTTTCCAAAGCAATGTGAATGCTTGGTTTTATAAAACGTACATGTACAAGGTTTATACAAATATCTGTTTTAAGGTCTTTATACATCAGTCTTGTGAGGAGTCAGAATATTGTTGTTAGATCTGCTCTCCTTCTTTAATTCACCAAGTGGAAATTGTCCAGCGCACATGTCGATTATAGTTCTATGTCTTACGTTGGCACTTGAAGACATTTTAAGTCCTTCTAGCTTGAATACAGATGGGCATTTTTAGGCTATATCTTTCTTTCAGGTGTGTAAATAGTGCTTTTGACTGCCCATATTTAATCAATGAAATATGTTTTTAGTCCTTTGTAGTAATCTGCGTTTAATTCGTTTCGATCAGTTTTACTGCGAGAAAAGTCGGATAAACGCGAGGAAGTACTTGTTTTAAACATGATTCGGTGCACTTTTAACACTCTTGATATTGCACTAAACTGTGATATGTATGTCAATCTCTGGCGGAGGTAAATTCAAAGAATATTTCTTACCATTATTTCCACATTATCCAAGAGTATCTTTAAGATGTGCTCGACGAATGTTTAAGGCAAGTAGGATGGACAGCAACTACTAGACGAATGTTTAAGGCACACAGCAAGGGCTGTAACTACTTGACGAGTCCTTGCTATGTGCCTTAGACACTCGTCAAGTGGTTACTGTCCTTACTTAATTTGTCAAGTAGTTAAAGGCCTTGCAATGTGCCTTAAAACCCTCGTCAAGTAGTTAAAGGTCTTGCAATGTGCCTTAAAACCCTCGTCAAGTAGTTAAAGGCCTTGCAATGTGCCTTAAAACCCTCGTCAAGTAGTTAAAGGTCTTGCTATGTTCCTTAAAACACTCGTCAAGTAGTTAAAGACCTTGCTTTGTTCATTAGAATACTCGTGAAGTAGTTACAGCCTTTGCTATGTGCCTAAGACACTCGTCAAGTAGTTACAATCCTTGCTATGTGCCTTTGACATTTGTGAAGTAGTTACAGTCCTGTTTTTGTTCTTCTTAATACGAAATTTGAGCATTCCCTTGCAGAATAGCGAAACTAATCTTTAAATGGCCAATCTCAGATGGTCGCTTGCCAGACATTTTTTTCTGATCAGTCCCAAAGTCAAACAGAAACAACTAGGAACCATGGGAAACCTACATGTGAAACTTGAGAGAGACCCAACCAAGTATTTTTTCAAAAATTAACAATAACAAACTTCATTGCAAAAATTCAAGAGGGCCGCCTCTCGGCCATTTTTGTTTCTCCGATAAGACCAAAATCAAACGGACACATCTACAGACGAAGGGGAACCAACCTATGAAATATAAGATCCATCTACCACATCTCAAGAAATAACGGTCACAAAAATTGTTGAAGAAAGGACGGGTCACTGGCCATTGACGTAGGGAGATTTGAATAGCCTAGAATCTGAGGCAGTGGCCGTCAACCAAACAGCAAACCTTGACGTCTATAACTTGAAGCCAATGCTGTGTTGTAATGTATAATAAAGTTGTTTCACGGAAAATTGTTCACTAAAACGGATGTGATACATTAGGTCATCACAAGGGTTAGGGAGCAACAATTTGTTCAATGGCTGGTAATAAGTAACCAGTGGCAAGTGAAAAATTTCAAATGTGAATCACAAAATTAGAAGCATTCATCATTTCACTGATGTAATTGATAAAGACAGGTTAAGTAAATATTTTCCTAGTCTTGGCTTTTTTTTCCCCCCAGTGGCAACAATTTTGATTTCAGTAACCACTTATTAATTATCTCACCTTTGTGCTACTGGGACCTGGATTCATAGTACCTCTTAATACAGCATTAGCCAAGGACCAATCACCAAACTTTTCACTCAATTGCCTTTCCTCAGTTTAAGAGCATAAATGTATATATAATTCATTCAGGTCACATGCCAACATCAATATTTGATATGAAGTGATTGATTTATAGAACACCTTGTATAAAAGAATGTCTTTACAAAAAATTAAAACAAAGAAATAAAAATACATGCAAATTTATTCTGATAACCGACATGTATTGAAATGGGGACTGCCAACTGAGATAACTACTGGTAAAAACCAAAGGGTGCCCCAAAATATTGATCAACATATTTTTTAAAAAATCCCAATTTTCAAGATGATTTGACACACTTTAACAAGATGAATGACATGCTTCAGAATGGTGTTATCGTTCATGAACACAAAAATGACAAATCAAGTTGTCTAAACAATCATTTTATTTGGATTTTAAATTCCAATATTTTCAAAGTTTCTTTTGATCTTAAAAAAATCTGTTCCTATATCTTCCATCAGAAGGTATATGCTGATTTCATAACAATAATTCTGCTACACTTCCTTCAGCCAAATCCAATAAAACCAGGGAAAACGCTCTGGGACTTTCTTATGCTTACAAAGCTTAACAAAAAGTCTCTTTGGTGGAAATAAAGTGAAGTCCCACACAATGTTATATGGAGTGACTTGTTAAAATTCAGCTAATTCCAAGATTTGATGCATAGTCAGTATAAGCCCATTCTGTACAGATTTCAAAATGACGACTCCTAACTTACCTGAACACAGTATGGAAAAACATTGTACTATACATCTAAAGAAACACTAACAAAAGGAAAGTGTATCCCCCCTCCCACAAACAAACTGCATTACCAAGAAGTAATCACATCTTAAAAGAGCTATAATTCACACATTCTCTGCTGAATTAAAACTGTTTTCCTCCATGAAACAGTCCAGACAATGATATATCCCGGTCTTCCATTACCTTAAGAACAAAGTCTTAGAAACTTCAGAAACTACTAGTGGTGGTTTATTTTTTTCGTCCATACAAATGTCACAAATGTCTTTAAATCCTTCATGAGATGGTCCACTTCTGTAGCGACCAGATGGCCGACATGCAACAACGACAACTGACAGACGACTCCAAATGAAACATGACTGATGAAAAATGCGATGATAAAATGAACGACAATGAAACAATATAAATGTTAAGACAAAGATCAACCCTCATCTTCTGCATCATCTTCTGCATCTTCTTCCACAACATCATCTTCATCACCCTCCTACAACAAAATTTAAAAAAAAAGAAAATGATACACTGTTAATCACTATTACATCTAAATACCAATGTCAAACATATACTCAAGGGATAAGAAATGCAGGGTGACATTATTTGCAATATCTTGCGAATGCATTGTTCAAAAACATGAAAAACGGTCAAGCAACTCTCTAGGTTACAATGCATATGGTCTTATATCGAATGTTGCATTATTGTATTGTTGACGATGTCTTCCGAGGAAAACACGAAACAAGAAAATCTCCTGCACAGCAGTGTTGGGTCATTGAGTTATACTGCGCGTCATACCATTTGGTAGTCTGCATAGACACACATCAATATTTTGATTAATTGCGGTTAGCTTAAACAATGGCATGACTGATGAAAGTTAAGAGGGGTCAGGTCACTGCGATGATCATGCAAGGTCAAAAGCAAATACAGGTTGTCAGATCCTCTGAACCCATGTTATCCCATTACTGCAGCAAAACAATCTCACATTCAAGCAGGATAATGCTTGGCTCCATGTAGCGATCTGTAGCGACTTTTTCACTAACAACAATATCCTCCCACTCGACTGGCCGCCATACAGCTCTGACCTATCCCCTATTGAGCACTTGTGGGACCAGCTGGATAGACAGGATTGACGACACCAGCTTCCCCCTATTACTCTGGCCCAACTGAGAGCAGCCCTCTTGGAAGAATGAGCCAACATCACAATGAGGAGCATAAACTCGCTCACCATCTCCATGCCCAGAAGAATCGGGGTTTAGGAGAGAGAGCAAATCGGGGACATACCCGGTATTGACTAGTCAGCCCCCACAATTAGTCTATTTCAATTTCAGAGTTCTCTTTCAATTCCCTTCAATTATTCCTAAATCACTTACAAGATACAAATCGCTGGTTTTGCAGTTTGTTCTATATGGATTAATCTTCATTCTTAATCATAAATATTGAACATTATACTCGACGTCTTGCCTAGAATCACCATCAAAGTTTACCCTGTGTTTCTTTATCCCTTTAGTATATTATTCAAGATTATTTTGGTATCAAGTCGTTTTTGACAAATTTCAAATGATGACTAGCAAAATTAATGTGTAAAATGGGAAGCATCTACATAGAGGTACATTTAAGTAAATCAACTGATTATTAAACCCTTCATTTTCTATATATCCTTGACTATGAAATCTAAAAATCACAAATCAAATCAAATTCTAGAAACATGCATTCCTCATCAGAACAATGTGCAGTAGAATAGGTAACAAGAAAACAAAGATCAGAGCCAAAATCATATCATTGGAATAACACTATATCCAGGTCGGAGGCTTTGGGGTTACCTACAGACCAATGAGAAAACCTCAGAAGCAGCAGATAACTCCTGACCCCTACACGGTGCTGTGTTGCCATGGTTACAGTGAATATCTTCTCAGTGAATGGATTATGGTTATTTTCATCATTTCTTTATTAACATCCTCAAAACCCTGCATTGAATTAAATTCTTAAATAATTTATTGTAAACTTTCTCGAACTTTTGAGAAACCTCAGCTTCAATAGAAGTTTTATGTTTTATTTCATTGAAATAAGGGAGTCTTTTTGGCAATATCTGCTCCCAGTAAAAGATATTAGCATAATGGAATTTAAAGAAAAACACATAAAATTCTTTATGTTTCTTCAGTTTTTTGTTTATATTGCAATGAGATTTCAAACTGAAAGCCAGTTACTTTTTTTAAAAACATAGCTCAACTGTCTTAAAGGCAAATTACACAATAAAAAAAATGAAACTAGTGTATGTCAATGATATCACATTACAAACATCGCCATTTCTAAACTATTTTAGTGCACTTACACGTGTTTTAACATTAAGACGAAAAACTGTCATAAGTGAAAGAATGGGCCTTAAACAAAAATGAAATTAACATGATGACAATTCCATCAGTGGTAACACTTGAAACAATGTGAAAAATCCAAAGAAATGAAAAAAAAAAAACTCCAGTCTGTTGAAGCTGAACTAGTGAGATCAGTTCTGTATCATTATAAGTAATTAGTTAGATCAGAGCCAAAATCTTATCAAGGGAGGAACACTGAATCTGGACGGAGGCCTTGGGGATACCTACAGACCAATGAGAAAACCTCAGAAGCAGCAGATAACTCCTGACCCCTACACGGTGCTGTGTTGCCATGGTTACAGTGAATATCTCCTCAGTGAATGGATTATGGTTGTTTTCATCATTTCTTTATTTACATCCTCAAAACCCTGCACTTAAATTCTTAAATAATCTATCATAAACTTTCTCAACTTTTGAGAAACCTCAGCTTCGATAGAAGTTTTATGTTTTATTTCATTGAAATAAGGGAGTCTTTTTGGCAACATCTGCTCCCAGTAAAAGATATAAGCATAAATGGAATTTGAAGAAAAACACATAAAATTCTTTATGTTTCTTCAGTTTTTTGTTTGTATTGCAATGAGTTTTCAAACTGAAAGCAAGTTCCTTTTTTTAAAGCATAGCTCAACTGTCTTAAAGGCAAATTACACAATCAAAAAATGAAACTAGTGTATGTCAATGATATCACATTACAAACATCACCATTTCTAACCTATTTTAGTGTGCTTACAAGTGTTTTAATCTTAAGACGAAAAACTGTCATTAGTTGAAAGAATGGGCCTTAAACAAAAGTAAAATCAACATGATGACAATTCCATCAGTGGTAACACTTGAAACAATGTGAAAAATCCAAAGAAATGAAAAAAACTCCAGTCTGTTGAAGCTGAACTAGTGAGATCTGTTCTGTATCATTATAAGTAATTAGTTAGATCAGAGCCAAAATCTTATCAAGGGAGGAACACTGAATCAGGACGGAGGCCTTGGGGTTACCTACAAACCAATGAGAAAACCTCAGAGGCAGCAGATAACTCCTGACCCCTACACGGTGCTGTGTTGCCATGGTTACAGTGAATATCTCCTCAGTGAATGGATTATGGTTATTTTCATCATTTCTTTTCTAAAGTGTGTATAAGATATAACCATTCTACATTCAAAGTGATATCAATAAATTTCTTGGTTGTCAAACTGCATATCTTTTTATGTGATCATTTGCTTTTATAAGCAAAATGATTCTGTTGTTCAATAGGAACTTGGCATCTTTTCATTACACTTCCTAAGGATGAGTCACTATTGGAAATCTTTTATAAATTCTGTTTCTCTTTAAGGTCTGTTGAATTTATGAAATCCTTTCTATCACCAAAGTAGATGGAATATCAGAAGCAAGTAACCCAGTTAATATCAATGATATACAAGGGGTCTCCTAGGCGTGTAGGACAATGATTCTCTTTTGTATTTTGGTGGAAAAACATGACAGGTAAAGATTTCATTATTGCCACATAACCTAACATAACATGTTTATAACAAAATGTTTAGTTTCAGCAATATCATGTAATGTTTACAAACACATAGGGAAGACTTCCAATCCTGCTGATTAGACAATAAATATTAAGTATTTACATTTCATTCAGAGTCTTTGGCAATGCATGACTATTATTTCACTTCTTGAAATGTAAAATTTTACATTAACAGCTAACATAGACATCCATCGAAGGAAATTGAAACATTGAGCGGTGCTGCTCATCTGTGAAGACCACGAATGATGGAAAGTTTTATCACTGCCACTCAATTGTGTTCTTTTTTAAATTCAAGTAATTTAGTTTTTCAACTTGTAATGAATGCTTTATTATCTGATTTTTGGTGTCCCTGCTTTATAATTCTATTCATAAATCTTTCATGAGAGAACGCCTTGGCCAGGATGATCAGGGTTAGCTGTTAATACAAATCACAAAACACAATATGGCCTACATTACAGTGTGTTACTATCTAACAAATTTGTTTATCTTTTAGACAATTTATCTAGAAAGTAAAAAGTGCTGCTGTATGATCAATAACCTAACACGATTATAGCCCATTTGCACAACTAGTTGTTTCCCTTTATATACAAATTTTAAATGCTGACCTCTTCTTCACCATCAAAATCCTCCTCTCCCTCCATAAGATCTTCATCATCCAAATCATCTACAAAAAATGTAATGCAGAAAACATTTCATGTAAGTAAGAAGAGATAAAAGTCAAACAGAAATGTAAGCAGCAAGACTTACAAAATGGATCAGAACTAGTTGAGTACATAACTAGGAAACAAGCCTCAATCATGAACTTCTCTGAGAGGGCAAGTTCAATCATCATCTCCTCTTGTAAGGAAAGCAGAACATATCTAAAGTGTGAACATATTTTTTCAAATAGAATTACTGTTAAAAGACGACATCATGTGCTGCTGAATACTCACGTTATTTAAGAGTTTCATGTTTTAAAATTCTTTCTGTCTGCATCAAATATATGATGAACTTCAATACTGATTTAATATCTTTATACATTAATACAACTTTCCAATCTTAACAGCAAAGATCTTTAAACTTACCCCCACCTTCCTCCTCCATTTCTGATGCCTATAAAAATTAATGAAACAATGTAGTCAGTTTTGTCACTCTTGTCAGATAAGTGCATTTTTCTTCTACACATTTCTTAAGGTAATATTCTAAAAACATTTCTTTTAGATAGTGTATTAATAAGTTGTTTATTTAGGTGTCTAGTAAGCAGTTCCACATAACAGTAGAAAGCACCAATTGCATATTAATGATCTTCACTTTTAAAATGGCTACAGTATGTGTCAAGTGTTGTGGTTCTCAAACACCCTGTGGGAGTAGAATGTCACTTGGAGTAGGGAATCAAGTAAGAACCTGTCTTCATCATGGAGACAAGTGTAGGGTAACATAATTATATGGCAGGTGTGAAAGCTCAAAGCTTGGTATAGTGATAAACAGCTGTTATGTACGTTCTACATTCTAGGTCATACAAGCTAACAAGATACAGCAACCAGTTACACTTCTAATGAAGGCTTGTTTATTTTTCAGATGCTGTAGCGGTTAAAAAATCAATGTTTCCTGGCTAATTACGCATTAAATATGAAAAAAAAATGGCATTTGACTAGTGTTGTTTAAATTAATTAAAAATGCAAGGGGTTGCCGTATGAGTCTATGACATACTGAAACTACAGTGTTTGTAACCATGAACGGCAATGGAAGCTCTGGAGATATATATGACTGAAACAAAAGCATGGCCATGTCAAACTTGGACTTGATGTGCACTAGAATTAAAACTCAATCGTAGTTAAGGCAAAGTCGCCGCGTTATAAGGTTACAGACTGAATGTTTCAAACCTTTGTCATTAAAGTTTACAGCTTTCTTAACCATCAGCATCAATATATTTACATCATAATATATACAGTACTTACTGTAGACAATTAGAACCTTGACTAGACCTGTACTATATTTTTCAACACAGCCCTACCAATTTACCGTCAAAACCAAATAATAACATAATTGTTGAATTAATTAACCACCTTTACAACACAAAGCAAGTGTAAAATAAATAGAAATTATACTAAATTTATTATGAAACTAAGGCTTATATAAAAGAAAAGTCAGGAGTCCAGCTGTGTAAGCTTTTAACAACAAATATCACCAAATAGCATGTTTATGGATTCAATTAATAATGTGTAATTAGAATGATTACTATCATTATAATAATATTATATAATAAAGTGTAACAAATAAACCCTGTGCAACCTACTTCATTGTATGAAAATTGTAAATATTTTTTCTCAATTTCAGCATTTTCTAAATTGAACCTTTCGATACATCTAAATGGTTAGTGATTTCCTTTTATTTCTGTGTTAGAAAACATATTTTGAGGGTAAATATACTACTGTGATAGTATTGCAATAGACTTTTTCGCAATAATATCAAATAGTAATTTTACTATAGCAATACTATCATGATAGCTGTTTTGTCCTCAATAGCCACGCCTACTTCTGTTATGAAATCTAAATCTTCCAACACTAATCGTCAAATTGTCAAAAAATTGACAGATTTTCAATTGTACTCAAAAAAGGTGAAAGCTCAGGTGATGAGCCAGTGTTTTAACTGTGTTTCAAGTGTGTGTGTTATTAGGAGGGGTTGAAACCTACAGCGTATGGGTGTCTGAGAACCATAACACTCAACACATCCTATATATCAAGTCTTAAGACAGACAATGATAAGCAAATCTAATACAATATTATATAAAAATAGGACATTTTATTAAAATCAAGGAAACATTTCATGAAAAGAACTTTTTCTTTCCTGGTTTTTTATAGGGGCAATTGAAATTCAGAAAGTTACATATAGTTTAAGTTTACAATCCTATTTTGCAGTGTTGGAAACCATCAGCAGTTCTGTTTATAACAACACAGTTTTCTTATTCATCATACCAAGTAGTATTGTAGAGGGTTTGGCCAGATATCATCCTTTAACACCTCTCCAAGCTCATCAGCACCAGCATCTCCATGATCTGTGAACCAACAGAAGAAGGATTCCTGCTCCTCCATATTCCTTTTTCTCCCTCCCTTACTCGGAGTACTGGACTTCTTTGTTAAATCCTACAAGTTAATGAAGATTCCAGATACATATTCTACGACCATTTTTCAAGCATTTGAAACTTTTCTATCATAAGATGAAAAAGGGAACCCAGAAGGTCTTGATGCCCACCATTGTTTAATCTTTATTTATTCTTCAAAAATTTGATCTTTTCCTTGTTTTCTTTCTTCTGCATTTGCTTTAAGTATATGAAATTTGCAAATTCCTCTCAAGTAATTATGACCTTAACTGTCAAATTCAAGAGAGTGGTCTTTCAGCCATTTTATTTTTCACTAATTTCAGATCAGTCCCAAAATAAAAAGGACACAACATACACAGTGCTGATAACCTGCATATGAAATTTGAAAAAAGGCCATCCAGTATCTCTTTAAGTAATAAAATTTTCATTCTAGATAAATAACAGACACCTTTCAGTGATTTTGTTTTTTTTCATAAGTCCCAGAATCAAATTGGTACAACTAGGGGCCAAGGGGAAATCTATATATTAAATTTGAGAAAGGAATTACTAATAAAAAACGGTGATAACAAACTTCAATTTTATATTTTCGATCATACTCCAAAACCAGTTACAGACACAACTTGGATCTATGTAGAACCTAAACATCAAGACTCAGAAATATCCTTCATGTGTTTCTCTAAAGACATTGCAATATGATAATCAAACTGTCACAAACCAAGATGGTCAGCTTTTGGTCTTTTTGTTTTGCTTATCACATCCAGTTGGGCAAACATCCTTCTAGTACTTCAAAAAATAGTGATTACAGATAGAAAACAGGCCATAAGGAAATTTATTCCCATAGTTATGTGCCATACAATTAACATGTGATACAAGACTCTTCTAAAAACAAATATACACATGGAAAATTAATAGCCTGTATCATAATTAACATGTGAAACCAATGGTTGATCACAAACTTGGTCAATCCATTTATTACTCTCTTTTTTCATATTGTTAGTATTACTTATTTGCATGCAACTCTCAATAATGTTCAAGTTTTAGAGTTTACTATCAAATAAGCATTCTCATTTCTCAAGTAACTCTAGCAACAAAAAGTCCTACTTTGCCAGCTTTCCATCTGATGGGTGTTGATTTCGATGAGGGCTCTCCAGTGTCATTTAGATGGAACTCTTTTGATATGACTTCATTCTCAAAGTACTGATTACCATCAAAGAACTGCAAAAGAAAGATACATTTAAGACTAATTTAGAGTTCTTTTTATATCAACTAGTCTAAAACAAACTCTGAAGAAAAACTCTTTGAATGTGGTAAACCTTCAGTCAGTCTGAACAAAACAGTACATCTGAATTGACCGGTAGGAAATCGCAAAATTCATTTTGTTCTTCATTACCTTGGATATTTTGACGAAGAAAGCATGTTAAATGTGTGCAAAATGTATTGGCCAAAGCTAGTGTTTACATATCGGTATGCAGAATGAGGATTGAGACTCAAAAGCTTTAGGTTAATTTTTATCAAAGATATCTCAATTGTGTTTATGAGGCATACCTGTGAGCCCTACAAATCATTTAGATGACAATACAGTCTTGAAGTGATTATCAAAATTTGTAATGAAACACTTGCTCTCTGACAATACACATCCGGACATTACATATACCAACCACTTTGATACAGAGTTGAGGCCTAAAGTTGTGTCAGCTGGCATGTGGACTATGAGACAGCAAGAGATGATAGTATATAACTTGGTAGTATCAATTGCTTACAACGGTCATTTACTGCACACTACCAGCAGGAGATGTAACCGATAAGACGACTGGCCATAAGGAGAAATTCTTGCAAAACCAATATCTTTATAAATAATTACATATTTTTACAATCCATCAATGTGTTCCACAAATTAATATTTACATTGCAATTGACACATAACTAGAAAGGATTCAAACTAACTAGAAAGAAAATGAGAGTTTTTATGGAAAAACAATCATATGATTGAACTACCCTCTGATTCAAACTGATCAGAGGTTTACTGTGGATCATGAAAATGGAGGTATTAATCCTATGGAATGCCCTGTGAGTTCACACACAGTCATCTCTGACTATATGAAGCACATCCCCTATCAGAATGAGCTACTATTATTGATGGCGAGCAAAGACATGATTTAATAGAATATCTGTCTTTATGCAAAACATTGTCTTCAAAGTCTTCATATTCGACACAAAATCTCAAGTTTCTGAAAGTCCTCAATACTTTTAACATCTTTTCAAAAATCATTTTGCAGTTCTGCTATGACCCTGCTTAAATACAGGTTAATATTTATATCTCAGCAGTGTCATATTTATTATATGTACTTGTACCCAGATACACATTTAAAAGTAACTGAAGTATGCTTTGAAATATTATACTCTTACTTACAAAGTTGATTTTGTAGCCAGACTTTATGTCTTCAAATTCCTGAACTTCAACCTTAGACAAGAACTGAAGAGCCTCCTCATCTTCTTCATTTAACAGTGCAGATACTTGAGGGTGATTAACAAACTTTCATTTGGTTAAGGAAACATCCAAATATAAAACAAAATTTTAAAAGATAAACTGAAAATGAATGACAATTTTACACATAAATATTAGAAAGACGTTGACAGAAAGAGTATCACTAACTAATTTAAGAATGAACAAAAATCTAGTCTCGTGTTTCTCTGTTTGTTTGGAAGAAATTTGAAAGATCCCACAGAAGTACTTACTTGATCGTGGAATAGCAGTTTCCTGAGTATTTACAAAATGACAAATTGTCAGATTTCATATAATGATGGATAATATATTTGTGTTCTGGACAGGATTTTACCAAACCTATTATCCCTTCTCACTGTGTATATGTATAAATTGATAAAGCTGAACTTTATACAAGAGATTCCACATGCATCTTGGCACCTACCATTGTTGGATCTGTTTTTGTTATTTCTCTTCTTTCCTCTTAGTTGTTTTCAATATATGGAGTTTTAAAAATTCTACTGAAAAGAATAATGCTGATATCGATAATGCACCACTGATGAACAGCCATTTGAATAGCCTCTACCATTGTAAAAATTAAGCACTAATCTCATTGTATTTGCCTGCAAAATGACAATTACTTCAGGGTTAGAAAAGGCTGCTCGTCTAGACGAGTCAAAGGTACTTGCAGACGAGTTATTTGTTTCAGCTACTTGTCCGGCGGGCGAGTGAAAATTGTAGTTCTGACTATTGAATATTCCATAATAAATGACGTTTATCAACTTAAAACACTCTTAAAACTGATTTAAATCCACTGATAGTCAATCAAATACATTGATGTAGTATCCTTCTTTACACCACGTGTCAAGATCCTGACTACACGAAAACCTATTACGTCACCACAAATGTTGTAAACAAGGTTGTTTTGTGTACGTAGTTACTGTCAAAAAGTTGATGTTCTCGCTCACGTTAACAGTGAATTAAATATGAGAAAAACTATAAAAGCAAGTGTTGAGTCCAAACATTTGATATGGAAATTGATAATAAAATTTGTGTTCATTAAATTATGTTCTGTTGCCTTTTTTCTTTGAGTGAGTGAATATTGGATTCCGGCAAGTGAATTTCAAGTTGCACTTGCCCAACGAACGAGTAGCTGAACATTTTTTTTTTTTCTAGCCCTGTACTTCATGAATAAATTTTATGGACGGGTTGGGATATGGCATGGCTTGTTGTCTCTGTCAATATCAAAGAAACTTCCTATGCCTTTATTGAAAACAACTATAAAACTTGTTTCCCATGTGTTCACAAGAAATAATTTTTGCAGTCCATTCATTTTTATATTCCAAAATTTAGATGAAAGGATACAACAGTGACCCAGAAATTAGGAATTTTTGCTATCAAGTCAGACCTCTTCTGGAAGTATGGCTGCCTTAATTTGTTGTATTTTTGTTCAACTTTAAGTATCTCTTCACTTGCTTGTTCATTTAAACGATCTATTTCATTCTGGACTTCATCTATTTGCTCGATTGCCTCCTGTTGTTCTTTATCTGCAAAGTGAAAAAAAACACAGAAAATTAACAACACAATCCAGAAGATTGACCCGTGTCCGTTACTCATGAATAAGATAAAATGTTTGGGCATATAATGTGCAATACTTGCTTGTGAGACCATATATATACTTGCGAAGAATCAAGTAGTTATTTGCATATTCTTGGTAAATCAGTTCCAGTCCATATCTATTTTATTTCATCCACTTCAAGCAAAGCTACATGGGTTCGTCCTAAAAAGCTTAAGTTTAATTTGTGGAATTTAATCTATATTAAACACACAATATTGCATTTGACCTATCTATAATACAATCAACATATCAACATGTGGTGGTTCTCAACTGTGCAATACACAAAGTAACTTTGTGACTGTTCAGTGGTCCAATTAGCAAAGCGGAAATTATCAACTCATACTTGCCAACTTTCCCAATTCAGTAAGTGGTTTCCCAATTTCTACTCCCAAGCCCTGTCTCCCGATATTCTGGATAATAATTTGGGTAATCTCCTAATTTCAGAGATCCCACTAGGTAGATCATAAGTTACCTTACTATATTTGTCAAATCTGTAAGGCTGACCTACTGGCTACTGAGGTAATTATACAGATAATTAAGTAGTTATTACCATGTTTATACTACCTATTCAGTCAAAAGAAATATTTAACGTGAAATTGATTTAAAAAACAATATCTTATGATGTAACGATGTACATGCATTTTTCAATAAAATAGTAGGCATCCTGAGCAAAAAATCAGACCAAAGAAATATTTCACCCGCTGAAAAGATGATGTGAATTTTAAGCATTTAGTTATTTTCTAAATATTCATCCTCCCCTTTCTCTAACATTTTAAATGATAGCTTAAAATTTCACAAGATGATTAATTGTATTGTTATTTCAATAAAAAAATCTTTCAGAAGCACCATACTTGGAAATACATGTCCTTACTAACAACAGAACAGTTAATCACAAATCCTAATATGCTATATTGTACAAGTTAAATAAATACTGAAAATTTTTATGATTAATTCCAACTAAATGCTTATCTGTGCAAAAAAAAATCAGATATTTTTTCATCGTGATACTACAATAAAGCATGCACTTGATCATTTTAAATTTATTTAGATGTACTGATTAAATATAACTTATTTTTCCATTGTGCGACATGCAAGGTATCATGGGGAGTCAAAAATGTTGCGAACACACTTTTCTCCCCCTGAGAATTTTAAAAAGTTATTATGTTTGTGTACTTTGCTAATGTTTAAAATTGGGAATAGAAAAGTTGCTGTAATTGATTGAGTGGTAGTCTAAATAGTGAGTTTGTTTATGAATTTCTGAGAAATACCGCATTCTTATTCTTCAAATGTTAATAATGCAAAAAGAATGATGGGACAACACCATAAGAACTGAAACTTGTAATGAAAAACTTGCAAAGACAACAATAGAACTAAAACATTGTAATTTTTTACAATGAAAACTAGTGTCATTTTTCCCCGGAAGGAAAATAACGTTTTTGTTTCCAAATGATAAAAATTTTGACTACAATACATGTTTAAGGATTGATAAACTTATTTCATGTTACCATTACCAGGGGTATGGAAAAAATATTTTAAACCACTACGCACAGGACTAGTGGGCTGAAAAATTTACTTGTCCAAATTCAGCTATGAAATGGCGACTTAATCAGTGAGGATGTGACGTGACTTTTTTTTCTATTTCATTTGAAGTTTTAGTAAAAAAAACTATGCAGATATGGCTGCTTTGCGTCAGACATTGTGCGCTACTTAGGCCTAGCTGTAGTGTTTATTTACATCCTAGCTGTAGTGTTTATTTACATCCGACTGACTAGGTGCTGCTTAAATATAGACCGGTGTATGTTTGTACCACCAGTGACCACCTGACATCAGTATGACAGCGGGAAAATGACTAAGGTATTCCAAATGCTATATTTGATGTCACAGGAATTCCAGTGTAATCAAAAGTTAGAGTGCAGACTGGAATATTTTGTTTTCGAAGTACCGTAAACACGTTTGTTTTAAATTTTCTTTACATTTTCATTGAAATTTAAGTGGTAACATTAATATCGTAGGAAAAAAGTACTCGTCCGATGGACAGCAGACAAAGATAAATCTGGATGTCCGAGACAATTTTCACTTGTCCACAACGACTGCTTTTTCGGACCCCTGATAACATGAATTTTCTTAAGACATTCTTGGAAGTTTTGAAAATATGACCAATAGCCAGAGAATAGCCAGAGAAGCCTCCATTTGTTGAACTTTTTCCTTTTAATGAATTGATCAAAAATTATTGTTTAAAATATTGTCAATAAGCATTGGTGCCGAGCAGAAATCTTGAGCGTTTCAAAATAGTTCTGGTACTTGTGAAAGATTAGAGCAATGAATAATTTTCAGTCAACATCATCAATAACATTAACTAATCAATTTTAAGTTAAAAGAGCGATAAAAATGTAGGGTACATTCTGTTTCGAAAGCTACTGGGATCCCTAGCACCCACAGAAATAGCTTACTACAAACCGGAAGTTGGTTGCACGTGTAGTTGTGACGTCATTTATCGGCATCAATTTTAGAACCGCACCGGTTGATTTATACACGCTACATTTTATTTCTAGAATTTGGCTAAAGAAAGAAATCCACCAAACATAAAATTATCAATGTCTTGACATGTATGCAACAGAAACAAATGACTGAAACACAAGTTGGGAGCGCAGCACAATACTAGGAACACAAATACGCTACCAAACAAAAGATTTGGTTTGCACATGGCGGTCCTTTCAGCATGTTGGGCCACTGAAATGAGCTGAAACTTCACCACAAATGTAATGAAACTACATTCCACGGCATTTATAGATAACTTAAATTGTATGCATTCAGAAATAAAACTATCACCTGCTTGTTCGTCAGCGTTTTCATGATTGTTTTTAGCGTCAGGCTTGCTGACTTTCGCTGGAGTCGCCATATTTCAGGAACACAGAGGCTGGGCATGCGCAATGGAAATTGAAATAGCCCTGCGCGCGAAGGCGAAAGTGTATCATAAATAGTAATTTATAAACATTAAAAAATGTGTCTTGGTGAGTAACAATTTCTTATGAAATTCATTTGAATATATTTATATGTATATTCTTTAATATGATAGCATTGATTTATTTGTGAACACTGGAAAACGTATAACGATTTAGAAAATAACTTAATGTTCATTATGGACTGTTTGTGTCTTACGCACTTGGTAGAATGATATTCTTCACTATAATACGAAGCGCACCAGTTTTTAATTCGAGTTCTCTTCGTGTGTATTAGTTTATTTTATCATTTCCTGTTTCATGTCTTCTACTTAATGTTTTAGGAAGAATGTGTAGATACTGATCCATCTTTAACTCTTCGTTGTCGAAACAAAGAGATATGATGGACGATTTACCTCCCCTAACACATAAAGACAAGCCTTGCTAAGGATAGTCTCTAACTCGATATGTTACACTTTGACAGACACATTTTATTTAATTTATGAAAACAAGAAAAGTGATCATGTCTCGTTATTAAATAAAATGTCATCATTTAAGTCTATTCAAACACATTTTTGATTAATTATAGGCTACTGGGCATGCTAAATAGCACGATGAACAAGACAATTTTAGACGCTGTATGTGCCAAATAAGAATAAGCTGTAATTCACATTTCTCCGAACTTTGAACGTCCACAAATTGTCGTGATATTTGAGTATGGCCAGATGAATTTGCCAACTGCCCGTTATCTTGATCCGAATTATATAGTTTATTTGCCCTCTAAATAATGAGTTATGTTACCAAAATTCGCCGCATATTACATCTCAATACATTTCTTTATATACAAAGAAAAAATGAGAGTATAACTGGTTGACTTATCGAGGTCATAAAGCCGGAAAAAAATTCTAACCTAAAGTTGGCAGACGGTCAGCCAATGGAAGATTTCAACTAATTTAATAAACCTCCCTAATTCCATATGCATGTAAATTAAGTACCAATCTTCTATGCCAAACACGGTCAAATGCTTTCGATATATCACAAAAAATTAGACAGGTGTGTTTTTTTTTCGAGAGAGAGCAACACATTTTATGGTACATTTCAAACAATTGATATACGGTTGAATGATGCGACATAAAACCAGATTGTTTTTCATAAAAAAGTAGGTGGTCAACAAAAAAAAATTGTAAAAATACTTAAACACAACTCTTTCAAAAACTTAACCAATACACGATAATGATGTAATCGGGCGATAGTTTGTCACCAAATGCCGGTCTCCTTTTTTTAAAAAGAGGTAAAACAATTCATTTTTTCCAAATAACAGGGAAAACATTTTGGCTCAATAACATATCAAACAGAATTGCCAAGACTTAAATATAGAATTTGCCGTGAACTTCAACATGTGATGGCTTATGGAATCATAACCGGATGCTTTACCTAATTTGAGGATTTTCAAAATATCACAAATTTCATCACATCGGATAGAGGGATTCAAGAAGAAACTCAGTTCTGGAATCAGAAGTTGATGACGGGACATCTTTTTCATCAAAGGTTGAAATTGAAAGAAGAAAAAAAAATATTGAGAATATTAGATTTTTCAGTATCGCCCAGTTCAACATTTCCATGCCTCACCATCCCCTGGGTGCCAGTCTAGATAGCCAGCACGTCAATTTCAAGATCTTGTACTGGACTGTTCAATTCTGGACGTCATGCTTGAATCATAATTGTAATAATAGTTACATACTGTGATGTAATACTAATTTTGCAATCTTTTATACGTGTGATTGCATACTTTAAACATTTCTACGTTTGCAGTTGAATAATTTTGTAGATTATTTTACAGTCGGTAAAGCAGCATAGCAAACTTGTATAAATGATGTAAGGACGATTTTCTTTCTTGTCGGTGTAGTTTTCTCATACTTAACTATTTTGTATACTTTTTAATATGCTAATTTGAAGGCAGTTAAACCAACATCACATGAATAATATTTACACATCAGTTCGCTTATGCATTGCCTTCATATGTGTCTGAGGATCATTCTGTAGTATGCTGTCAGACTTGACTTGATTTGAACCACTCTTATATTTCTAACTTGAACGGAATGTTTTACCAACTAAGCATTACGCCTTTTAAATGTGGACATTTATCATAATAATGTTACAGTTTCTGTTTATTTAAATTTTATACATTTGTATGTTTTATTGTGATCCAACTTTAATTTGGCCGGGCGGATGTTATTTATATGATACATATGTAATTGAAAACCACACAAATGTGACATGTTATAATACAGGGTTGTTATTTCTAGTGTTATGTTTGTTGAACTACCGGAAAGGAGATTAAAATTTTGTTAATAAAAAAATTAGTGAATGATCAGACGACTTGTGTTATCCTCTCTCATTGCCAAGCCCCATACACCCTAGTAGTGCCTTATTGAAAATGATTAAATATGCTATAAACTAATTGGTTTGAATTCTTATATTTTATCAAAATCACACTGATAAACATGGGTACACCATATATGATAATGAGGAATTAGAAATTGCACAAAAGGCATATAAGTGACACAATACGAGGTATGACGGGATGTGTTTGCTAGAGCACGTGTAGAAATACACTACACGACAATACGTGTAATAATGAATGATACAAAAAGGAATAGGAGGTCAGTATAACCATAATGTGTCATTAAAGCAATTAAAGCTGGTATAAGTAAATCATATTTACTATATCTACTAAATATACAATAAAGTAAAGTTAAGATATAAATAATGAAATTCCTGAAAGACTAATTATGTTTGTGACATTCATTTCTGGTGTGTGTATTTTTCATTTGTTTTTGTTTTCTTTTATTATTGTTTTGTTTTCGTTTCGTTTTGTGTGGGGGGTTTTTTGGGGGGAAGGGGCAGTGGGGGATGGGGGGGGGGTTAAATAAACATAAATATACATTCTTTATTGAGATAACATTTTACCAGACCAGACATTATCTAGTCACCTGCGATAACTGGTCTCGGCTTCTCTTGTCACTGACAATAGACCTACAACCATGGTGTCACTAGCTGGGATAAATAAAAGGACAACCACGACTAGAATAAGTTAATAAAAAGGGTGTTGTAGTATTGGTGGCAATATAGATAATAGATCTACAACCATGGTGTCACTAGCTGGGATAAATAAAAGGACAATCACGACTAGAATTAGTTAATAAAAAGGGTGTTGTAGTATTGGTGGCAATATAGAAAATAGATCTACAACCATGGTGTCACTAGCTGGGATAGAACGTGCAGCTTAATTGTATCATAACTGATGAGTGAGAAATCGGCGACGTTTAGATTCCAAATTCAAGACGGAAAGCACTAGCCTGTAGTAGTTTTAGTTCAATACGACTTTTCTTCATTTTTCTGGTATTTCTCCAAGTTTGTGAAGCTATTTTTGAGCTCAGGATAAGTGTTTTCGGATCATTTCGGATTATTGCATTGTCAGCTAAAATAACATTTAAGACCAGGAAAATCTTCCCATTGCTCAAGGCTGCAAGTCTGAAAATCTGAAAAAAACACATATCCAAGATGTTTTTTATGATGATTAGCATTTGAACGAACAACTCATTGAACTGACCTGCCATAATTTGACAGAAAGTCTGAAGAAGAAGAAGAAGAAGATAACACATGTTAAAGATATTTTTTTTGATAATTAGCATGTGAATAAACAACACATTGAAATTACCTATACCTGAAAGTCTGAAGAAGAAGAAGAAGAAGAAGAAGAAGAAAAGCAGAAAAAAAAGATACACATATCCCAGATATGATTATTAGCATGATGTGGATATCACCACTCATTGAAATTACCTAGTTAAATTTAACAAAATAGAAAATAGATTTTATGTCGAAACAGGCTGTTGCACATCATATTTGTTTAAAATCATATACACTATATGTACTATAGCGTAAATCTTAAGAGTCTGAACATTTCGATGTATGCGCGACGACCGATATAGATAGCATGTGCCTTCTAGGAGTTCTTTTATTCACTATGCACATTTTTACACTAGCTTGCCTAGCTTTATATACACAAATGATTTGTGAAATCTTAAATGTGTATATATGCATGAGGGCTAGACTTTTGACAACTCGCGTACATAGTTAAGACAGGCTGATCAGTGATACACCATTATATAGTACTAATATAGTTTGAACTGTAGTACTGATATAGTTTAAACCTTTGATATATCACATAAACGATCAAATGCTCTCTATTCTATCTGATCATGTTCCATGTGTAAAAAAAAACCCGAAAGATATGTGGGAAAGGTGATGACGTCAGTAAAATAGACAACCTACAGTTTTCCTTTAACAGACCTAGGCGTACGCTAGAGTGACGTATATATTGTTTCAGCCAATCTAAAATCTACATGGCTATATCATATCTCCTCATACAGATAGTGTGATTTATTACCTTATGTACCGCCGCATACGGTAAGCCCATCTGACATTTATTTGTATTTAACCGAATTAATTTTTATACAACACACACACACACACGACATCGGACAATGATTAAAGATAAGATATTTATCAAAATATTGAATAATTTCCATACCATTTACTTTTCCTTAAATAAGATGTATTTCAAAGAAAGATATATGACCATGAGTAAAAAACAAATATATAGATATCTTACATTCTCCATGAGGCATATAGTTTATTTTTTAACTATATATATATATATAATACATAATAATAATATATTATAAAGTGAAACATAAGTTCCACGCTGTCACAAGTAGGCAAACAAGAACAAACAACAGCTTCCGAAATACACACTTTCATAATATATATATATATGCAGCTCGCACATAGCGAAGACCGTCGATAAATGACTCTAACTTACACTTTTGTGAAGAATTTGATTTTTCTAAGCACATGTGCTATTGTTAAAAATATTCACCGAATAGAAAGAGGATCA